TCCAGTCGGATGTGATCCCGTCGTGTGGCCGCCTGACGAAGTTCCGTATCCAGTCGGATGTGATCCCGTCGTGTGGCCGCCTGACGAAGTTCCGTGTCCGAAAGAACCCGTCGAGTGTCCACCTGAGGAACTTCCAGAGCTTGAACTAGAGGTATGTCTTGACGAAGAATATCCGCCTGAGGAAGACGACGACCCTCGTGACGACGAGCCTCGTGACGACGAGCCTCGTGACGACGAGCTTCGTGACGAACCTCTGGAAGAGAATCTTCCTGCGTTCACATGATCTGAAAACAAAGCGGGTTTGTGTTTTTTTTTTTTACAATACATATGTATATAAAAGATAATACGTAGTAAAAAATAATATTTTTAGTCTAGGTACATAATGCGTTATCACTTACGCGTCGTCAGTAGCGACAGAAGGAAGAGAAGCAACAAAATTCGGATTTTCATCGCTTTGTAACAGTATTTCACGATAGTTTATAGAAGACTGACGACTTTCGGTGAGCATATGCTGCGTTAAATATAAACGTTGTTTTGTATTTATCAACGTTCTTATCTTAATATGTATATATTTTGATATTTGAACCGCATATTCTCTTTTCCCGGAACGATACCAAAGCGAAAGACGCTTATGTTAGTGACCTTTTGACCTCTTACTGACACAATCACTTTCGATACGATTAAACGCTGATATACTGAGTAGTCATAAAATTTACTATCATAATTAAATAGCAACACTGTTTCTATGAAAATTCCTTTTTCTACGAAAGATCAAATCTCTTCTACATAGGGTTTTCCAAACTACGTTAAACGTTTGATATCGGATTTTTATTAATAACGTGATAATAAATACAACATGCGTCATAACAAAAATTTCATTTTTTGTACAATTTGTTGTAAATACATGTTTTGTAAAAACATCTTTTATATTTACATATATAATTTCAGATATTACTTAAGTATCTCTTTGCAGTTTGTGGTTTTTAATTGCAATTGTTTTTTTTTTTTTTTTTTTTTTTTTTTTTTTTTTTTTTTTAGAATAATACTGAAATATGGAAAAAACGATTTTTTTATGCGTTATCTGACGCTTCTTTTTTAATGTATCTGTCCAAAATTGCTTCACTCGGATAGTCCGGGACTGACAGTTCTCTAAATCCCTCGTCGTCCACGAAGCAAATCTCATGCCCGTCCTGAAAACAATCACAATTATCAAACCGTGATAAAAGAGTTTATATAACTAGCACAACACAGGCGCGCGCTAAGTATCTAAATAAAATTATCAAAGATACTTTTATCTAGATAAGATAATATTATCTTATCTATTATAATATTATTATCGTATAATATTATAATCGTATTTTTTTATAAAATACGATAATCGATAGGATGCGTTTTTTTTTTTTTTTTGACAAGTATTGCAGATACTTACTGGGTCAGCAAGAATGATAACTCTTACAGAAGCCTTTCCCGGTGTGTCTAAAGTTATAAGATCAGTTAGGATTTTATTTCCGCTTTCTTTGATGAGTTTTTGAATTGTAGGTTGCTCCGCGTGTGGCACGGAAAAAGCAATACGTCCATATGCTTTTGCGTGATTAACTTCAGTGCCTAAAATACACAATTGACACGAATAACAAATAATATAGCGTCTGAATAGTAACATAGAGAGTTAAATGAGAAATTAAAATACAGCAGTAATATGCAAATCTCACCGATATCTTCAAATTCGAGCTTAGCTTGATCCTCACTGTAGCCCATTAGTACGCTTTTATCATTCTGATCAAATATCTTTAATCCCAAGATATCCTTCCAATAAGCAATAGTACGTTGAAGATTGGAGCTGGATAGAGTAACTTTTTCTACAGGATCTATTTAAAGTATCAATATAGAAAAAAAAAAACCAGTTTTAATATAATATTGCATAAAATTTTCTTTTCAGATTTGGAACCTTGAATATTTTTAAACCATCATGTTATATTCTATTAGCTATATTTTGAATTACCACTGCCAACAGGTTCTTTTTGTTCATTGATAATATGATATTTATATCCACCGGGTGCCTGCATCACAAATTTTCCATTCTCTTCCTGTACAGGCCACTTGTTAGCACGTGCTCTTTCAATCACGTCTTTCGAACGAATTGTGATAGCTTTGAAATCATTTCCCATTTCATATTCCTTAATTCCGTAGTTGTATGTTAATTCAATCACAAAATGTGTGTCCTCAGGACCGTATCCTATCATCGTTTTGCTCCATCGATTTGCATAAGGACTGAAAAAAACGGTGTTTAAAAACATATTTCAAGTGGTAAACAAATTACGTTACCAACTTATGACTAATAACGGATTACTCACCCATTGCACGCAGCTTCACATCCGTCTGCAAATTCCTCATGTCTCAGCACCTGCGTAGAAACAAATCGATATCTTGTGATTGACACAAAATTATGAAAAAAAAAAGAAAATATTTGACAAATAGAAACCATTACCTTCATTCCAAGAATCTCGCGATAAAATTTGACTGTTAATGCTCGATCGGGTATTTTGAATACAAAATGCAACGCACGTCCCGTGGCCATGTTTCTCAGATCTTTGTTGGATTTGTCCTTTCAGTGTTTCAATATATAAGTAAAAATGTGCAATTAAAGACTGGGAAGTGTTGAGAGAGAGAAGAAGAGGTTTATCTGTACATGTATATTATCTAGTGGGGGAGATGAAGAGAGAGAGAGAGAGAGAGAGAAAGAGTAAACAGGCATTGGCGTAGGAGTGTAAGTTGATCAGAAGTATATTACTAATTTCAAAAAATGGAGCAATGTTCACACTCTCGTTTCTCTTCTGCAACGAACTGCATATTCATCAGCTGTTTTATTATCTTCTAATATCTCGTAGGTTTTTACAAAAAAAATAGCTTGTGTACTACTCTATTTGCACCTAACCTAACCTAACCTAATCTATTTTTTCAAGTAAAACGTGAATTTTAGCTTTTTACAGGACTACGCCCATTGGTGTTACTACGCATGAGCAGAATTTGATAATCACTGGAGCAGAACGTGAGCAGAGAGAGCAGACGACAACATCGACCAAAAACATCAAAGTATGTGACATATGCGTTTGACGTTTGTTAGTGGACCAAAAAGTAAACTGCAAAGTGGGCATTTAATCGAAAATTTGTTTCTGCAATAAATATGATAGAGAATCTCGCGGCGAAGTTATGTTTACTTTTATCGGAAAGTGCTAATGCAGGTATGTATAATCATTAAAAATTTGTCAAGATATCAATGTATAAAAAAATCTTTTAGATAAATATTTTGAGATTTATCTTGCGAGATTTTTCAGCGGAACAATGGAAGTTATTTGGACAAGAAAAAGATGGATCCATACTTATTGGTTGGGTGGAGGAATCCAAAAATAACAATGCATTTGTGTCTCGTACAGTAGTAGGTCGCTATGATCAGATTAACAACAAATTACAGGTGGGTATTGCAAAGATAAACTTTTCTCTTCTCGCACTGAATGAGTTGAATATCGCACACGTTGATTTAGATATTGCATCGCTTTTCGGAAGTGCTGAACATTGTTCAGGCTACAGTGAATCAGAGCCATACTTTGCTCGGATATGTGACAAAGCAAAAGCATTCTGTTGATGCGGCAGATTGTTCTGAAAATCAATCTCCAAATGATGACAATGCTGCGAGTGAATGTTACAAGGAGCTTTACAGAGTGTTCATTGTTGAGTTAACAACTGATGAGGCCAAAGTCCACAATTTAGAAATAGAAAGATCTAAGCAAGTTCGTATACAATTTTTATACAGGGAAAAGGAACAACTCAGTGCAGACAAGTTTCTGGTGCTGATACATCACGAATGTAAGAAAATTTACGGATCTATATATTATTAAATTTGATTTAAATATATTTTACTTTTGTGATTGACAGTTTTTCTGTTACATATTTTGTTTAAGGCGTGCTGACATACACTGTTCAGTTTGATACATCAACAAACAAGTCGAGATCGATAAAGGAACTGAAATCCGAAGTACTTGTAAAAACATTTATATGGGCTCAATGGGACATGATCAATCAAGTTCTCTATCATATACATCATCGACGGATTCCTGCAAGTGTGGTCACCGAACATGACGATGAAAACAATTCCAGATCGATAAAACCGACACTCAGCGGACTACAGTTTCACGATGATTTACCTCATGAAACAGTGGTAGGTATTGTTCATCAATTAAGAATTGTCTGTCCCTATTCTTTGATAAATAACAAATATGTAATCTGTCGGAGCTTTTGATTTGTAACATGTATCACTAACGTTTTTACAAAAAGCGAGAGTTGATTAACACTCGGGCTGTAATTAATTTAGTACATCTAACATGTTTGTGCTAATTTCAACTTCGTAGTGCGAAATGCATGAGACAGCGTAACACGTGTGTATTGTATCTTTTTAGCTGAATATCCCATTAAACTTACCGTTACTGTCGCCATCCTCTAGTTGTGGGACTTACGAAGACGATGTAATACCCCTGCGAGTCCACGACTGTTCCTTAGATCTCATAGTGGTGTCGGACTCCAAGGGAATGGTTTGCGTTTGTCATTACTATCTCTATCGACCGGTACAACCGCCGCAGCATGTGCTCAACTCCCTGAACGAGTCCAATACGGTGCACTTCGCGTATTCGGTGACACTGTTGCACCACAGTTGTGTGATTCATTGCGTTATACCGGGTATATTGTGGTCGCGCGCCAAACTGATGAGACCGACCTTCGCGATCTACGAAGGCCATCATATGATCGTGTTTGTTCCGGGACTGTTCGCACATCTTCTCGAAATTGGTGTAAACCACGAGCCCTGCTGCCACATACTGTGTGGTCCGCCGCCGTCGGTTCCGTCTCGCGATTCTTACCTGGTGCCGCTATTCGATTTGGACAACTCTAACAAGGGAACGAGAAAGAATTCCCATCCAGATAGCAAGACCAGTTGTTCGGATGGAAATAGTTTGTTCGCAAATTCCAGTATACTGACGATAGATTTGCCTACTTTGGATCTCGTGCGACTGACGATTTCTCCGGACTTCCTCGTGGAAGTCTTTCGCAAGGAGACCTCGGTCGAGATTCGTTTGGGGATACTTCACTATTTTCTCTGTCACAAAAACGACATGGAAATTATTGCGGAGTTAATGTCCGTCGTCGCGGAGAAGCCGCGCTCGTTGGACATACCGCGTTTTATGCAAGAGATTCTCATAGGCAGCTCGTACGCATTGGTGCAAAAGAACCTTCTCGCGGATACCGTTCCTCTGCTCTCCCTGTTGCCCGTGACCACCATAGGGGATTACATGACGTTCGACATAAAGATGAACGAGTTGGATATCACGCTGAGTCACGAGAAACTGTGGAACACATCGGTAATGTTGCTCTCGCCGCAGCAGAGACTCGTTCCGTATCGTAGCGATCTGTGGACCAGATTGTGGGATCAGCTGAGCAAAAACGGCGGTGATAAGTTGAGATTCAAGCCAAGCCACATTGCGGAGAAGCTGCTCGTTTCGTTAGCTTGTTATCAACCCGAAGCGTTGTCGAGATGCAGCACTCCGATGTCTCCGAGCGGAGGGTAACGGCATTTTGTACTCTAACTTTTGTGTGTATCCGATCACCAATTGCATGTGTATGTTAATACAAAAGTAATTCGGACTGTTTATGCTACTTGCTTTTGTAATAATATTTTCCTAGAAAATTAAAACATTTTGCTTATTCAATTTATTTACAAAAACTCTGTGTTCATATTTTTTCTTACACTAACTATTACTAATTTGTGTACATCAACAATGAACGATGATATTACAGATTTGTTGCAGTACCGTTCGGTGACTTCATGGGTAATCGAAATATCAAAATGGACTCGGGCTTGCCGTTTAACGAGACGGAAAGCTGCACCGCCTCGAAGCAGGAACACATTGTGTCGGTCAATTTGCGCGAGCTATCTATGTATCTTTTGAAGAACGGCACGCACACAACGTCGACTATGCACACACGAGGATCTTGCACCCCGTTACACGTTCACGCCATGGCCACGAGATACGTCGCCGCGCAATTGGAAGCTTCGCGTATGTTGTGTCAGATACTTTGCAGAGCGGCTGGTGTCGATCCGAGAATTGAGCAAGATCGTGGCTTCGGTTTGATGTAAGACAACATTCTTTTTTAACGCAACTTTCAGATAAAACTTTCACGTATTTCATTTTTGTATTCGAGTGTAACTCTTACAATTTTTGCAGAGATCAGTTGGATGAGACAAGACGATGGCTGTTGTTCATGCTTCTGCAGCGATACCGATATTCCATAGAGAGCATCGCTTTTCCGGCGCCGCAAGGATTTGCGTCGTTCTTTACGTATCTCGGCTATCGCACTGTTCAGTACCCGATGTTTCTCCAATACGTCGAACGTTCAGTATTTGAGCTTCAAGTCGATGTTACCAAGAAAATTCTAACTGGTACATACATACATGTCTCTTTATATTAAAACAAAAATCCTCTGCAAATGTACTGATGATTTTCTATGCAGATATAAGTGATACGAAGGAAACTGTCATTCAGAAGTTGAAGTTACTGTCCTTCTTGCCAAGATCTCGCGCGAAGAGACTTTTGAATCAGTGGCTGCATCCGGTTAGTTTCATGCTGCGAGCCAGAGAACACGCCGCCAATATTCTGTGCGGTGAAATATCTCAGAATCGAATCGGCAGTCGGACTCTGCAACATCGTAATCATCACAATAGTAAGCGGAATACATACGCACAAGTAAATTTTCGAGGAACGTAAATTTACTTGACGACACACGTGAATTCTCTTCCAGGTTTGGCAGCGTTTCCCTCTGCAGACCGTCTATCGCCATTGGATACGTTTTTGGATTTACTTACTGCGAAAGGTGACAATTGTGACATTTACAACAAGGCTCAGTTTTCTTGTCAGTTTTCACGCTTTGTTGATAAATCAATTTGTTGTTTTTTTTTTACAGCTAGTCTTACGGAACTGGATTTTGGACTGTTGATAGAAGCAACAGTAACATCTACGGAAGACTTTCTCTAAGAAATTATTAGAAATTTGATGTCATACCTGAAGTGACCATATTCACATGATATACTATATTTCTTAAACCATTGTGATTTAAAGCTTCCATATTTATTTATATAACTTAATTCCATAGATAAGAAAAGATAATTGTGAAGGGCACGTGAAATTACAAAAGTTATCATAGTTTATATATTTAAGAATCTCCAAAGAGTAGCAAGTGCCATTGAAAGCTGTTTAGTTACCAGATGTAATTAACAAATTTAATGTGTTTTATGTACACAATTTGTATAATTGTTTAATATGATTTTACATCATATTTAAACCATGGAGTGCAATATTAATATAAGTAGACAAATATATAATTTAACAAACCTATAAGGAAACAACCTTTGTGCTGTATTTTATTTGATGATTTTTTTAGAACGAGAGGAAGCCAGCCAATGTTTTTCACTTTTGTTTGAATTTTCTTATTTGCGACAGAAACGCTAAAATCATAGCAAAGTTCACCAAACTTAACATTAGTTTTCTCTGATTGGTTAAATTTAAATCCAATTTCAGTCGGTATTGATGAGCGAATCCTGTGCATCTAGCAACGCTCGTTCAATACACAGGCTTTCAAATGCTTCGAAAGTGTTGGAAGCATTTGAAAGTTGCAAGCAGACCGTGTTGTATATTTACTTTTGGCACATAACCTTCACCGCTCACAGCTGATGTAGACAACAATCGTACGCGACGATTAAGAGTAAAAGAAGAAGCTAAGACGAGCAAGTTTTGTGTTTCAAATTTTCTTCTTTGTTTGAATCTCGTGAGTTTTTATACGTATTATATTTTTGTCACATACAATTATATAAATTTATATTTAAAATTACAGATTTGTGTGTGTGTGTGTGTGTAACTAACACGGCGTCATCATGACCGACGTTGCTTTGACGAGCGAACAGAAAAAGTTCTTGGAAGAGTGCGAGGAGGAGTTTAAAGATCGTTACACGGAGAAGGACGACGCTTTTATGAAGATCAAGCTGCAAGAATCGACGAAGCCACCGATCGTCAATCCTTGGTACACCAAACACAGCAGACCGGAGTGGTCACACAGAGATCAAAGTTACGACAGACGTAATCGTCATTGGGATCGACGTAACATTGAGAGACGCGAAAGGAACGAGAGGATTGAACGACACGGCGGCAAACACTTCATGCATCATCGGCAAAGAATGTATTGATACATAAGTGATGTGACACAGTAAATCATCATTTTCTTAACACGTATAAAGTTTATCCTCAAAGATTTATATTTTATAACATCAATATCATACTCTTATAACATCAGTACTCTCTTATGTAAGTCCTATTTTTTATACATTATTTCGTTTAATTACTAAACTATATATAGTCGTATAATTCATTATCAAACTATAGTCTCGTATGTGTGTGTACATATACAAATTTTCCTTACGTGCTAAAAAGTATAATAATAACATTTGTGCAATTTACTCTTTGTATATTTCTTCAAGTTTTCTTAAATTTTTCCACGTAAAACTAATTTGTTTCTATTTCTAGTGTCTGAAAATAATTTGTAAAATAGATACGTACACAGGCGTGATTGCGTGATAAGTACCTGAAACAAAACGATCTATTGAGTTGAAATGTATTTTATTTGTCAATGTAGTCGCCTCTCGCCTCGATACACTTCGACCAGCGCTTCTCGAGAGCACTGATGCCACTTTGGTAAAACGATTTCTCGAGCTCTTCGAAATATACGTTTACGGCATCGATGACCTCGTGATTGCTCGAAAATCTCTTTCCGCCGAGCCATTTGTTGAGATTCGGAAATAAGTGAAACTCGCACGGGGCCAGATCTGGCGAATAAGACGGATGAGGCAGCAATTCGAAACCCAACTCGTAAATCTTGGCCATTACGACGGGCAAGGTGCGAGCTGACGCATTCTGATGAAAAAGCACCTCGTTCGTCGCCAAATCCGGTCGTTTCGCTTCGATCTCGTCGCTTAAACGTTGCAACAAGTTCGCATAATACTCGCCGGTGATGATTTTTCCTTTCTCGAAGTAGTCGACGAAAATGATTCCACGCGCGTCCCAAAACACAGTCGCTATCACCTTGCTATTACCGGTCGATGGAATCATTTTCGCTTTCTTCGGTGCCGGCTGATCGGTTTCTGTCCACTGTTCTTTGACGTCGGGTGTGTAGTGATGAACCCAGGTCTCGCCAACCGTTACGAATCGGCTTAGGAAGTCTTTCGGATTACGCTTGTAACGTTGCAAGCACTCGGTTGACACGTCCATTCGACGTTGTTTCTGATCCAACGTGAGCAACCGCGGCACCCACTGTGTGCACAGCTTCTTCATGTTCAAGTGTTCGTGCAAGATGTTGTGCACACGTTCGGACGAGATGTCCACTATCTCTGCTATATCGCGCAGCTTCAATCGGCAGTCGTCCATAACGATTTTGTGAATCTTTTGAATCATCGCCGGGGTCGTAACTTTGTTCGGACGTCCGCTTCGGTGCGCGTCTTCGCAGCTCGTCCGACCGCGTTTGAAGTCGGTTACCCATGTGTGGACCGTGCTTATCGAGGGAGACGAGTTGCCGAGAACCGCGTTCAGTTTGGATTTGATCTGCGTGACCGTTTTTCCCTTCAAAACGTAGAATTTGATGACAGCACGTATCTCGGTTCTTTCCATGTTTTTATTTTTAACATTAAAAAAAATCAGACCGATCACAGCGTGTACCTTGACGAGCTGTCAGACACTGCGCGCGATAACGAGACGGTGTTCGACATTTGTTCCTCTGAATGATGAAACTTTGTCAACAAAACAATGCGACGCTATTATCGCTATCTCGGTGGTGCGTCGGGCGCTTATCTCAATCGCCGCTCATATATTTATATACCGCGATATATTTTATATATTAATTTATGCATTTTTTTTCGAGCGAGACGAGAATACCGGCGGGTGACAAACGCGTAAACGCGGGGAGCCCAACCTAACCTGTGAGGAAAAATCGACAAGTGTCTCTCGACGAGACCTTGAAACACAGAAAATTTATATTTGGTACATGTGCGAGTCCGTGACACATTCGGTGCGCGATACACGGCGCGTTGTTTTATTACACCAAATTGCAAAGCTCTCGTTAATTAATTTATTCCGCTAGCTTCGATCTCACTTGTGTTACGCGATATTTTGTCTCAAGCCAAAGAAAAAGAAGTAGCTCGCAGCAAAACACCGATTTTTATTTTTGGTTAAGTTCTCGTAATGTGATAAATTTGCAAACTCACGAGAAGAGCGATTTTTTGAAAAACTGCATGCGTTTAAAAACCTGGCAAACATGTGGGCGGACACTATTCTAATTTTGTTTATCAGCATATGCACGGCGTTATTGGGCGAAGGTAAGACGGCAGAGAGAATATTTCGCTGATCGCAATTTAACGAGACCAGCGGATAGCTCGTGAGTTAATCAATTTGAAATGTATTTTATGTTGCATGAGTTACAGGATTGACATGGTTAATGGTGTACAGAACCGAAAAGTATCAGAAGTTAAAGGCCGAGGTTGAGAAACAGAGTAAAAAATGTAAGTTTCTCCAAAACAAAAATCTTGTTGGAATTAAGAATGTATGTATGTTCGAGATCTGATGTTCAATTTGTCTAAAATATTTGCCCATTTGTTAGTGGAGAAGAGAAAAGAAGCGCATGGCGATTCGTTGGATAAGCAGCAAAAGAAAAAAATCGAACGAGAGGAGGAAAGATTGAAGAATAACAATCGAGATCTGTCCCTCGTGAAAATGAAGTCGATGTTCGCCATTGGATTTGCGTTCACGGCACTTTTGAGCATGTTCAACAACATATTTGACGGACGAGTTGTCGCCAGATTGCCGTTTGTTCCCATCAGTTGGATACAGGGTCTGTCGCACAGAAACTTGCCGGGCAACGATTACACGGAATGCTCCTTCATATTTTTGTACATATTATGTACCATGAGTATCAGACAGGTACTTGATCCGGTTGTTTAATCGCACAAACTGTGCACTGAGACATTTATTATACATGTAGATACTTCTGATTTTTAGAACATACAGAAAATGCTCGGTTTCGCACCATCCAGAACGGCGAGCAAGCAGAGTGGCAGCATCTTCGGACCTCCACCTCAACAATTTAAATAAACAAATCACGTCATTGTAGATATGTACACTTCCTGCTCAATTATGAACATGTTTACTTATATTTAATTGATCTTTACAAACTTTTATCCAAATACCTTGTATCTTACATTGCATTCTCTGTTTTTAAAAGACATTTCCAGATTTTCAACACATGTGCGTGTGTATCTTTTTCCTACTACTTAAATATAAAATATATATATATACACACATATATATATATGTTATATTGAAATACGTGATATATCTCTTCCTTATTCCTTATTTACAATTGTCCTCTAATTTATTTTTTAAATAATATGTAATAAAAGGAAAATTGAAGGCACACTTCACTTCAATATCTGTAAAATATCTCAAATATATTCATCGTTATTATTAAATTATGTATAAAGTAAAGAATGTGAAATGTGCATCGTAATATTACGTAAGTTTTATGTGATGGTGATTCATGCGCGAGAAAAATCAATTAAAACAATTTTTAAAAATAGTTATGTGACTGATGTATTTTTATATCAAGTGTTCATATAACAATCAGCAATGTTATATATACAAACGTAACGACTAATCACATACAAAAAAATATATATCCTTATTTATATTACACGGTAAAAACGTTGTATTATAATATATATATATATACTACTACTACTAACGACAACTTAAACATTAATAATCGTAAGAATTGTTACATGATTCTATACAAAGTGTTTTTGCTTTTTTTTGAATAACAATTCAGATCAATTGCGTTCTGTTTTGTTTTGCTCATACTTATGTTTTAAAATACAAGTGTTATTTTTAATAATTATTAACATCTCTTGGTCTTTATATATATATACATACATATATATATATATACATATATATATATATATACATATATATATGTATATATATAATAACCGACATATTCTGTTAAAACTAGCAGTTTTCAGTCTCTCATTAGAATAAGGTATGACTTATGTATGTATGTAATAAGCGAATTCCGGTTTCTACAGAGAAGAAACTCCGTGTGTACTTGTTGTTAGAACTTATTGCCTTAATTATTAGAAAGTACAAGCTTCATATTGTTACGCGAAGTTTTTTCGGAGATTTTATCTTATCTCTCTTTATAATTAATTTTTTATAATTAGAACTTCGAACAAGAAGCAATAATTGCGCGTTCTACAATTCAATTCCAGTTCTTCGTCAATTTTTGAAAAAATGTGTCTTGGTCTTAACCAAATACCTCGCAACTCTATCCCATCCTCTCGATGTTACATCTCTATCGAGTTCTCCCGTTAAGAAGAGTTTCTAAACTTACGGCTTTGGAAAACAAAGTTCCTGTCTGCTACCCCGAATCTCTTTAACGAAGTATATATCTGCACCGTGTGCAACTTCGCGATACTTAGATGTTTCAATGGATTTCGAACCCCACCGACATTGTTTCACAAGGGTAGCGTGTCAGTAATATACCCTAAAGACACAATACACGTAGAGAATTACAAATCTCGGCAGTGTGACCGCATATGCAAACGCAAAAGGAAGACGCTAAGAGACGATACTGCGCAACATAATTTTTGAAAGAAAAAAAAATAGGGAACTGAAATTGATGATTTTAAGTATCATCTCTTTTTCTCTGAAATTGATTATGGAAAATATTCTGCTGTCCAGCAGCTGTATTCGACATGATTATATTCGCGATTGTACATTTGTATTTTTCATCCAATAATATCGAATATCGTGCAAAGTGTGTGTGTGTGTGTGACTGAATATCCGATTAGTTTATTGAAGTGACAATATTTACAAAATTTTCTTTTATAAGCGCGTAACGATGAATTAAACAACAGAATTCGAAAATCAATATAACCATGCAGTGAATTTTGTGAAAAAAAAAAAAAAAAACACTTCACGTTGAAAGTTGTTTTTTCTTATGCATTCGCATGTTCAAATGCGCGCTCGCTTTTCTAAAACGAGTTGTTTAAATGTCTAATCCTAGTCTGGTGTTGCATGACTCCAGAGCAAACATAATATATGCGTAGCTCATAGGCCTCATCGGTTAGAAAAGCGAGTTGTTCGGTCAAATCCATAAGTATTCCAGAGAAAATCAACCGTGTACATAAAAAAAAAAGACGTTGGTACGTCTGATTTCAGTTTCTTTCCAGTTTTTTTCTTTCCACTATTCGACTTTCCATCTTGATTCGGAGTCTTCGCCTTCAAAGATTGGAATCCAATTGGTCGTTACAAGTCATTGGTTATTAAAATGACTTGAGTGCTCATACCAGTCTAACTTCAATCGAAGGGATTCTGTATCAATCAGAATCCCGGCTCGAGACTTGCAGTTTCAGGTGGATTTTGACCTATCAGACAACAGCACACGGACAACACTTGATGGTATCACCCATTCAAGTCCCGTGTTCAGCGTTGTTTGAACTGCAATATTCCCATGAGAACTGGTATTTTTAACGTGAAAATGCCGTTGTCTGAAATGTTTTCCGAAAAATCGGGAAACATCGGAATTTCATCTAAAAACTTAAGATTTTCTTCTCTGTCCTTCAAAATGGTGGACAATTGACACCAGGATGAAGATATTGGCACTTGTCACCTACTCGGCAGTAACCATTTTTTGAGAATTGTCTACACACCGGAGGTTGCTTTCCGCTACCCCGCCAAACACCACCACCACCCCTCCATACACCTCTGGCGGCTCCGCGATACCCCCAGCCTGGACCACCTCTTCCTCGGTTGAGCATAGGCGCGCCTCTCGGTCCCGGAAAGTTCGGGCCAGGACCGAACATCGGTCCAGGCGGGCCCTGAAAATTGTTCGGATTCATGTTGTTGTATGCCATCTCATCTGGACACATCATCCCTGGATAGCCTTCTTGTTGTTGATTGTACATAGGTGGCGGACCTATCATTCCCGACGGAACCATTGGCGCACCTTCCATTCCTTGATTTGGATATCCACCTGACATGCTCATTTGATTTATGTTAACATCTGGTACGAGAACTTTGCCGTCGCCCGTCCTCCATCCGCCGCCAGTGGCCGCTGGGATTGTCGATCCTGCCATCTCTTGATTCATAGGAGAAATGTGTGTGGGAGCCATCATTTGATGTGGCATTTGAGACATCGGGCCCATCGTCGATTGAGGACCCATGGGCGTCATCATCGCTTGCTGACTATGCGGGAATGTCGTTTGATAATGGAACGTTGTCACAGTGGAAGGTTGCGGTGGCAATTGTGGTTTAGGTTCAGGCCATGGTACCGAAGTGAAGTCCTTTTCACTCTCTTTATTGCCCGTAAGATCGTCCAGCGGTATTATCTGGGGTTCGGTCAACACGTGGTGTCGCTCTTCGTCAGGTTCTGCCGCAGAGTCTGGAATCCTGTGATTTAAAAATGATAAGTATTATTTCTAATAAGTAGATATTTCTATTTCAAGAATGTTTAATAATTCCTCTTTTATAAGTTTTTTGTTTCAATTTTCTTCTTTGATGGTTCTGAGTTTTTTACTGTGTGGTTCTGGAGGGTATCTAATTCTTACTCTTTAAGAGATACTATGTATATATATATATATATATATATATATATATATATATGTACGTTTTAGATTTCACGTGTTATCTCATTCGAAGTAACAGACATGTAACATAATATGTAAGTTTACACACATAGATAGATATTACGCCTACGTAAGAATAAGGAGAAAGTGATTGAGTAAGTGAGAAAGAGAGAGAGAAAGAGATAGAGATAGATAGATAGATAGAGAGAGAGAGAGAGAGAGAGAGAAAGCATAAAGAGACGGACAGCAAGAGAGAGAGAGAGAGAGAGAGAGAGAGAGAGAGACAGAGAGTATGTGTGCGCGCGCATACACACAAGTACATAGCCATTACTCATATAGTCCGATCTTATATTTGATAAATCATCTTAAGTTTACGTATAGTTCACGTAACATGTATTATAGATTTTCAGTACTGACAGAGAATTTTGAAACACGCATTTGTAATAAACGCAGTTTGATCAATATTAGCAAAGAGATCGCGTTGGTAGTATGGACCTCACAGCCATTAAAAAACCAGATCCATCGAGAAGTTATTGAAAGTGCTGTTTTGCATGTATATCATAATATATATTGTGTAAAATATATATTTTATATAAAATACAAAAATTATCTCAACATATTATAAAGGTATTGATAAATTTATTTATTACGTTCCTAAATACATGTATTGTTATGTTATTGTTATAACAGCGACAAATTAATTGTACATGTATACCGCATACGTACATGCTTCGGTTAAAGTAAAGAGCTTGAAGAATTCCTTTTTCGCGAGCATATTGAATATCTTTCTCTTTGCTATTTTTTCCTGGCTCCACCAACGGAGGAGGTAAATCGATGGGAATCAGAGGTTTCCATCTAGTTCTCTCTTCCATCAGATCTTCGTTATCTAAAGAAAAGAAAGCAAAAAGTGTCATTCTTTCGTTCAAATTAGATTTTGCACATTTATAATAGGTATATAATAGGTATATAATTGATTTTATAATAGATATATAATCGATCCGAGATCTCGAAAACGGAGAAAGAACAGACCAATCAGATTCGTGTGACTTTTGGTCAGTCGACCAAAGCGATCGATCATTTTTCTCTCGATCCGAGATGTCCGATGATTTCTAGCAATGTCGCAGACACACGTGGTTTGTTCTTTTTGTACTACCATCTGTACATTTAACTTTATGACGTTGTCGCGGTGCAGCAAAAAAAAAAAAAAAGAACAAACCTCAACAAGGCCCAATTGTATACTGTAAGTATATATACATACGTAATTTTCTGGCCATCTGGAATGCTTCTCTTTCATTTTGTTTCTCTATCTGTTTCATATCGGTGAATGTCTTCGTTACATTGACCCTTTCCGTTTCGTCCAGTTCGAAGTAACGTATCGATTCCAGATCCGTCTTCCACTTCAACACTTTTTTCGGTCCTTTACGTTTCTGAAGTAATAACACGCTTCTAAGCCCGTCCACGTATCGTATTTCAGGGTAGGAACTGTCCTTCTTCGACGAGTCCGAGGACGCATCTTCCGGAGATTCGGAATCTTTCGTTACGTCTTCTATGTCCTCCTCGGGTGTTGGCGCTGTGAGGAAAACAAACGAATTATATACGCGCCGAAAAAACAAAAAGGATGACAAACGCAGAAAACTTTACGATAAAAAAGGAGCATCGTTTTTTAAACAATCTATAATATATTGCATAATCAATATGTTATATAAATAAAGTGAGTATATCTACACAAGTAAATAGTTAATATATGTACTTATTTCTTATATTTTTATAGTTACAATTGTTTATGCAATTTTATAAAAAGAAAGCGAATTTTTGAACTTTTATTTTGTTTTTACTTAGTAAATTAATGTGTACTTACTGTTACTTCCAGTATCGTCGTCGTCTTTACTATATTTATCATCCTCAAGGTCTTTATCTGTCTTCGCATCCTCATCGTTATTGTCTTTTTCTTTTTGATCTTTATCCTCCTCTATTTCGAGCGTATCTTGATAGAACTGTAAGCATCGAGTTTTGCAATTATGATATTGATTCGCTCCATTTATTTTCAAACGAATATATTTATAAATAAAGAAAAGAATGTAGTAAATACAAGCTTCGCTGAGACTTAATTAAAATTTAATTGCAAAAAATAAATGGCAATATTTTACGAAAAATTAATATTAATAATTCTATTAGTATAAAAAAAAAACAAGAAATATTTTTCATATTATTTTTTATTGTTTAAATATTATTTAAATTATTTAAATATTTTTGTTAATGTTTTTCAACTATCGAATTCGAAAAGTTTTTGGAAGTGATTTTTAACGCAATTGAAGCGAAACACATCATAAACATTACGTGTGCAGAATACAATAGTAGATGCGTGTACAGAATATCTCAACAACAAACAACAGATCGAATTTAAATGATGGATTTTAATTCTATATCTTTTTTTTTTTTTCAGAAACAGCACACACAGGCACGCACAGGAATCAATATGTTTACCTTGAGATTGGGTTTGATAGCGAGCGGCAATTTTTCCTCCGCGTGCGAAGGCGAACCGGAGGGTGGTGTGCCCTCGCGATTATCGGCATTAGCGACCTCCTGCTTCTTGCTCTCGGAGGCACCGTCCTTGGTGATTGAAGTTTTGCGCTTCCGTTTCCTCGGCTCCTGGCGCTTGGTGGACGCGGTGAGGGCATCCATAAACATGTCGCTTTCTTGCAGCACCATCGCTAAAATCAACGACGCATTCGAATTATTATATAACAAAATTTATTATAAAAAAGACTCGTACGTAGGTGCTTTAATACATAAAGAGTGGAAGAGTATCTATAAATGTAACAATATACACAAGTTGATATACGCTGTACTATATATAGACTTTGGGTTACATGTCTCTGAAATCAAATGCAACAAACTATTAGAAGCGTCTCGGCCGTATTCATGTACCCAATCTGATCGAGAATGAGACAAAGAATTTCTGAGAAGATTTAAAAAGAGAATATTAAAGCCAGGAGCATCCTGTAGTCCGAGAAAAACGATGACTCTGAAAAAGGCGGCACATCTCATCATCATTTACACGCGTTTGCAAGAATGCAGAATTTTCCAAAGGGCGACGAAATAAACTCAGCGCGCGTCCAACTTGCTCCCACAGACAGCGGGGGTCTTGTTTCACGGGATCTTTCTCCAAACAGATGTAAATACATATGTATATATATACATATATATATATATATATGTAACTCAGTTTTACATCATGGATCTCCCATAGGAAAGCAATTATCTGACGATGTAAACTTAAAGTTAATTTCTATCATGTTTACGCAAAAAAAAACGTGAAGTCTTAAAAATGTCTTGAAGTTATTCCGTAAAAATTTTCCGTATCGGTTTTTTGCCATCTCCTAAAACAATAATCGTGTGAAACACAAAAACCAAGAAACAATTTCAGTTTTATTCGACGTGTTAATACGAAGCGATATTGTTTTTTCTCTTATAAAACACGTGGTTTAGTAAAAGAGATGCGAGGAGAAAGAATAACAAAAATGTAATGTAGAAGGAATGTTAAAAGATAGCAACGATATTTACAGCGATATTTACAGCGAATATACGTATCTGTCTATTAGCAAAAGACGGACGCGATGGCTCGAATCTTTGAATTATCTTTTAATTAAAAATTAATTCTCTTTACATAAACGCGTGGTCGCTCACTTATTTAGAAAATTAAACACACACTATGTATGTGTTTCTGCAGAGTTGACAGAAATTTTGTATCGTCATAAAAAATGTCTTATTCAACTCTACACATATATATATATTGATCCCAGACAGCATAGAATGTCCAAAATACATCAGTGAAACGTCCGAAAGACGTTTTTGTTACACAGATAGGACGTCTTCTGGATGTCCCATAGACGTATTTCGGACATGAGTACCGTCTTTAAAGATGCTCTTTATACACATGTGTGCTTACAATTAAGAACAGGGAATCCAAGACAATTGTTGGATATTTATTGTTGTATTACAGATATATCGTAATTCAGAATTTACCATATACGTATACGAAATTGCAAGAAAATATTTTGATATTGTTACGTGGTTTCTTTTCTTTTTTTTTTTTTTTGAAAAAGTTAAATATTTGAAATCATATTTTATTATTTCATTGCCATTATGTATATTTCAGGTGTCGTTTCAAATAACTCTGTTTATGGAGAAAAAGGGATTCTCATATTTATTCTATAAATTACACACAAAAATATATTACACAGAGTTTCTTTTTTACACACAAAAGAGTAAATCGTACGTTTACTGTGAGGAAAGAGATGTGTCATTATCTCAATGTTGGATAAAATGTGTGTGTGTGTGTATGTGTGTGTGTGATATTTGGATTGAATACACACCTCCAGACAAAAAATAGTAGAAATTTATTTCGAAACATGCGACGTGTCAAGATGCGGGCTCGGAGCGCAGATATGTGTTTACAAAATGACTACAAAATATTTGCGTTATATTGTTGTCATTTTGTCACACTTTGATGAAAAGCATGTCTGTTCTTGACGTCGTTGTTTTGAAATAAATAGATACCATTTTTCTGTCTGGATGTCAAACTATTTCTTGAATTATTGAATTATTGCAAGACAAAATATACAAGTGCTGTCACTCAATTATGCTGTCACACATTACTAGAGAAATCTCTAACTTTGTAAGTTCATGTAATAGATAAATATACGAGCGTAAAGAAGTTACATACATGTTTTTTGACAGCACTAAAAAAATTTATATACACGTACAATAAAACAGCATGAATGCCAAAAATTGAGGAAGAATGTACTGGGTGAGTTACATGTGTTTTATTTCTCCGGAAATAATATCTAGAGGCAAGATACTGGGACGTATGTTGTATATATTCGTATTGTTGTTTTAACAGCAATTTCAGTTTTTATTGTAAATCTAAAGCAGTTTTGTCAGTTTCTACGATGTGACATCGGGTCTATCATTATCTCTAGATTATTCTTTGTATATACATAAGAACTATATATCGGTAACAAATGTAAAAACCTTTAAACGTATACGTATATGTACGATACATCTTCTGCAAGATAAAAAAAAAAAAAAAGAAAAAAAAAAAGAAAAAAAAACAGAAAAAACGTAAATCATTGAAATCTTTGATTCAAAAATTTTGATGAGTAAGTTCTTTCAACGTATACGTAATATACGTATACGTTTGCACACGTGAATAAAAACGTATAAACTAAACAAATATACACGAATGAATGGATGAATAAGTTACCGCACATCACGTTCCCGTTTTATTTTTACGTGTTCAAATCAATGAGATAAAATTTAAATATTGAAAATTAAATGCTCTGTTACATGTTCCATCAAATATTTTTGTATCTTATTCATTCATTTTGTACTGTACATTAACAACATTTATATTTCTTACAGACATAATTCCGAAAACTAATATACAACTTAGTTAACAAGAACAAAAGTCAATATCAAAGTAAAATTTAACTAAATTCAAAATTTACATTTACGTCTCATTAACACAGTCCGATGTTCTTTTACATTACGTATGTAAGAGAAATATATCGTAAACATCTTATGTACAATTTTTTTTTTTTTTTGCGAAATTCACACACGCACGAGAAGTAAGTATAAGTAAATGATCGCGAAATTATGCACGTGCGTCCGAAAGCCGGAAGTTGTCACATAGGTGCTCGAAATCTCCCCCACCATCACTGTTCTCTCATGTAACGGGTGGAGATTTCGAGCCATGCAGTCTGGCATCTCCAAAACGTGTCTCCATAATCCGGGCGTATTTTAACATAATTTGAGTTCATCGCGCGAAGACAAACGTTTGAGCGCGAGTCGATGTGCGTCGAACCGATAATAGGTGCAAAAGTACACGCCGCGCGTTTACCCTAGCGGCGCATTGGCAAGAAGCCATGTGCGTCGGCGTAAAACGGTCGCGAAAACATCGTCCGGAACGTGTGTCTCATCATCGTGAAGCGATTTTTGTTTAAAATTTTTCGCGTTAAAATTTCTCGCATCAACTTCCGGCACGATGAAAATGTAGAGAATATGATGAAAGCAAGTCAATTTTTGGATGAAAGTGCCATAGCAAAAATGCCATCGATCTTTAGTAACTCGCAACCGTGCGTGCGTGAGTGCGTGCGTGTTGTGACGTTTTGTTTCGAATAAATCTTTTTTTTCTTTCTTGGTAACGCGAAAACGCTCTTTTTATTATATAATCTGCAAAAATGCGCGCGCAAAGAAATACGTACCACAAAATTTGTTGCGCATAATAAAATACCGGATTTACACATTGTGTGCGCTTGTTGCATAATACACGCAAGCAAGAATCGCTAGGCAATTCTTTAAAAATATAATCTCGACTTTTATTTATTTATTTTTTTTTTTTTCAATGCGAGGTTTAAGAGCGCAATGTGGCTTTTTTTTACAACGTTATTTTTTTGTGAGTCACTTTCTATTTTTGTAACTTTGATTTTTAAATTATATTGATGTATTGGCACGACGTAGACTGTCCATTGTGTGCCGATGCATCAGATGCAAAAGGCTCTGCCTGGGTAGTCCTTTGTAAAAGAGGTTTTCCTGCGTGAAGACGTCCCAGTACGCAGTGTTTCAGAATTCGTGCATTCGAAATGTTATTCGTCTCTGAGCATTTGTTGAACAAACACTTCGTTTGTTGCATGCCGTTGTTTTTTTTTTTTTTTTTTTTTTACTACTCGCTCTCGTTCGCTCTCTCTCTCTCACACACGCACACGTGCATGTGCGCGCGCACGCGACATGCACACACAGACGTTTTCTCACTACCTCTGTGCTTTTCCCTTGTTCTTCTTCTCTATTGAAGGAATCTCGTGCGACGAGCAAATCTCAAATCTTCAATTTCTTTATTTTCTTTAATAAAAAAAAATAATAATAATTAAAAAATAAAAAAAAAAAATTATTTGCGCCACCTCGAAACTCGGTGGTGCGTTTAAACGTGTCCTAGGACAATGATAAAAATTGTACAAACAAAAAAATATATATCTTTCTCATTGAAGTGTGACAATTTGCTTATGTGATTTTTTTTTTGTAACATTATTAAACTACTCGACAAGTTACGATTGAGTTATTCTATCTACGCGTTAAATATAGGTCTTTATATGACTCAATACAAAAAGACTTTATATGATTCGGTCTTGATTGTGATTTCGTGCTTCTCATTTAACAGGTTAAATTACACGTTCTACGATTACTCTATATAGATCTTTTTTCTTTTTTTTTTTTTTTAATAAATTTTTATTTTTGTGTGTTCTTCTTTTTCCATCCATTTTCCATTGATCGTCAGTCACCGGATCAGGTGTGCTTCATTTTTTGGATATGCGGAAAGACCTCGCAAACAAATGCACTATACTTTCCGGTACGTCGCGGAAGTTACTCCAGTTTGTAATCTCATCTTCATCTTTTGGCGATGTAAATGCCTTTACACATTGTCGAGGTGGTCTGTGTACTTTTCTTGTAAAGGCGTTTACACCGCCCGCTTGAATAAAAGGGGAGGGGGATTGTCACAAAACTTGAAAATACGATCAACTTGACGGTTTTGTGGCAGTCCCAAAGCAAACTTTTTTTTGCTTCTAATTGTTTATCTCTCGACTTTTGTCACAGACAACTGAGAAAAGTCTGTTATAAGTGAACAGTCCCCCTCCCCCCAACTGTATATTACATTACACCGAGAAAGGATGCAAATCTCTTATGGGTTTGTGTTGCGGCTTGCACTCGAGAAACAGTGCGTTTTTTTTTTTTTTTCAAAGCAATTGGTTGTCCGTTGCACTCAATAAAAAGAGAAATATACGGAAACTTAGAAAATCCAGAAGTTATTTGTTTACCAGAATTCTGATAAATTTATTTGAATGTTTAAGTAAGATATACATGTACAACAAAAGGAAGAAGTTGAATAATCAAGGAGCAGACCTTACCTAAAGCAGAGATCACTATACTCCTGTGTGTTGTCTTCATATGGTTGTGTTTCTTACTTCTCACTTATATCGAAGATAAAGCACACGCTATCGATAAATCGCAGGGCACTACTAAAGTGCGCAACTCTTACTTTATATATATATATATATATATACATATATATATATATACTCTATATATCGAGCACTATTGTTATATAGCGATCAATGTTAAATTAAGTGATTCTTTTATGTTGTTCTTTGATGTTTTTCTGATTTTTTTTGCTTGCGCGTAAAAAAACTCGATTACATAGTGTAAAAGTCAGTGTAGATCACTTTACCTGCTATCGAAGATCTTAATATAACGAAAAAGTTTCGGAGTGGAGTTTCTCTTGCAGATCGGCCTTCTAATAACAAATACTACGTGTTTCTCTCTAGATGTCATGTGTTCCGTATGGGCCATTAATAAATTCTTTGTAAAAGTTGACCTTAATATATCTTGGTACAAGAGTAATAATAAAATTTCTTTAAGGTAATATAAAATAATAAGACGTGATTGCGCCAGTACTGTGATATAAAACGTGTTGCCTGGAAGAAATGATAAAGAGAGTTAAATGAAAGTACATGAATATACACAAATGGCCGACGAAAGATTTGCGACATTCGGAAAATGTGACGATGTGCGGAGGATGCAAGTCCTCAAATTGATGCTTCCACCTGCGAACTCAATATTATAGAGTTAGTAATAGGTCATATATAGTACAGCATATATAGTAAAATGTAAGAAAAAGCTCAAGCAGTCATTGTTCACTTAATTTTGTGAAGATATAAACAAGTAAAATCTTATTCTAAATTTCTCTATACACGACTTATAAAAAACAATAATATAGAAAAAACAATATGTTGTATACAACAATATATATGCGTGTGTATTAATACTATATATTAATTTGTTAAAATAACTTTTTAAAGAAATAAAAAATATAAAAAATAATACATACAAAACAAGAAAAATAATAATTTATGTTTAAATATAACATCTTTTCTATCCGTGCTTAGTAAAAAAAAATATTTAATGTATCTAAATAAAAAAATATGTAATTGATAAAACTATATACTACAGACATAATTTTTTATTATACTTTTTCTGGTATGTTGCAAGAAAATATATGAAATAACAATACAATTCATTACTTCTTAATTACGATTTATATTAAGTAATAAATTATGTTTCTTTTATTACTGTCTGGTCTATAAAATTATTTATAAATAATTACTTGCTTTTGTTTGTATAAAAGAAATAAAAGCGTGAACGTTTAACGTATTTTCTTAAACAGTTTGTATAAACGGTGGTGTTCACGCACCTTTTTAACATGTTTTATAAGTTATTGCAAGTGATTTTGAACAAATGAACTTATGCATATATTTATATATGTTTTTCTATATTTTATACACGCAGGCTTTTGAACATTTGACTGCTTAAGAATATTAGCAACAGGTTTACATATAGATTAGAAGATAGAAATAAGAATATCAGTATTAAAAATATATCATAATAGCACGTAAAAGAAATAATGTTTATAGGTTGTAATAGGACACATGTATACATACGTTTTGGTTTTGGCGGTATCAGCTTTATTCCTCCTTTCTTCTCATCGTTTGATTGCGTGGTTGGTTGGTCCAGTGACAGTTTCATGCGTTTCTCGAGCAGTGGAGCCGCTTCTCTGATTGGCGATGACCTCTTTAAAGGAAATTTCGGTGGTAGAACTTTCTTATCAACGACGAGATTCGGTTTTTTCGATCTAGGCGGTGGTGGCTTTATTTCTTCCTCCAAACCCGTGGATCTAAACTTCGAATTAAACGTCTTCACAGTTTTCGGCCGCGGTGCTGAGTCTTGACTGTTTTTCCTCTCGATGGAAATTGATATGTTCTTCTTCTCGCTAACTTTAGTTACAGCTGTGTCCTTCTTCGAGTCCGTCTTTTCCGTCCTTTCTTTATTGTCCCTCGAACTGTCCCGGGACTCAGTCGAGGTTTTTCTTCCGCTAATTTCCTTTTCGTCTTCTGCCCGTTTCTTCGGTATCTTTCCTAATTTAGAACTCAACGCCTGACCCTGCACTTTCTCCAGAGTTGCCTTGTCCTTTTCTGCTTGATCTTTCTTTTGCTTTTCCTTCTCCTTTTCCCGTTCCTTGTCCCGGTCTGTTTTGCTCCTACTCGAGCTATTATTATTACTGTGTTTACTAGATGAGCTTGAGTGATGTTTGTCCTTGGAAGACCTATCTTTACTAGAACTGGAACTTTTGGAACTACCGGATCGATGGCTGCTGGATTTATGAGAGCTGCTGCGATGTAAACCAGAACTGTGTTTCGAAGAACTCTTGGACGATGAACTATGATGATGACTACTACTTTTCTTGTCGGAACTAGATTTTTTGTCATCTTTTTTATGAAAGTCTCTACTTTCCTTGTCACTAGACTTACCGAGATCACCACTCACAGTGTCCTTCGAATCTTTATTGTCTTTAATATCTTCTTGAGTTTCTCTCAAAGCATCTACAGTGTCCTTCACTTCACTGAGAACGTGTTTCGAGTCATCTAATTGCTCAAAATCAACCGCGTCGTCTCGAGCACTATTTGCACTGCCACTCTGTTCCGTTTCTTTCACTTCGTCTTCTTGCTTGGCCTCTTCCTTCACAAAGAGCGTAGTGTCCGCGAGTTTTTCACTTTTAACTTTCGTGCTTACATCAGATATATTTACAACGCTATTTATATTAGCAGAGTCCGTCTCCACTTTGGTGAGGACCTGTTTACCGTCGCGAATGGTGATCTTGTAAACTGACGTCGCGGAAGACACCGACGGCGCGGAAGACGATACAACAACAAAAGATTGTTTTTTACATGGTTGTTGCGTCGTATTTGCTGGCTGCTGCACTTGCTGACTCTTCCCAACAACGTGTACCACTTGCGGTAGCCTTTCATGCTGTTGATGCAGTTTCTCTTGCTCTTGCTGAATTATTTGATTTGTTGAAGCGTTCACGGGTTGTTCCACGAGCTTGAAACTGTCCACGTGAACAGTTGCATTCTTGGCAACGTCTACGACTTGTTGAACGTTTACCGAAAAATGCTGTTGTTTTTGTTGTTCTTGCTGAGACGAAGGTACTACCACGGCTTGCACAGTGGTAGTTGGATGCACTGGAACTGTCATAATTTGAGCTGGCACTGAATTCGGCGCTGCTTCACCTTTTACAATCTTCAGCCATTGCTCCACAAGCCGAGTGGCTAACGTCCGTACTTCCTGGTGACTACCTTCCTTCGACAAACCCTTGATCAACTTTGGACAATTATTGCTCTTCAACCGTTCGATATCAACGGGACAAAGAAGCAAAAGCTCCAAAAGTTCTTTTATCAGAGCCCAGTTTTTGGCAAGAATGCCATCTGTGAGCCACGTGTGGATGAGATTCCATCCACCGGCGCTCATAAATCTGCAAAAAAATAGGGATTATAAAATATAAAATAATGCAACTTGCTTTATTTCCTTCTCTTTTTTTTTTCATTATAATTTTGTGTGGAAAAACCAGAAAAGCGAATTTTGAACTTTTTTTTCCTTCTCTTGAAAACTTTCAAGGTCAGTGAATTTGTAAGTAATATTTTAAGTGTAAGGTTCGTATCAGTAAAAATGGCACATTGAAAAGTACCATCTAATGGTTCTGAGCCTCTCATAATTTTATCTTGCATGTTTTACTTTTTGTTTCACACAAGTGTGTATGAATTACATAATTCACTTGTGTGTCTCAACATGCGACAGACACATTGCTATTAAATTTGTGTGAATTAAAGTTCATTACTTACTGACTAAGCAAGTCTGTATTGGTAGTTTTCAGAATTTGGATGTAAATGCATTTTGAAACTAGTTTCTTCGAAAACTTCGTCATTAGATTGGCTAACCGATTAACTTCTTCTCTACTTTTAATGCCTCCCGCCGGACTCAATAAAACACTGAGGCATTTTAGTAATGAAAGAGGATCAATGCGTGGCTAAAAATTTAAGAAAAAATAGTATTAGTAATACAATTTATTATATGCAAAATGTTCACTTATCTCATTATCTGTATAAACTATCTAACTTGAACCGATTTCGCTCTCTTAAAAAAGCAGCATCGCGTTGTTTCTAGTTGCGCGTTAATCGACTCTAGCCTTAGTCAGTTCCATTTTCGATTAAGTGAATCACCCGATTAAGCGTCAACCGTCAGTCTGATTAGTCAGCGCTTAGCTGATCAGTCGACCAATACGATTCAACGAAAGAATCGACCGATTAAGTTAATCGAAGATGACGAAACTGGGGTCCTTATAGCCAATTAATAGACTTCCTGTCAATAAACCCTCTCTGTGCTAGCGCTACTGTCTATTTCTAAGCAGTCGGTTAAATTCTATATTTCTTTAGGCAATATTTATTGCATTTTTATGTTAATATAAAATTATACAAATGCCAAGTAAACACACATTTTCTGTCAGTTTTAATGACTTTCTGAGAGAAAGAGAGATTTATAATTTTACTTGTAAATCTTATAATTTATTAAAATAAAAAAAATAAATAAACTATAAAGTAAAACCAATAAATAAAATTTAAAAAACAGTAACATTATTTAACATTCAATATTCGGATATTCTGAATATTAAAATATTAAATTTCGCTTGAACTTGACGTTTCAACTTGAACATCTGATTGAAGTAATGATTGCGCAATTGTCTGATTCTACGAACTGACGATACAGCGTAAAACTCCTCGTCAAATCTCATTTAATCGAAAAGTTATTAAAATATCTAATTCTGTTTAAAATTTCAAACTGTAATTATGTATATATCATGATATTACTATGCTTCTACAGCAGCAATTTTATCTCCTGAAGAGTAACAGTGCACATTTTACTATCCACCACTGATAACAAGCTTGGAGCGTTATCCCCGAGTTTTGAAAAAATCGCACGCGATAATTCTTAAACATTACTAGAATACGAAACAAAATATGAAATATTTTACGCGATATCTTTCAGAAATGAGGGTTGGCTGCACTGAAACAAAGCATCAGAACAGAGGAAAAAATAGCAGATTGGAATGGTAATAAAAAAAAAAAAAAAAGATAATAAATTAGAACAATTCCTCAATCAGAGTAATTTTGGTTTTTGCCGGGTTTTTCACTTGGCACAAAATTTTATCATGAAAAGAAACGGAAACATTTTTCACCTACAAAAACTTTACATTAAACAGCGCAAATTTGTGATCACAGATATCAAGATTTGTGGAGTTTGTAGAAAAGTTGAGAAATATTTTATAACAAAAAATGTAATAAAAATTACAACTATATGTTAGAAATTTTTTCCTATAAACTTATTGCGAGCCTGTTAATGTTCAAGAGATTTAACGTATAATTTATACAAATAACTAAAATTTATTTGCAGAAAAAAACCATTTATTACTTTTAACTAAATTACTCTGATTAGGGACTACTTCTCTATTATAATTTTTTTCCGTTACCATTCCATTATTTCTTTCTTTGTTGGGATACACCCTTGTGAGAACAAGGTATCCTAGGCTATCTAATCATAGTTCTGATACCCTCCCCCCCAAGAGGACTGACCTAACAAGTACAATATCAAGCGGCAAAAGGGGATTGGCTCGCAACTGACCAATTAATCTTTGTACTGATAGATTGATTTTAATATAAGATTAGTTGTATTTATATGTAACGACATATTGTAGAATAAAGTCAAATGTGTGTTATTTGAAACAAGGTAAAAAATGACAAACGAGCAAAGTATGTCATGACGTAGATATTCTAGTAAATATGCTTCGGTAATTTTCCTCGTTTCAAGAAACACACTCGACTCCTTCTGGCCTTGTACCGACAACGCCTTAATTGGTCTTCACACCGAGAACGCGTATACTACGTCGTCATGTGCTTATTTTCAGTGTGAAAGCTGGTTAAAGATTGCGGTCTACGTAGCGTTACGAAAGATTCGAAGCATCATTTTTATCTTCACTTTACGTCCATCAAAGAACGAGAAATGATCTTTGAAGCTTTGTTGCAGCGCTTACTTTGATCGCAATTTCAGGACCGTCTCACAACTTCCGGTTGACTTAATCAGCCGATTAAATTTTCACCTTGAAATTTGATTTTTTTCAATTAAAATTTTTTTGTTCTTAATTTCTTAGCAGCTTGCACTTGGGGATTTGTAAATTGAATCGGCCTTGATCACGTTAATCGGAATTGACGACCGGGTCTCATTAGAGATATATGTCTCTTGATTCGTTTGACTGCGAAAATCGCGAAAAGACACGAGAATAACACAAGAGCTTTTCTATTGTTTCCTCTACACACGCTATTAACGAACACCAGCTGAGCTCCCAAAACGGCAACGCCCTATCAAAGAGGCTGTTCTAAAATTCACTGAAACTGTATAACGTACGCAACGCGAACTATAGAATTTTAATACTGGCAGTGAATTTTGGAACACAGTCAAAGAGACAACGGGCGAGATTGTCGTCGCGGGGATTTATTCTGCACACTCATGCCAACGATGGTCGATTTGATACGTGACGAAGCGCAGCTGCTGTTCTGAGATATCAAAATAACCGCGCGACGACGACACACATCGAACCGACGATAGTTAATACACGCGCACGCACGCACACACACGCACATATACGAGTGTACAGAATGGGAGGAGTCCAGTTGGATCCGACATGTACCGAATATTATATGGAATACTATTCTTCGCTGCAATAATCTGCAAATCCTCTCAAACTTTCAGACTACGGCTTGATAAAAAAACTGAGTAAGGTTTCGAAGAGAGGTACGCTAGTAAATATACAAGAGATTATCTCCTCACACCTTGACAACAAGCTTGGTGGGAGAATCCATGTCCTGCCCTGTCCTCATGACTCAAGCATGCGTCAGGGGGCGTTACACGAAACAAACTCAGGTAGCCAATCAATATTTTGCTTTCGGTAGCAAAATGACTGCGCGATAAAAAGTAGCACTACAATTTGATATCATTCCTACAGCGAAAAATATCAAGTGGACTGCAAAAATTTTACTTTCTAATAAAAAATTATTATCTACTAACTTTATTACTTTTAATTTGTTATTTGTAATAAACAAGTACTACTGTTATATATCTATTAATTTTAAACAAGTAAAACCAAATTTTCTATTCCTTTTTGTTTGAAAAAAAAAAAATTTCATACAAGCGCTACTTTTTCATGCGCGAGAATTTTTTTCAATTTTTTTTTACATATATGTATACGGTACAATTTTACTTATCGATCGTTTCATTAGACAGTTCGATCACAAAAGTCTGCGGATTGTGTTAATTCCCGTTAACACGATAACATTGTGAACGAACAGAAGAAACTAAAGATATTTTCTGCAAATTGCACGAGTTTCGTAACAATAAAAATAGAACCAGGCCAGGAGGCGAAGGGTTATTGATCCCGCGAGGTACCGCATGATTTAGATGGCGCTACGCTTAATTGCGTATATATATATACACACACACACGCGCGCGCGCGCGCGCACACATATACATATATGTAAGAGATTGCTCGGCAAAATTAGGATATTTATGTAAAGCGTTTTACTCACCATTTTGTTGATATTCTACGAAGTCTCAGGGTAATTTTAAGACCGAATATAAATTCATCGTGTCTGCAACGAAACATAAAATAGTCCAATGAATAAAACGGATGACTTGCTTATTTCGACGGACACGCCTTTACGCCATATTGGAGGAAGAGGATTCTTCACAAAATCGCACGAGTCTAATAAAAGATTATGACGGCAACCTCGGACCGTTCTTTTTTTTTTCTCTTTCTGTTTCTCAAACGTTCGGTTTCGGTTTCACGATGACGATGATCTGACGTCAGACTCGCATGAGTCGCAAAGCACGATATCGTCTACAAAATACTGAATTATATCACGCTCTGTTAGAAGGGACCTCCTGTTATCTCAACGTACGGATCTCTCCTCCATTGACGGCAATTTTATCAAATATTCCGTACCCTAATCTGTCCCTACGTCAACTACGGAGTTTAATTCTTATTTGCTTTTTAAAAAGGAACGTGCTCAATGAAGAAAATCGTTATCGCAAAGGCCCTCAATGTGGAAAATTCAGAACATTTAAATAGTCCCTCACACGTTCGGTCTTGTCTTGCCCGTACTGTCCGAGTGCTCGAGGCGCAGCGGATACGGCGCAAACCCCACTCCACTCGGCGATCGTCGCAACACCGACCAATCCGAACAGCGAACGCTTACCCCCCTTCGCGCGCGACAATAACGGATCGGTTCGTGCCATAACGATAGAACCTCTCGTGCCCCTCCTGCTTGCGATGAGAGTAGGTAGGCTTTGCAACAACTACAAAAAAAAAACACCTCGATCTTAACATCTGTCGCGCGCGCCACCTGCTGTGCGTGACGTACTTCCGTGCTTATGTAACCACGTCGGAGGCGCCGACAGCGCCATCCTGTCCCGGTAGAATTTAAGTCGCGTTGTAAGTATATATGCAAGAGCACGTCGTTCTCTACTTGCTCCGAAATTCGGACAAATATGTGATGACGCTTTCGAGCGTTCGTAGCTCAAAACGAGCTTCTTCCGCTGATTAAGGAAGACGATAATGTGCGTTACATTGTCACAAAGACCCGTGTGCGGGTGGCAAAAGAGATGCTTAAAAATCGAGAGAAAAAAAAATTGCATTAATTAAACTTCACACTCTTCATCCTTGAAATTTTATTGTCCCATATTAGAGAGATACGTGCGCACGCGCGCGAACCGACACTTCGTTCCGACAGCACTTATTGGGAGAAAACCTCCATTACTTAGCATACCGTTCGCAATTGATACAAAAAGCACTGGACGAAATCGATCCGCGAACATTTCACACTAAAAAATCTCGGACGTGTTATTTTTGCTACGGATTACGTCACTTGATCTCTCAGCAGGAATTCACTCGGGGAAGAATGGCTACGAGCGATGATCCGCTACAACACCAACCATATTGGAAATTCACTCGAAACAAAAATTGGGCGACATGTTTTTTTTTTTTTTTGTTTTCTAAGCTTTCTATTAGCGTGAAAAAATCCGACATTACCGCAATATCTGCATATCGATTATCAATTGACTCTAGCATCTGCCGACGTGCGATAATAAAAAGCCATCGATTATTTTTTGAGACTATTTTCTATGGGAATTGGGGATTATTCTCCGTCTTAGTCTCTGTTCTCCTAATCTTTTTTGTAGGATATTCACACGCATATGTGATTAAAATTGATCAAAAATCTCTCGTTACCGAAAATACATATCACGATTCATAAAAAATAGATAAATTTTCTAACATATTCGAAGTGTCGAAAAGCCACGCTTTGTTTGTTCCTGCTCTTGCTTTGCGTTGAGAACCTCTATCGTGAGTAGTACAGAGAGAATTTTCTGCGAATATAAAATGAGATGTCGATTACCCTCTCAATCCTTTCCTCGTGTGTTTCTTGTCCAATATTTTGTTCTAGCGTCTGTAGGACTTATATGTGAACTGGATTGTCTCTGCTTGTGCGGGCTGTTGCAGAGTGAGCAAAGAGAGAATAAGACCATGAGGCACTTCCTGTATACGGTTCAGGAACCACGGAGACATCTAGCAATCAGAATTGTTATTTAGTGTCTGATCAAGAAAAATCTTTAGGATTACGATGGGAATATTTGTGCAATCAGCATGATCAAACATATAACTATGGGGTTACAGTCTTAAAAAAAAGTTATTAAAATAAAATGTTTATTATTTGACAGAATATATTGCTGGTCAAATTCAACAACATTCGTCTACAGTCCGAGTTCGACACAACTTTTAGGGAATCTGGTTACTTGCGCTATATACAAGCGAAGTTATCCAAGCAAAAAGCGGAAACAACTTTGAAATTAACAAAATATCCAACATATTCTATAATAGATAACGTGATAACACGTCTGATTCCTCATTGCGAAACAATTATATCACGTGGTGAAACAAATATTTCTGTAGTTAAATACCTTTATGTATAGCAGCCTTTACTATAATTAGTTTGATGTAAAAATGGCTCAAAAGACTGAGTTAAGTTAGTTTAATGCTATAATAAAGCGGTCTATGCGCCTTGAATTGTGTATCGCAAGTGGATGAATTTGCTTTTCGCTAACTTGCTTTCTTCGATTTTTGGTTAATGGACACAATCTTGTTTTGTTTCTGCGCACGGAGGAGAAGCTTCGTGGTAGATGATATGCGCGAAACGGACCAATTCTCGTTCGTTCCGATTCTATTCTCTCGTCGAACGGATAATCGTTAAACAGGGGAACGCAATTGAAACGAAATCATTCTGATAGGCTACTCCCCCGCCATATCTCTTTTCGTTTCGGTATTTCCTTCTCTGATGATCGGATTGGCTGACACCATTCCATGTGGCGCAGAGTCAATTCTTGCCATTCGACAAATCTTTTTTAAACTCACTCCACAGTCTGATACGAGGTTTGGACTGATATCACGTGGATGCGGCTCTTACGTCGTCTCGTTCGCCTTAATTATATATAAATATTTATTAGATAATTCACAAGGGGTAATGATGTATTTTGTTTATATTGTTGTTTATTATATTTTATTTGAATTTTATTTTTCTATAAATTTAATTATTAATTATACTTTTCCGCGCTGTTAACCCCTGCATAAAAATTTGCGTGCGATCTCACGTGTGTAGTTTGTAATTAAGGATACGTAAAATTTATTTCAGTTATTTCTTGGAAAAGATGATTCTGAGTACGCTACATCGCGTGGGAACACTGGCACGAGCGAGTTTGTTGCACAAAGTAAGTAAGTTTGCAAAAAGTTAGTAATTTCAAAAACAACACTTGTGCATGCCACATTATTTTCTTATAAATCTTTGCAAGTTATAAAAATCTACTGCAGTTTGATCCGGTGAGATCCATCACCTTCTCATTGGCACGTTGTTCCAACGATGTCGAGACAAAAGACGATATTGCGCAAGATGAGAAATCGGATGTAGAAACTGCACCAAAGATTCCACCTAGAAAACAGGTTTCGGTAGAGACGAGCATCAGATATATGAATAGTGACGGTAAGTATTGACGAGTTCTAACGCAGATAAATATCTCTCTTGTAAATATTCCAAAATTCATTAGCTTACAAGCAGACATACGGCGACGAACCGGTGTGGAAGCCATATAGAAGAAATTACAAGGGACACTTTGAACCTAAGAAAACTCGACAAACCTGTATAGTATGTACAATGGTTTTGTTATAAAATATAGAACTGTGATTGCACAATTGTTGCTAATACTGTGTATGCAATTTGCAGAGAAAAAATGTGATATCAACTGGAAATCCCTGTCCCATATGTAGGGACGAGTATCTCGTACTCGATTACAGAAACGTCAAGTTACTTAAACAATTTATCAACGAACAAAACGGAGATATCATAAGTTACTCGTAAGGATTACTGTGTTTTCCTATATCTTTTCTTTAAAGTTTTAAACATTTTTCCATGCGCACTTTAATGTAATTTCTGTTTACTTTTTTTGTAGGAAGACAGGTATTTGCCAGAGAAAACACAAAGAACTTTTAGTTGCGTTATTAAGAGCCAAGGATTACGGAACTATCACGTTTGACGTTCCTAGACGGGAATACGATTATTCAGATTGGAAACCATCAGACAATTAAACTTCAGTTACTCATCTCTCAAAATATATTCTGACCTAGTCTCTCCCATTAAACATGGATAAATCCGAGAAAACTGATAGGGAACAAATAGAATCCACATTTGTCATAGTGGGAGGTGGTATCGCTGGAGTATCGTGCGCCGAAGGATTGAGCTTTCTCGCTCCGAAAGAAAGCATAATTTTAATTACCGCCAGTCCTCTGATAAAAGCTGTGACAAATGTGATTCCACTAGGTAAAACATTGATGCATTTCGACGTGGAAGAGAAAAGCGCGGCTGACTTCAGCGAGAAATATAAAATGATGCGAGTTGTTCAAGATACCGTAATTAAAATTGACACATCCAGTAAGCTGATAGAAACCGCCGGTGGAAAGCTCGTGCGTTTTAAACTGTTGTGCCTTTGCACCGGCGCGAAACCTAAACTGATCTCGGAAACGAATAACTTCGTCATAGGTATTCGCGACACAGAGTCCGTAATACATTTTGCCGAAAAACTCAATAACGCTAAGAGAGTCGTGGTAGTCGGTAATGGAGGAATCGCCACCGAAATTGTTCACGAGGTCAAAGGCGTTGAAATGATTTGGGTGATCAAGGACAAACATATTTCCGCGACTTTTGTCGATCCCGGAGCCGCGGAATTCTTTTTGAGCAAGATTTCTTCTAAATCCGACGCGTCAGAGGATCTTGGCAAAAAGCCGACCAAGAGAATGAGATACGTGGTATCAGATAGCACATCGGTTAAAAGTGGGGCCGCTCTTGGTCCAGATTGGCACAACAACTTCGATATCAGTGGTACGGGACACACATTTACAAATGTAAAAGTCGAATACGAGTGCGAAGTATCGAAGTTGTTGACTTTCGACGAACTAAAACAGTCTAATCCTACGGAAGAATGGCCAGTTTATGCGGAGCTGACGAATGGCAAGATTGTCGGATGTGATCTCATCATCTCGGCAACGGGCGTTATTCCGAACAGCGATATATGCGGTTTGGAAACCTTGAAGAGAGGAGAAGACGCCGGTTTGCTGGTGGATTGGAAACTGGAGACCTCGGAAAAGGACGTTTATGCCGCCGGAGACGTCTGTACCGCGAACTGGCCGAAAGCGAAGCATTGGTTTCAAATGAGACTCTGGACGCAGGCTCATCAGATGGGTCGTTACGCCGCGAAGTCGATGGTGTCGAACTTAAGACGCGAAGAGTTTTTGCAGGACTTCTGCTTCGAACTCTTCACTCACGTGACCAAGTTCTTCAACTACAAGGTCGTGTTACTCGGTCTGTACAACGGTCAGACTTTGGGGAGGAATTACGAGATACTTTTGCGAGTCACGAAGGACCACGAGTACGTGAAAATTATTCTGCAAGACGGCAGAATGCAAGGCGCGGTGCTCATCGGAGAAACGGACTTGGAGGAAATGTGCGAGAACTTAATACTTAATCAGTTGGACCTGAGTATCTATGGCGAAGATTTGCTTAATCCCGATATTGACATTGAAGATTATTTCGATTGATGTGTCATAAATTTTTCACATAAAACATATGCGTGTACATATTTGTTTGTTGATTCTCTTTCACCGATTTAACCGAGTGTGCAATTAAACAGTCTAATGCCATATCCTACTTAGGTTTATAAAAATTTATTGCCTCGTATGTACAGCAGATATCTTTACACAATCTTTGCAGTCCTTTTTACATTTGCGCAGTCTTACGAGCATTAAAAAATTTTAATATATTATGCAAAACAAACTAAATTTCAAACTAAAACAGATCAAGTTTGTACTTCAAGTTAAAATATAAATATGAAAAACTTATCTTAACCATATTCAGCATACATATTAATGTGTTCGTTACTTACATTTACATAGGTACATAATATACAATACGAGTAAGTCTTTGACAGTTGTACATCAATCTTGTCTGAAATACTTTTTAAAATATATTTTTGCGTTTCTCTTTGTCATGTAATACCTCATATTTCGTTTATTGAATATCTTTTAGATCACATGAGAAGAAGAGGTGGTCTTTCTTGTGTACACCGCGCCAAGGGGATTCGCGTGTTCTAACAGCTGATATCACGTTGTAGCACGTTTGCATCGTACGACAAAGATTTCCGAGCGTGTCAACTTTCTCGATAGAAAACTCCATCGGGAACAGTCGATAAAATTTTTGTCGTACGAGAAAAAAAACCGTAGCGATATTAGCCGTTTGCAAATCAGTTTGTCGTAGTGTACCAGTAGAATACATAAAACAAACAAACAAAAAAAAAAAAAAATTAAAACTGAAACAAGCAACTTATAAAGTTAAAACACTCAAATGCGAACGGTTGTCAGTTTTTTTTTGTATGTAAATATGTTATTATCGTATTGTACTTTCTCTTGTTTAAAACATATATTTAAAACGTATTTAAAACGATGCGAAAGATGCAAAAATTTGCACGACCGATTTTAGTTATTTCCGATTAACTTAATCGGTCGATCGAGAACTAATTTGGTGCTTGGTCAATTCTGCTAAAAAAAAAAAATATACGTAATTCTACAACAAATACGATTGATATGACACTTACGGCGAGAAGAATCAGCCTATTAGCTTGATCGGAGACTTAGTATACTCCGTCGAATTGATTTTTCCTTACTTGTGTTTTTTTTTAATTGTTTTGCTTCGCTGTTACATCTCATGTTTTTTTTTTTTTTTTTTTTTTTTTTTTTTTTTTTAGCGTTCTCGGATTACGTCTGACGTAAGTCAGATTGTGTATAGAACTTCGACAAACTGTCTTCGCTTGACGAATTGCAAACAACATCGCTTTCCGTCAATGGTTTATCGCGATTGATGTCATCGTTTGCAGAATTTGTATTCTTTTTCTCGCATTTGTTCTTATCTTCTTTATTTAGTGAACTAGTTTTTGTGTCATTTATCACGTGGATAACGGTATTATTGCTGCTTATCGTGCTCGCGCTCGCTTCGTCACTCGAGTCTTGATTCTTGAAAATATTTTTTAAGATTTCGACGATATCTTGGATTTTACTTAACGATTCAACGACTGACTTGTTGTCGTACGTCGGATTACGGGAACACAATTTGTTCAGTGTTTTTGCGGCGATTTCGATTTGAGTGAGACAGGCCTTTATGTCTTCCTGTGTTTGATTGTGCGTTGTCACGGACGTTCGATCGTTCAACGTCACCTCCAACATCGACGCGTCCATAGACAAATGATGCAAGCTTTCGTTCAGCTGCTTCTTCACAGGCGTCATGTTTATTGAAATTCGTCTGTTGTTCAGGGAATTCTCGGAAGCTTTGTACGGCTCCCAATCGCATTCGCGCTTTTGCAGTTCTTTTATCGAGTCTGCTATGTCACAGTTTCTCAAACGATGGATCCAGTCCAGAAAGTCCGCCGGTTGCCACAGCGTTTCCATCACGCGCGCTGTATCGCGGACACGAACTACCGGCCGCAAATTCTTTTCCACCACTATTTGTTGTTGATCAAATTCCTGAAAAATGGAAGACAGCATAAAAATTTCTCTGATATATTCCAACCCGTACGATTTCAAAAGGAGCAGTTGCTTGTGTTGAATTTGTCTGATAATTACAACAGAAATATGTAATTAATAAATTTGTTTTACGCGATTGTGAAATAACTTACATATTTAAATCCGCCTTCCTTGCATCGTTGAGTGGCTTCTTTGACGAGTACTTGCATCTCGTGCAAACTAATTCCACCGGCGGTTATTGATTCCACCTTGCTTACCTCTGTTTTCAGAGCACTTTCGGCATCGGCGGTTGTGTCATTTAGAATTTTCACGAGTTCTTCCAGAAAATTTGATTTATACGGTGACAACATCGCCTTACTTTCCTCCAATTCCAGATTTTTAATTTTATTGTTCGTTTCCACTTCCGTGGCGAGTAATTCCTTTTCCAATTCCAATTCCTCTTTTCTGCGATTAATTTTCTCGAGCGCCTCCTTTTGCTTTTCCACAGTAAAGCTGAGAGATTGGATTTTATTCTCATAGTTCGATTTCTGTGAACAGAGTTGTAATTCCACTTCGCGCTTCGCATCTTCCAGTTCTTTTATCGCTTTTTGCTTCGACTCCTCCAATTCTGTTCTCAATCTAAATAAAAAAAAAAAAAAAACAGAATTACCGCGTAAAAATTATTATTTCGAGTAAAGAGAAATTAGAACGCAGTTGTTGAACGTTATAATTTATATCGCTAATAATTTCGATAACAACGTCATTGTAAAAGTAACAAATTACGACGTAGGCAATCATAGCATAGATAGCGATTCCTGCAAAACTACTTCAAATGAACTCTTTCCGAGTGAGGATTCTTTTGCTATCGTTATCTGTATTAGCTATCGCTTAAAAAAAATTGATATATAATTGATATATAACGACATTTTTAATATGTAATCGAAGCAATTATTAATAACGTAAATATATATACACACACACAACAACTTTGTTTTGTTTTTACACTTTTGTTTTTCTTCTTTCAAATTTGTCAGATTTTATATATTCAAGAAACTTCTTAATTCTATTTTTACCAATTGTCCCATTGTTTTTGTCAGTACGCACTTTTGTTCCTGTACCCGAAGAATTTCCTGATGGGCGAAATCGTAGTCTATCACTTGTTTGACATTGCTAGGTTGATCATCGTGTGGATTTAATACTTTGAAATAGTGATTACCACCTATGATCAAGCGATCACCGTGGTTGAGTATTATTTTTCCGCTTATTATCTGCAATAAACATTTTCACATACAAGACCAAAATCTCTCTGACAAACTATTAACACGAGAATACATTCATATTAGTGAAATAATACCTGTCCGTTAACGTACGTATCGGCGGTCTTTTCAGGTATTAGAATCAATTTTCCCCCATTATTTTCAATGACACTAGGAAGAAGAAAAAGACAAACGTAACACAAAACAATTATTACACAGTGCACTTATATAGGAAAATTATTGATTGCAACGTTGTTATAGAATTTAAATATTCATTAAAAGAAATAAAGCATTTTGTGCATTTGTTTAGATGAATGTGCAATGTTTGCAAACCAAAATATTTATCTTTGTTTTGCAGAAGAAACAAGCTGCAATTTATTGTCAAAATTACAAGAGAAGAAATATAAAATATAAGAGGAAAATTTCTGATAGTTATGTCACGCGCGTATAGTTTCTTCAACTTTTCTATCGCAAACTTGATTCTAATCTGCAAAACAGCAACATGCGTGAAAATTAGAGAATAATTTGTTTTTAATGCTTGTTTGTTCATGCGTGCTAAGAGAGAGCTCTGAAAAAAAACTTTTCGGAAAACAAGGAGGCGATTAGCGTCGAAACAGTGACTTGGATGGAAACAGAGAGAGAGTGAGACCTCGCGGCATATCGACCCTGAAAAAACACTGACTCCCATTCTCGCATCATTCCACACTCCCCTAAGCATCAAAAAGCATCAAACAGCAACAACACACGATATCTAGTGACTAACCAGTGTAATTCCCTAACAAGAGGTCCGTCCAATATGATATCCAGTTTTTTGGAGGCGTTCTCGGATCCCACATTCTTTCCGATGCGAACCAAACCTGGAGGTATGAGATACAAAAGTGTGCCGGACAACATAGGATCGGCCGAAAGATTAACGAGACAAGGCTGTTTGTTTCTTTCGTGGAAATCGTACTCTATGGCGATTCCACAACGGCGCAAATATTTCAACTCCGAGCTCTTCTTCTCCTCGGCTCTCCGCAACTTTTCGCGCCAGTTCCTGTAATTACACGTGGCTAACAATTATGCCTTACGGGATATACGTGATCGATTAATCGACTGAGAATTTGAAATCGACCGAGAACAAAACGTGTGTATATCTTTTTTGCTATTGTAGCTGACCATAGCTGACCACGCTGATAACGTCATGTAACAGAAAACCACGTTCCTTGCAAAACTGTTACAATTCTAAAAAATATTTTTCATCCACAACGAAATTATAATGAACTAATTAGATTTGACGACAAAATCGACTTACAAATAAACTTTGAATTAACTCGATCAGAAAATTCATATCTTTATTGTGTAAAAGCGTGAGGTTGATGTTTTTTTTTTTTTTTTTACTTACATCTGAGTGACGGCCAGTTGTTCCTCCGTTTTCTTCAATTGTCCCCTCAATTTATCAATCTCCTTTTGTTTTCGCTTAATTTCCCCGTCAGACTGGGCTGGCGGCGGTTCGAAACAATCGAGCAATCGACGGGGCGTAATTCCGGAAATTCCAAGTTGTTTCTCGTACGTGTCGCAAATTGTGCGCAAACGTAGCTTCTCGGCTTTTAATTCGCTACCGAAATAAAAATCCAAAATTTATACGCGCGCTCATCTCTCGACGACCCAGAAACTTCGCGCAAAAACAAATGCGATTGATTTAAAAAAAAAACTCACAAAATTAAAAACTTACCGTATTAATCGGTCGTACGAATCCTCGTTGACTCTGATCCTGTTGACTATAGCTCTGGCTTGACAAGCATAGCGGAGAGTCGCTAAAGTTTCTTCCACGTGAATATTGGCCGGCGACACCGTACCCAACATAGCCGTTCGAGAATTTCCACCCAAACTCTCCTGTGGAAAAAAAAAAAAAAAAAAAAACACACACATACCGTATAAAAAAGAAAACGTTTCGAAACAGTTCTTATCTACGAAGAAACGATCGCAGATACGTCGCCGAGAAATGCAATCTATCTAGATTACATAATCATCAGAAGAAATTAAATCAAGAAAACGAGATAAAGAAATCGCAAAGAAATTGAATCTATTTATCGTTCGCAATTGAGAATCCTTATCAATTTTCAAGTATTTAATATATATGACAATCACGAGACAAAAACGTGTGTCGTATACGTCAATTTAATTTCTCATTCCGGCATTTGAAATTTTATTCAAAAAGTCGTTGCAAAGCGCGCGCACAAAGCTGCGTGCCGCAACCTCCGAGCTTTTGATTGATGGTTACGGGGGAAGGGGAGAGGGGGGAAAAGATGCGGAAGTAGTGCAAAAGAGAGAAAAAACAACAGAGCTTCAACCGCGATTAGCGTTAGCATGTGCGCACTCATCGTACTTATCTTAATGTTAATTCTGCGAATTTGCATTTTGCTATTGTCGCACACATTTATGAGGAAACATCAGATATGCGATCGCGCTTACATATTTTCATACAAGACCGAAGAAAGATTATGCGACGCTTGTTGTCGCGCATTGTCATCTTGAAAAGCCAAACGTCAGTAAGTTAACAATCTAATCAATCTTGTATTGTTAACTCATCAATAATAATCGAGTCGTACGATTTCCGTTCGTTATCGGTATAATAATAATAATAATAATAATAATAATAATAAAAACAATGAAATGTAGAGACAAGAGCGACACGACGAAAAGTCGAAAGCGTAAAGATCAACAATCTGGAAGCCGGGAAAGGACATCGAATTTGCGATCGAAAGTTTGTTACTCTCGTTCGAGGCACACAGGAAGTGTTTTTTTATCGAAGAATTTTTCACAAAAACAGAGAATAAACCGCTCTCGTACGTTGTGTTTTTATATTCATTCCGTATCTCTTTGCGTATAATTCTTGAGAGATACAACTTCGTTTCAGATCTGCGCCGCTTCTCAATTTTAATCTCTCGTTTCCTGTTACATAATACTTTTAATCTTTGATTTGTTGGTCAATACGCGATTCGTGATGCCGTCCACGTTCCTCGCTGAAGAAAAGAAAAGGAGAAAGAGAAGCGAGAGAGAGAGAGAGAGGGGGGGGGGGAAGGGAGAGAGCGGGATAAAAATGTGGACAACGCACGTGTTAGTGCACGCGTAAGCGCGCACGTACGCACAAACGCGCGGTGCACGCGGGCTTTCTTTGCGGCGCGTGTCGTTACCTTTTGCGCGTCGCGCAAAACGAGAGGAGCGACGAAGGTGATTGGCGGAGCGGAAGGTGGGGCACACACAGCCGAGAGCGTAAACGAGCGCGCACGCCGTTACCGAAGGACGGGAAGAGATGTATGTTGCGCGGAAGAAACGAAGAGATGGAAGGGGGGAGAAACAGACGGAGAACCGGTGGATGAAGAGTGGGAAAGGCCGACAGATAAACATTACGTTGTGCGTTAGGCGTTCACGCGTCGTTAGTTCAAAGCAAAAACTCATCGACGTACAAGCCTCTCCGGCGACAACGCGTTCACCAACGGCTACACCGCTACTCTGTAAGACCGACGTTGCTGAGGAGAAGACCGTCGTCTATCGTTGCGGCAGAAGCGAACGCAGCAGCACCGAGAAGAGACCAATGATCCAGCGACCAACAACAAGTCACTGACGAGAGAAAATTTCACGCCAAGAGACACTTGCTTGCGATACAGACAATTCCGCGCGAAGCGCTTGACACTCTCTCCTTCGCCAAACGACGACGACAGTTGATCTCGACGGGGAGAAACACCATGGATCTCGTCTACGTGCCGGAAGTGTTCACTTACGGCTACTCGAGAAATCCGCAGTACCGCGACTACGAGCAGCCGTGGAACAAGAACTACTTCGGAGCTACCGGTGGTAAGCGCTGAGGTTTTTTCTGTCATTTGTCTCGTCGACGATAACAGCGTTTTTTTTGCGGAAGAAACAATTGTCGTAGAAAAATTGTACCACGAAAAAACCGCGCTATCTCCTTGAAACCGTAGCGATTAAACTCTGGTTTCTCTGAGTCTAATTGATGCAAGTCTCATCAATGACGACATTTCTCTGAATATCATCTCTATTTTCTCTCGCTTCCTTTGCGATAATAATTTGTTTTTCACAGACTTCCTTCGTCGGGAGACAAAAACGTGTAGTCCGTAGTGTGTGGGTAATACAAATGACGTTGCAGCGCGTTCACGCGCTTTCTACGAGCACATTTCCTTGAATGGACAGGTCGCACCTCCTCTTCTCTCTTTTCGTTCCGACCACCGTAAACTCCATTTTACCAACTTCTTGGAGAGTTTCTTTTCTCGAAACACAAAGGAACGGAGTTTTTCGCGCGTCGTAAAAAAAAAGCAAACGTGAGATTCACCAAGACAAACTTCAATTCGATCTCGTCTCGTGATTCAATCGATGACTCAAATGCTCTCCAACACACTTTTTTTTTTTTTTTTTTTATTTAAAAAAATTGCTGAAACATAACGTTTCTGATTAGTCACGGAATCACATCAAATTGATGATTACGTCGGATGCATAACGTGCGATGCAATCACGCGTGAAAAAACAGACCTAAATGCGCCGATGATAACATTTGCTCAGCGCTCGTGTTTACAAGTGCGCAGCACGCGAAATGATTTCCCATCTTTGCGACGAGAAGGACGCAGCTGCAATTATTATTTTTTTATCTTAATTATTGAACAAAAACACTTTGTACTTTTGATTCTTAATCTTTTGATTATCTTGATTAATTACGCGTTAAACAAAATGGAATACGTAAACATTGCAGGTAGTGACTAATGTATTTTTAAAAACCTGAAGAGTTGAGATAAAAAAAAAAAAAAAAAAAATACTCAAGTGATTGGAAACACGTCCAAAAAATTATAAACGGTGAGACACATATTTTCAGTGTTTTTTTTTTTAGGGGGTGGAGGAACAGGTGCGGAGCTAATTTTAAATTTATCTCAAAGGATCGCGAGCGATTTTTATCAATCAACGAATTTATCTCGCGAGAGATAAACGAGTAAATTTGGGAAAAAAAAAAAAAAACATAGGTATCTTATCTTTGATTTAGTGCTTGTCAATCAAACTTATTACGCGTATTATTGAACCGCGGATTGTCTTGCGAATTTTTGTCGGTTGGTAGAGCTGAATTTGCGAGATAACCGTAAGTCCGCAAAAGTCCTTTCGCTCCAACGCATCTCCGCGAACTTGCTAAAAAAATTTACACTAGCTACGGAAAAACGGTGGAATCCTTCCAGATTCTTTATCTCGCAAACGAATTAATTTACCCAAAACTTTGACGTTCGGTGCGATAAAAAATTTATTTTAAAAACAAGCTTGTTTCGAGACTCCGTGCAGGTAGGATATTTCACCCGAGCGTGCGAGTCGTGAATAAAACATCTATTTGTTATTCGTTTGCTAATTAGACGTTGCAGGTAAAGCTCGATAATAAACGCGAAAAAAAACTTCCGTATCGGCGTGACAAGTAAAGCGACACGTGAAAAAAAAAAAAAGAAAAGAAAAGAAAATAACAGCAAAGACACACACACAAAGCGACCAAAAGCGGAACTAATGGCTGCTTTTTTCTGCGGAGTGTTATTTAGAGAAAAAAAAAAAAAAAAAAAACACCGTCTGAACTGTTAACAATGCTCGAACCTTGCACCGAGAAGGTCGTCGCGCGCATCCGGTTTCCAAAGATAGAACGAAACAAAAGATGGAAGAAGGGGTGTGAAAAAAAAAAAAAACCGCGGGAAAATCAGAACAATCGGAAGCGGATATCGCGCGGAAAGACTTTCGTCGCGCCCGGGGCGGGGGCAGAATCGCGAAACACAATCTCTCAGTTCTGCGGTGTCGCGCGCGCGACCGCGAAAACAAGTTTATATTTGTCTCAGTAGCAAAAACTGGCGGGGAATCTGTTTGTCAAAAGACGGAATCGCATTACCGAAAGGCAAAGCAATTCTAATTATTAGCGAAAACGAGTGTCAATTGACACATTTCTATTCGTGCGCGTGTAACGAAAATTGCAAAACAAAAGTTAGTGATTTACGAGACAGTCCGAAATTCAACTTGAAGTCGTTTCAAGTCTGTTGAGACCGAAGGAGGAGAGACTCGAAGATACGATAGGTATTTTGTTTAATCGCCGACATCAATTTTGCATCAAAATTATTGCGCGCGTTGTCACGAAACGGATGAAAAATATTGATAAGACGCGATTGCACAAAGATTCTGAAACTTAAAAATGTCCGTTCGACACGTCGAGCGAAACGCATTCCTGAGTTTTGCTCCTAGCTGCGCAAGCGGCGGCTGAATAAGCAATTTGAACGCTAATGATTATCATACACTATCATATTATGTTACAACTGTTCTATGCGTTTTACTTCTCTATATCGGGTAAGTTAATAAAATCCCGATGATGTTGCTTCAATATTGTCGCGTTTGAAATAAAATGAAACATCGGTCGCTCGCATCGCCAAGCGAACCAATTTCTCACTTTCAAAATGTTTTCAAAGTTTTGTTTTTTTCAATTGAGCGATTGCGAAGCGCCGAAGCTATTCTCGTTTGTTGTCGTGAAAATATGCGCGCGTTATCATATATTTTCTCATGCAAATCGGACTCTGTTTACATCGAAGTTGCATAATTACGTGCGTAATAGCGTTCGATGCTTAAAAAAAAAAAAAAAAAGTTATCGAACAAAAAACGCATTGAATGTTTACTACGCGCGCGTTGTACGAAAGTGCCGCCCTGTTATCGCGTTTTAGATAAAATTGCGTTATATGAGATAAAACAAGAATATTAAGCGCGTGCGTGTCTTTCGGAAGGAGGGGGAATGGAATCTATCGTACGGGAGTGCGTTAGAGCTGAGGACACAATGAAGCGCGTTTGTCGTAGAAGATAAAGATGCCAGGTGTTAGACGCGCTAATTGCGTGCCGATTGTTGTAAACTAGAAGTTCGTCTCACCTTGAATTCGAGAGAAAGAACTCTCGAACTCTCGCAAAACAGTTGTTGTCGCTATTATTTAAAGATTCAAAGTAGCTCTCTCTCCCTCTCTCTCTCTCTCTCTATCTATCTCCCTCTGTTTCCGAGATAACGCGCGATAATACAAGTGTGTTACGCGAGTTGTCCAACATCCAGCGCGCGCGCGCGATATACATGCATCACGTTTCTACACACGTGTCTATTTTTAGCCGGTTTCTCGAGGTGACCAATAGTACATGACCCGAATCGAGCGTTTCAAGCAATTTGCAACATCTTTATCTCGACGCGCGTGCGGGTGTGTAATTTTGCAACACGCGATATAAATTTCCAATTGTTTAAACAAAGATTAAAGTTGTCGTAAAATCGTCGCACAAGACGCGTTTTATAAATAATTAAGGCAAGCGCGAATCTAATCTCGCGACTAGTCGCGACGCATTTCCGATTATTCACAGGCGAGAATAACCGGTCTATTCTTGATTAAACAATTAAAACGCGTTTTTTACAGTCGAGCGTTAAAAAAAAAACAAGAAAAAAGTGTATTCGTTAAAAAGATACTTTCAAAACGTATCTTTCGATTCGCCGGGCAACCGCGAACAATCGTTCGGATTGATCTCGGTGTTTTTTTTTTTTGTTTTTTGTTTCGTATAAACGATTCATCTCGCGGTTTATATATGTTTTGCGACACGCTCCGAAGACTACAGCGCACGCTCTCAGTCCAGTCTCAATAGTCAAGAGGCGGAACGACGAATGAATTTCCGTGACTCAATACAAGGGGGTATAATCATCCGGCGCTACAGGTGAGCGGCATGCCGGGATATCGCTGGAATTTTTTTAATTAGCGCGCTGAGCACCGTGACGGTCACCCGAGTTATGATACCGGCGTGACGTACATACCGAAGTGGAACCAATTGCATTTAATAACATGCACCTAGATAACATGCGCCATTATGACGACGAGCAGAGATGCTAAAGACTTTGTTGAAACGCTTGTTTTTTTTTTTTATTTCTACTGCGCACACTGTCGTCTCACTTGAGTTGATTTATTCCAAGTTAAATCATTAGACGTTTGATTGATCATTTGTATATCGTTATTTTTTTTTTTTTTTTTTTTTTTTTTTTTCGTCTTCAGATCTGGAAAAGTTCCGAGAAATTCGAAACGTATCGCGCGGAGAGACTTGCACACCTCATTGCGGACGAGAAATGCGCGCGCGCTAAAAGACCAATTACCGTACTTCGCGGATTTGAGACCAGTTTTCCTCGAAGAACACTGCGCCTTTTTTTTTTCATTTATAAACCGCGCCTTCGTTCGATAAAGAAAAAACCGAATCAAATATTCATATTAACGAGCCGACATATCCGAGGAAAAATAAACAAAAACCGGTTTGACCGCCGAGCTTTATATAACTTGCAAACTGCATTTACAATCTCCGGACATACGCGATTTCCATTATCAGAGAGAGAGAGAGAGAGCGAATATTTTCACTTCTCGCAAAAGCACACAAAAACGGACGGACTTATCGTTTTGCGTGTGTGATTGTGTGTCTCAGGTAAAGTGGCGGAGAAGCAACGAAGCTCAGAGAAATTGTCCAAGGAGAAATGTCACTTGTGCAAGGAGATGAAGCGACGAAATCTGGCGGTTTACATCAGGAACAAGCGAAGCAACTCCTACAACGAGGAGATCGAAGAGGAGGAGGAGCACGACGCGACGAAACACGACGAGAAGAACGGCCGGGAAACTGCCGACCAAGGTAAATCCGCGAAATCCAAAACAGACAAGATGCAGAAATCGTAGCTCTTTAAGCGCGTCGCAACATGGGACACAATCTACTGTAACACATCATTATGTTTTATATAATATTTGATATTGCTAAAGCGTTAGATGTAACATGTACAATGTAAATACACTCAACGAAGATAGTTTAGGGCGATGTTAAAAAAAAAAAAAAACGCGCATTAGATACGTCGTACATTTTTACCGCTCGTTTATCGCTTGACTGAATAACGGAATGCCGCAGCGTTTCCGTTATTCACTTTGTCCGGCAGTGACTCATTAAAAAATTTATAGTTCCCGCAACGTATATTGCAGATTTTTCGGAACGCAGATAAGTCGAGGACACGCGAAAAAAAAATAAATAACAGTAAGCACAACTCGGTCACGGCTCCGCAATTACGGGACGTTCTAGAACATTCTCTCCAAAACACGCGCTTGGTGATTGGTCAATTAACTTCATTCATTGGTCATTAACCGATCATATTTAATAAGTTTTCACTGTGTGTCTCCGACCGCGTGTATTTTTATTGTAACAAAAACTATCTCGATGTAAAACGCGAATGTTAAATACGGTACGTCAATCACAAGATGTTAGGCGTCATCATGTCGTCGCCGCCGCGTAGGTGTTACCTTGATTCGCGTAATCGAAACATTTGAAAAGGTAAAGTGAAGGATAACAATGCTAATTCTGACGAACCTGTTTACTTAAAGAGATAATACATATATATATATATATATATGTAAGTTTTAAGTGACTTTCAAAGTTTTTATCTATGCGTGCTTCTGGAAATTTGTATTGTTTAAAAGGCAAGAGAAACGGAGATAATGTATCGTTATAATTACAAATTCTACAGTTTTGCATTTTTTTTTATGTCTACAACTAAAGCTGCATTTTTAAAACTGTCCGCGTAAAACGTAAGTAAGAAACATAAAGATCTAAGAGATATTTGAGAAACAAATTATTCAATTCTATTCTCTTATTTCTCTGTGCAATTTAAAAAAAAAAAAAAACCCAAGCACGCGAAAGATATAATTTGAAAGTTACGTTGTTAGATATTTATGACGAGGAACACTATCAAGCTGAATAACTTGATATCAAGACTGAAGACGCGATTGCGCCGTTATAGGACATTAGTCAAGTAAGTTAGCGTACGTAGCGTACGTATATGTGTAAAACTATTGTTACTGGACGTTATAATAATGTTATTACGCGTTCGCACAGTCAGGTCTTAAAAGCCTGTGGCTTGTAAGATGATTACGCTACCATATACCGGATACATTATATTTTTACGAGTGTGTAAAACCTCGTACACTCATCAGAAAGATGTCACAAGTATTTTTTATTGTACTTTTACTTATTAAACTCGCACGATTCATTCGATAATAATCCGCTTGAGAGTATTAAATAAAAAAGATAACGCTGACTAAAAAAAAGTATACGTCAGTTTTCAATAAACTCTGTTTTAAATGTGTTTCTGAGAGAAGATAAGCGTTAAATTGACGCTTCTGCTTGGATAACGTGTGTATTTGAATGAAACACTTACTTTTAGCAGCCAGGTCAGTACTGATTCGCGATAAGGCACAAATCCCTGCTTGCGATTGTTTGTGTTCTCCGTGAGCGTCGCGATGACCTTACCCAAAGTGAGTAAAGATTTGTTGATGGAAACGCCTTCCTATTGTGCAAATCAAACGTCAAATGTTACTTGTGCGTGTAACTTATCTAAAAAAAAAACAAAAAAAAAAACAAAAAAAAAAACAAAAAAAAAGCAAAGAATAGCTACGTCAGAAACGAACTCTTAATCTGTCACCAGTGGCAGAAGTTTGGCTCAATCTCTCGCTACCAGCCAAGTCTACCAGATTGATTTTACTACGGCGATTGGTGTCGAGTGCCTGTCGAGAGTCCAACTGGTCCTTCGATCGCGACTGAGTTAATACGATGCTAAAGATGCTGTGAGATCGCGAACTTTTCTCGTTCATACCGGTCGCTGCTGTGGCTCTTTGCGAGTTTCCTACTTTGAGCCAAGTCTGAAACAGGATTGTATTAACAACAAATGCTCGTATACTCGTTTTGCTATATTACACGGCTACGAAAGTACCTGCAAGTCTTTGTAATTTTGCACACAATGCTGGCTCAGGTCCACGACGTAAGGACCGAATACAGGATGCTCTCTCACTTTAAGCGGGGCTTTCTTCGATCCGTTACTCGTGCTCGCCAAGAGATCGTGTATCTTTTCGTTGTATATTTCGAAATAGCTTATTTCCACCGTAGTCTCGATCTGCTTGTTGCTATCCGCTCGAGTAAATATCTCCTGACAAAATCGAGGTATAATACCGACATTTTCGTCGTTCAATTGAGCGGATTCGGTTCCCATTACGCTGTAACTCTTCCCAGATCCCGTCTGTCCGTACGCAAACAAACAGACATTGTAACCCTCAAATGCGTTTTGCACCAAAGGCAACACCATATTCTGGAAAACAATCGCCTGACTAGCGTGACCAGGTGTGATCGGATCATTATAAGAAACGAAGCAATGATCGTAGGTAAAAGTATGTTCTGTAGAGTCACATTCTACTATAACATTCTGACCATTTCCTTGAACGACTATTGCAACTTTTGGATCATTTAGCTCTCTGAAAAAGAAATAAATTCAATAGAGCAAATTTCTCTTGTACAAAATTCAACTTAAAACTACAAACAAGATAAAACTGGCACATGTTACTATCCAGAATTGTTGTTGTGTCATTAGTACTCACTTAGAATTCAAGGGTCTGATGCGAATTCCAACAGTAAGATTGCTGCTTTCACCCTCGTATATTGTCTGCTCACTGACTGCTGTGTCTTCAGGTTTGTGAGATGGAGTCTCCAAATGAACTGCGTTGAAACAGTCTGGAGTGTTTTGGGACAAAGCGTGATCACTGAAATAATGTTTTATAGGTGTCCTCGTGGATGGTAGAAGATTGAACTTTACTGTACTGGCGCAAGGTGTATTTGTCGCCTTCGAAGGCTTGGGGGTAGAAAAGTGCACAGCTTTGTCGCCAGACAAGCCACTTGTGAATTTTGTTCTAACCGAAGGTGTTTTTGCTTTATCGTTAGATGTCGTACTACCAAAACCTGCCGCATCCTCCTGTTTCGCCGAGGTTGCAGATTTCGAACGTGACAAGTCAGTGTTGGACGGAATCTTCTTCGGCGGTCCTAAGGTTTCCGTTATGTCTTGTTTCGACACCTTCTGAAACGGGCACTGCTGCGTCTTTTTCATTGCACTTTGATTTTTGCTCGAAGCAGCCGTCTCATTGGATGCGGAAGAAAACTCGCTTTTATTTCTGCAACAAACAAAAATTACTCGATTCTCGTAAAATTCGACGACCGAAGGCGTGAAACGCGCGTCGAATAAAATGTCAAAAAAAAAAAAAAAAAAAAATTATTCCCGGAACGGAAATATTCAGTTTTTCAGGTTGTATCGCGTAAATGAGACCAGGATGCAACATATATCTCGCTTGCAATACCCTGAAAATATATCATTCGCGCGATTTTTAACTTGACAGCAAAACTCTCAACCGTCAAGTGCAGCCACTAAACGCGCAACGGTTGTCGAGCCGAAAAACAAACGTCAAGTTGAATTATTGCTCACGCTTTTGCGACGGGAACGGCGTTCTCCTTGTTGGAATTCCTCGGCGAGGTTGAGAAGATCGCTTCGCAGTATCCGTGAGCGGACGATTTCATGCTGTGGTAAGACATTTCTCGATAGCAAAACTTTTTGACGAAAATCTTGTTTTTGACGCTCTTCCACGGAACACAATTTGATTTTTGCGACCTAACTTTACGAATCCCGGGCTTTCGTCCATAGAACGCGAACACGCATGTAGACGCGCAAGTGAACTTCGAGAAAAGTTCGTCCCGAGGCTGCTCTCTCCGCGACCAATCAGCGACCGCTGAGTATATCTCCACTTTTCCTCACAATTGCTGCGTTCGGCAGAACAAGCTTTGCGGCACTCGAACATGATTGGTTCTTTACCCTCAGAACCGTCGAGTGTCCGACAAGACGACAACTCGGCGATTGTTCCGCAGAACGCAACCCAATGTCTCGCCGTGTAACGGAAATTAACGGCGCCTCTGACGTCCAAGTAGCAGAGAAGCGAAACTGAGGAAACCGCCAACAAATGTTTTTGGCGACTCGTCGTAGCGGCGATGGCGGCTTTTTGTTCAATAAAAATGAAAACGTCTCGGACCTTCTTTTGTTGCAAAGTGTATGTACGTAGGTATCTATCATATAATATCTATTGACATAGAAGACTATTATTTTTTATTTTTAAAACTTTTTAAAACACAAGTCCAGAGAAGTAAGATTAATAATAAATATATTCATTGTGCGGTTTTCAAAGAATTGGCTCGTGTTATTTATTCAAATAACGTCGTCGAGAAAAAAAAAAGGAATGTGTTTTTTTTTTTTTTTATCATCTGCGTATCATAAATCAGTGTACGTCACATTTTTCACCTACACGTGTAATAATAAGTTTTTGTTACAATCTAATGTATACGCAATATACATATACATATACATGTAATCTACATACAAGTTAAATTATGTTTATAATAAGAGAATGCACATTTTATACAATATATTTATATCATGTTGACGCGTTGCGATCGCTTAGATTGTTTCAAAGATAAAAGTTAAAAAAACAAAATGTGTGCACAGCATATATTACGTGCGACAGGTGTAATGAAAGAGGAGGAGAGGAAGGATTGTTGTTGTCGAGGCGATCGTTTCAAAATCCGGAAGCGGAGTCGAGTAACAGATCGTCGTTCACGATTTGACTTATCGCCACCGTCACCGAGTTATCGTAATCGCCGCTGGATATCAGCCGCACCGACGTCACGTCGTACGCCACAAGTTCTCTTATATCTGAAATAAGATCAGAACCTGCGTTATATAAAAAAAAGATGCTGAAGTTTTTTGTCGAACAGATAGAATGAAAGATAAGTGTAAAAAAAATCATTGTTATACATATATTGTTTTATCTCCAGATGTTAATTAATCCAAGAACTCGTCTACCTGGTTTGGAGTCGATGCCGCAAATGGTGTCGATCACGTCGAGCTTCGTCGTGTCGAGCCCGCGGCTGCCTCCGATCTGCACCAAATCGCGCGGACTCCTCGTTCCGCACTTGAAACACGATGATTCATATCGTATATAAATAAAATAAAACATTGAACGTCCGCAACTATGACAAAATCAAAACGCGCGGTCGACCTTGCAACTAAACTTACTTTGCGCAAAGTGCCGGTTTCGGTGGTGGTGCGGGCGACGCTCTGCGAGACGCCGCCGACTCCGAGCGCGATAACCCGCACGACACCGGGATATACCGCTATGAGGGTGCAATTAATCCGTCTGCCGTAATTGCGAATCGTGAACGGATCCGTCGTGCTGACCGACAGGATATTGCAGGCTGAAAAAAACGAGACATTTGTCAAAAGTCTGCGTACAATCCGATTCAAAGTTTGTTAAAAAAAAAACCAACGTTATTTTCTTTATTTGCGAATTATTTATCAGGTGTATAAAAAAAAAACAAGTTTAATTATCTCATTGTTAAGTCGACTTTGTTCGACTCACGTCTCGGATTCTTCGGATATTTCGCAAACACAACGAAGCCTTTTTCGGACGAAGGTATTTTGTACTGGAGTAGCGCGACGTTTTGCGAACTCGAGAAAGTTTTCCTGCGCCATCCGTTTTTGCCGCAGAACTCGTTCACCCTCTCCTTTACGGGTAACATATGATCGGCCTCGCTCGGAAATACCTCGCCGTTCAACTCCCAGCCGTCGATCACCTTGTCAGGATTCGATTTTACATTGTTTCGTGTCGTGCGAAAATGTTATTTCATTGTTTTAATTTTTTTTTTGTCGTGCCGACGACAGATATTTGTCTTTCGCGACGTTGCCCGCTGCGCGTGACACACGAGGGATCGCTCGAATTTATCCGACAGGAGTTTTCCATTAATAGCAACACGCGGCGAGAACACAAACTTTGCGAAAAATTCGATTTTTGCGAAACTCGCTGTTACAAAAAAAATGTTGTTTCGTTATTGCAGCGTCAACGAGCGCAGATGGCAACGACGAGAGGGAGATCTATTGTTTTAACAATTACATCCGACGACATACCGCCAAAAGTCCGTGACGTTCGCAGGGAACGTCGTAGCTCTGGAAATATAATTCTACAACGCGATCCGGATCGGTTAAAAAGTAAATGCCGCAAACCTCGTCGTTGTCGGACTGAGACACGTAAGAGAACGGTCCGCTGTCCGAGGTAACGAACATACAGTCTGTAAAATTCAGAATATCAGTTTTTATATTTTAATACAAGAGACACACAGATGGAAATATTTATTTTTACATAATTCCGGAAAACAACACCGCGATTGCGCACCGTGGCTGTGTCGGTGAACGGCACCAAGAGAGGTACACGTAGAAAATTCATACTTACGCGAAAAATTTATACTAGTTCGACTTGTTGTGTTACGGACAACTACCCCACAGTTCTCAGCCATTAACACACGGATCGCACAACTGGCGCAGTGACGCAATTACCGCCTCAATTATGAAGTTTACAAGCCGTTTAATTGCGCCGACCGCGCAACCACAATGTTCGGTTTCGAACGTGCATATTAATTGATTTTACATATCGCAACGATAAAGTGTCATTTACAAGAGTACCGCGCTTCCTCATTACCTGTGACTGGCCGATAATTTTCACGAGACGGATTAAACGAAGCCTTCGCTCCTATCTCGTAAGCCAAGATATTGGCAGCTTTGTTCGACACCTAAAAATTAAGTGAGATTTTCTCCAATGTAGATTTTATTTGCTCGTTATAAAATTCAAAGAATTGCATTAAAAAAAAAAAAAAAAAAAAAAAGAGAACGAGAGATTGACATTTGCTTGAGTGTAAAAAAGGTGTGGCGAGAAATTTATGTAATTAAACTTTCTTCTTTTGAAGATGATAATGACATAAAAAATCTGTCGCGTAAAATGGGGAAGAGATAAGAGATACAAAAACGTTGAGATGAAAAAACATCTGAGCGATATCTGAGAGAGAAGAGCGCGAACTGACAAAGATTAATAATATGATTATATAGACGATGGAAAAAACTCATTAAAAAGTTGGCAATCGACGTCGCTTGTAACATTATCTTCGAGTTCACTCAAAGTTTTATCGAAATAGTCAACGCGCTTCACTCGCGTCCAATTTTTTTTTTATTTAGCTTGTTTCGAGTTCCAAACCGCGTGTATTGTAAAATACCTCGGCGCGTGAAGTTGCTTCAACAACATCTTGAACAATGAACAATTTTATATAGAATTTTATACTCGCGTTGTTTGTGTAATTTTTTTTTTCTTTCCAAATTGAAATCTCCGTTGGAACATGTAACCAAATTTTTCCGAAAGCGTAATATTGCAAGCATCATCGAATCGCTAATTAAACTGTCGCGACAAAAAAAAAAAGGAGCTTGTTTTATCAGACACGAAAGGCCAGAGAGTGACTCGGCCACATACATAGGCGATATCTATTTACAACGGTAATTTTATTTTTATCGAGTTTTTGTTACGCTAAAGAAATTCTTAAGTGAAAAAGCCTCTCGGGGGATGTTAATGAAAGAAAGTATTAACAATAATTTTATTAATTATCATATTATAACGTCTAGGTTTTATATTTTTTGTTAAATGTGTATTCACAGACAGGGGCACATTTACCTGTTGGTGACGGTGATCGTTGCTGATCGTTGCTCTCGCGATGTAACACATCGCGTTGCCGATGATGACCAGGAGGATCGACCTGAAGATCGACTTGCAGAACATCTCACAAACGCGACGTGAAGTAAGTTTGCAGACCACACGCAAACCACGAGAACTGAATCCTCTGGCTCTTTTACTCTGGATCGCAAATCAAATGTGAGCACGAACCAAGCGCGGCAGGTGTTCTGACGGCGTCGCGACCCACGACATCCCTCTTATAGCCATCTCGTGCAACCCCCTCGTCTCGTCCTGGCTCTACGCGCCACCCCAAACCCTTATTGCTACGTACAGCACGTTGAATTTGGAAACGCGGAGGCATAATGTGAAATTGTTTCTCGGGTATCCAGACGAGCAAAAATATCCCATTCCGGTTGCATAATAATCCTTGTATATGTGTGTGTGTGTTTTATAACAATATTAAGAGGTACGTTTAAAAAAAATGTATTCTTTTGCCAGGAAGAGATTTGCATCATTTATTCGAATGTTTGAATTTTATTAGACATTGTTCTCGTTTACTCGGCGCACGGTGATCGTGAATATCCAAATATCTCTTTCGTCCATTCTCTTCCTCTGTCGTTTTTCCAACGCACATATTGACGAAATTCTATACCGCGAAAAAATCATTAACGCGGCGTTCGGCGTTTGAATGTTCCAGAGAGAAAAAGAGAGAGAGAGAGAGATCGACGATTCAAATATTCTTCTATAATACTAATGTTTTATTAGAGCAATGCTCGTGTGCGTGTTCGACATTTATACATGCGCAGCGCGGTTTTGAGTGGCAAGAACAGGAGACGCGCGCGTCAACTCGTCAGCGAGATGGACGTTAACCGATTATCCGATATTAGCGCAACCTAGAGAAATTCGCCGTGAATATGTATATCGAAGTACACAACGCTTCGACGTTATCTCGTCGGGCTTAATTCCGAAGTCGTAATAGAGATCGATGTTGACGGCTCTGGTGGCTACTTACGCGGCGCTGCGCTTTGCTCGCGCAAAGCTTTACAAATGACTTTCTGAAACGCCAAGGGAAAATGAATTATTCTCCTCTCTTCGGGAGGACGATAATCAAATCGAAATGTAAGTTCGTCGTTATTGTTAATTAATTTTTATTAATTATTTTGCAAAGTCTCTTCTCTCTCTCTCGATTTTTTCCCTCTTTTTTTTCCATATGTACAATCACAGAAATGAATGTTAATACAAAGACACGGTCATTTTGACTGGTAATTTGTTTATTATAATAAATCTAGTTTCTCTGCTACACCAGTAAAATGCAAAAGTAAAAAAAAAAAAATAACAATTAATAATCATCACGGGCTCTGATCTTTAAACTAATAAATGAATGTATACATGGTCGCAAAGAGCTCTTTTAGCTCTATTTTTTTTTTTTTTTTAACTAATGAATGAATATGTGATCGTAAAGAGCTCTTTACGACCACACATACATTCATTTATTAGGTTAAAAAAAAAAAAAATATTTGAATTGTCAAAACAAATATTGCGCGTGTCACAACAGACTTTCGTTTTTTTCTTGTCTTTACGCACTTGGTGGTACCAAAGTAGTCCGCGGATGTCAAAATCATCCCACTTGACGGTGTCTATTTAAATGTAAATGGTGAACATTATATAAGCGTGTTTTCTCTCGAAGAAGAAGAAGAAGTGAAACGCGAAATGCGGCGTATTTTGATGATGACACATGTGAATAATAAAACAACTTCGATAACTTTACTCTTATCTCACTTTGCTAGAATCTAAAAAAAAAAAAAAACAGAAATTACGAGAGAGAAACCCGAGAGAAAATACATCCTTTCGGAAAAAATGCATCTCTTCGTGTTTCTCTTCTCGTTTCCTCTTCCTCAAAATACAAACAAATTTTCTCTCAATTTATATGTATTTTTTTTTGTGATCTTGATAAGAATGCGACACACGTCTCGGCAAAACTGTGCGATTTTCATGTTTACGATTAAGCGCGGAGAGTAGTCACGCACAAAATAGAAAACAAACATTACCATCGGCAGAGTCTGCGAACGCCGTGTAACTTGTCGATTTGCAATTCCTCACGCAAGCGTCGGACGTAAGCGGATTAGATCTAAAATATCGGTAAAAACACGCGGTCGCCGATTTGCGCGACAATCTGCCTCTCACAAAGGAAAAAGTAGAATAACAATGTCTCTAATTTGTGTTTTTTTTTTTTTTTAAGGAATTTCTTTTTGATAACATAATTTTGCGAAATAATAGTGAATTCAGCTTGTGTGTTATTCCACAATACGCGCAGCGGCCGTTGAAACCTTTGTTATTTCTGCAAAAGAGAAAATCCTTAATACTTAATGATGGTGCGGAGGCATGTATGCCGGATAACGTTCCTCTTCTTCGGGAAACACTTGATGACTCCTGTCGTGCCAAGCCTCTATCGGAGAGTGATAAAGTCCGTAATTGACGCCACTGGTGGCTATCTTTTTCAGACCCTGTATGCTGGATAATATCAGAGCCATTTTGGCGAGGATCAGAGCCTTGCCGCCCAACACGGCGAGAAACTGGAAGCCCAACGGTATGAAGACCGAGCCCAACAGCATCAGGCCCATCATCATCATCGGCATCATGTGATGACGGTGACGATGTCGACGTCTTCGGCCTGTGTTGTTGAGAGACGTAAGAATGAAATTTATAATGAAATTTATAATGAAATTTACTACGCAATCCGCTCTGTTTCTATATATGGTCTGTAAACCAACCTTGCACGATATTGCTACTCAGATCTGGTTCGGACGTGTTGGTAGCTGTCTTGAACATACGATCCAGGTCGACCTTGAAAGCATGAGTACGCAGAACGCGTGTTAATCGATTCCAGATGATCGTCGGCCAACTGGCATCGTCTCCCAATCTGTCGTACGATAAAGAATTGTCTTTGACGAGAACATCGTTACGCGTGTTTACACAATTATCGATTCTACTTCGAAAAAAAAAAAGCGAGACAACGCCAAACAATCAGGTATGTCTTTACAATTCATTTTCTGCTCCTTTTCTCTCGTTACATTTGTCAAATTAAATTGTGATTTACAGTATGTTATTTATTTGTGTATAAAAAAAATTATTATACTTAAGTATACTTGATCTATTTAATCGTAAGTTATGAAAATCAATCTCACTTAGAGTCCGTGCTGTTATCGTCGTTCGAACGAAAGCGGATTAGATTGACGCCATCGAATACCGTGATGACGTCGTCGTCGAGAAGAGCGTCCAAAGTCTCGATGGCTCTCTGCTGCACGCATTTCCGAAAGATCTCCAGTAATTCATCCTGACCGGAATTGTTCTGGATCTCTGACGGGCAATTTTTTAACATAGACCGTAATCCGGAATACCATTTGGTTCTGTCGTCGCAGCTGGCTCTTACAACCGCGGTCAGTGTGAGAACGAGAACTTGGAGAGTACGAGAGTACATCTGTGAAGTTGAAAAATGCAACTTGTGTCGTATTGGAAAATTTGAAATACAAAACTTGCGTATAAATTTTTTTGTTTTGTTCTTTTTTTCTTTCTCTCGAAAGTATAGAAGAGCGCCTTAGAGTTTAAAAAAAAAACAAAAAAAAAAAAACATTAATTTTGCCAAATCAATTGCCACACTACAATTTTGTCGGAAACAGAATTTTGAAAGATTGTCATCAAACAATGTTTCCATGTTTTCTTATTTTGAACAACGCAGTTCGCTTTTGCAATCGATGTTTCGCGCGCGATCGTTATCACAAGAGCGTACATTAGGATTGCGGTCGCTTTGCTCATTCAAGCATTTCGTAACGTGAACAATAATAATAACAATAATCGGTTATCTTTCGTAGACTGTGCTTAGAACGTTTGTTTTAATTTGTAATACGATTTTTTATGTTTATATTGTTCTTTTTTAAATGATACAGCGCAAAACTTTTTACTATGTACAAAAACATTTATCGCAAGCAGTATTTTTCTAGCTGAAAAGCGTTTCGCATATATCATACGTGAATATCGCACGCAAGTCATTCAGTTTGTGCAAGTGTGTGTGCGTGTGTGTGTGTGTATGTATGATATTTGCATGCCAGTCGGTCAAGAATCATCTAGAATACTCTTAAGAATATACGTTTCTCAGGTTCTCTCTCTCTCTTTTTCTCAAACAAGTTCTCTCTAAACTCGAGAAAATTTCTCCGCCAGATGGCTACGAGCGAAATATCCTTCTCGTATTCAAGTTTTACCGTGACTGTTATATAAGGGACCAAACAGCGAGGATTAATTAAGATCATACTTCACAGGATCAGTTCTGTAGGAGTAGGTCTCATACCTCATCCCTAACATGGGAGTTGATACAACCACGATGACGAGAGGAAGCTCACTTTCCTGAGCGTGAGAACGACAGTAGTTCCCGACTTGTCGGATGAGCTCTGTCATCTATGATCGTTCACTCTCTGCACTCAGTGCAGGGGGGATGGAAAGTCGGGTTTTCTGAGTGGTTCCCCTTTTATAAAATTCAAATAAAAAAACACTTTTCCGAGTTGCAGCGAGAACTAAAATCTACTTTTTGACGAACAAGTTTGTTTTTCGTCTAAGATCGTAGATGGAAGTTTTCTATCTGGTGTGTTACATTTTGTTTTTGAGAGACAAGTTTGACAAAATGCACAGAGTGGTTGGTACACTGTTGATTCTAAGAGGTTTTCGAAAAATTTTAAATTATCCGCACGTAAATGTGTTTAGGGAATATCAGAAACAAGCGTTTAACTTGAAATCCACTTTTGTAGAATATATTATTTCTGTTTCTAAAAAAAATATTTTCTTTTCAATAAGTAAAACGTGTAACTCTGTACAAATGCGGAGAAACGATATATCCCAAAAATTCACTTGTTTTTGGCGTGAGAAAAGTCCACTTTTTATAAAATATCCGATGAAATTTTTTTTACCTCGAAAGATCGGAACTCCTCCGAGAGAAGACCACACACTTAACGGACACGTCGCGGTGCACTGCGAATGAATATACGATCGTACGGACGTTTTACCGTCGCGCGTACATTTATACGTGCAGAAAATAGACTAAGGTGCCGTGCAGGTGATCATTACGAGTCATCGAAGGGCATCAAGGTAGCGGTCAAAAGGCGGCCGGACTTCACGCTCGGACGATCACTCTACGCAATCACCGGCAAAAAAACCGTGTTAGTACTCGACTATATGACAATCCGGATACCGGCGATTTTCCTTCTGATGACGATGGACGGAATCCATCGATTTTCCGATAACTGTGATTACACCGTAATGAATATCGTTATATATATATATAACGATATGTATAAGAAAATCGGATGTTGGAATTTTATTTTTATACATTATAAAATATATACGCGCGTGCAAAACAAAACTTCAGTATTTTACTGATCAAGAAATGAGAACCTTACCAGCCAAACGATTCGGTAATTAAATTCAGCTCGAAACTTGTTACGTGTGTTATAATCTACACGTTTAAAAAAATAATTATTTTACATACATCCAGCCTTCGAGGTCCTCATTTCTTGATTGAGATTGATTATAAAATACATGTGCGTTTTATTATTTCGTATAAATGTTTTTTCGTATATGTATATTTCATCGTTTCGTTGATACATTGTACTTCGAATCGAGTTTTCATACACGATGGAAGTTCATATCGTAACAAGCACCTTAAACGTAATTTTGAAGGTATAAAAAAATATTTAGATAAAAAACAAAGTTTTTTATGTACAAATTTACGGACGCGGTGGAAGTCTGCGAGAGAGATCCAAGGTTTGTCGAAATTCTCCGTAAGTGATCACTCGAGGAAACAAAATTACGCAGACTTTACCGCAATACGATCGTCAAAATGCGTTGTTACGGCACGTTACGTTTTACAAATGTACGAGTTGTAACTGCAGACCGAGTAATTGTCGTCCGGTATTTGTTCGTAATCGTCGTGACCACTCGCGCCCTCGTTCGATTTGATTCCCTTTACACCGTATTTGTTCCTGAGCATGGCGGAGGTGATGGTCACTTTTCGCAGATTCCACTCCTCTATGGACGTCATCGCGTTTTCCTCGCTGACGGGATTCATCGCGGAATTGTGGCGCGAAGGCACTACTGCATTGAACTTCAACGTGTGTTTGCACGCGTAATCGTCGTAGTTGTCGGTCCTGTTGAAAATCGGCGCGTTGTACTTAACCACGCGCGATCGCACAGACACGCAGAGACTGTCGACGGGATTGCCGTTTTCGCTCTCCGCGTTGCGAAGCGACGGCAATCTCCGAGCGGAGCACGGCGAGTTGTTCATCGTCCTCTCGCGCGGAACACTGTCGCAGTGCCGTGATGTCTGGCTCGAGGAGGTATGCGCCGCGTTACCGCTCGTCGCTCTCCCGGGAAAGCAGTTGACGTTGCCCGACACCACGTTTCTGGCGAAGCGCATGTCCGTCGCGTTAATATTCACGGATTTGCACGACGACGGTACCTGCGACGCGACGTTCCTGGAGAAATACTGCTTGCCGCTCGCAAAACAAGAAGACGAAGGAACGGAGAAACTCTCCGACGATTTCGAGTACGACTCAGATCTTTTAACGGCTAACGTCGTCATCGACGACATCGTAGACATGGGACTTTGAGCCTGTGAATTGCACACGCAAGTTAGTCGCAAAACAAATGTGAAATAGAAAAACATTTTTTTTTTTCAGCGCAAAAATTTTGACATTTGCAAGAAGAGAAACTTACTTTAGGCATCCCAGACCTGATGCATTGCGCCAACATGATGTCTTCTTCCTCCTCCGAGAGTCCGACATGATGGTCTTCGTAGGGCAGACCTTTTTTCGTTACATTTTTTCTCTGCTCTACGTATCTCGGCTGAAAATACGGCGACGCGGTCGTGCGCATGTTCATCGGTTTGGTGTTCTCCATGGGTTGCGATAACGGCAGTCTGATTGACGGTGATGTGCCAAGTCTCGCCTGAAAACAATAATTTCACATGAAAAACCTAGTTAAAGTGCACAGCATAATGTGCACATAACCGGTTCTTTTTACAGTTTGAAAAAAAAACCTTCGTTATAACGACCTTTGGCATCGCCGATTGTATGCATTCTGTCAACATGGCCTCGTCATCCGAATGATTCGGACTGTCGTCGGAAAACTCGTCCGGATATCTCAGTGTCGCGTCGCGTGGCGACTTTGAGCACAAGATAGGATTCTTATTCCTGTGACTTCTCTCAACGGGCGAGGACAATGGGGTGCCGCATGTGTCAAATTTGTGAGATGACGACTCGGGCTTTTTCGCAAATAAAATACTATTCGTAGGAAGCGGAGGTATCTGTCTCGCCTGTGTGAGAGAGAGAGGGGGAGAGAAAAGAGAATACAAGTAGATTAAAGAAGTTTATATCTTGACAATTGTTCTAACACACATCTGAGAATTTTCTCTACATCATATGAGTCACCAAGTTACGAACACATACCTTGCCCGATTGAATACACTCGTCCAATATCTTCTCGTCGTCGCCCGAGAGATTGGCACTTTCGTCGAACAAGTCGTTTCTGTGGCAGTCAATCTCAAGCGACTTGTCCTGCTCGATCGTCTCTATGTCCTCTTGCACACTCGGCATCGAGAGGGCGGACAGATTGGACTGAGATCCAACCGGAGATATATCAGCGGGTGTGTCCTCCGTGCAGTACACGTGTACGGTATCCGAAGCGACGATCTCCATCGACGTTCTCGTCTTCGACGTGTTGACGGTCGCCTCGACCGGAGACGCGTGCGGGTCCGATCTGCTCGAAATAGAATTTCTCGGATACGAGACTAAGATACTTGGCTCCGATTGCGCGGATTTCTGCGAGCTGAGCGTTTTCAACGACTGTTTGTATCTGCAAACGCATCAGAAAGAGAATATATCAACAAAAAAATTTAAAATAGATGATAAAAATTTACAAATTTTACCTATTTTGAATTCCCATGTTGATGCAAGCAGCCAACATGTCATCGTCGTCCTCGTCATCGCTCACTTGCTCGTCCTCCTTCGCTTGAGCCTCGGGGCTGCTCACCGCCATATTGAGCATATCAGTTTCGAGTTTCTCAACATTCTTTTCGTCCGCGTCCGGTGTTTTTTCCGATCTGCAATACGTCTCGGCGACGATATCAGGCAGTTTGACCTCGTCGTCGATCGTGAGAGAGCTCAGACTCGTCGCGGTCGAAAATTCGATCGGCGTCGATTCTTCCTTGAAAGTTGCAACCTCGTCTTCGAAAACGCTGTTCCCCCCGACGCTCTGCGGTTTGGAGAATGCTGCAACGCGTTTATAAAAAAAAAAGAAAACAAAATTCAGAGATTTAAAGTCTTCCAAGTGGATAAATATTCGAAATTTTCGTTGAACTGATATCGTTATTACTGTCGTCACATTTTGATGATCAATAGCATTGCATACATAAGTGTCGGACCGATGGTCTTACTGCTTCTTCTTGTATCTTTGACACGAACTCAGGGTTCTGCGTCTTGTGATTGCGTGGACTGGGTAAGGCCGTTTGCGTGGGCGAATCCGGCAGTTCGCTAGGCGAGACCACGCCGCTGGTTCTCCGGCTGAAGACAAAAACCAATTGTTATCACAGACAAAAGTTCATTAAGTTTTGCACCGCGGCAAAAACTTTGTTTTATATACAAAAAAACTTACCTGAAATCGCTGACAACGGAACTACGATCGTCGTGAATAGAATGTTGTTCAAATCCGCTCAGCGATCCGAGCGAACTACACCGCGAGAACATCAGAGGGGTTTCTTCCGTGTAATAATCTTGGCCGCCAAAAGTCACCATTTTTCCTACAATTAACAATCGCACAGATAAGCGTGCGTGTTTCCTTACGTGTTTTTGTCAGTTCAATACAAACCTTCCTTGTCCAACACACGTGGATTGTTTTTGATCTCGGGAGAATTGTCGTTTTCCGGGGACAACTCTATCTGATTGCCGTCCAATCCGAGAACGCTCTGTTCGTCGTTTTCCAATTCCTCCTTGTTAACCGGAGGCGAATCCACTTTGGAAATGTCCGCGTTATCCTTCTGAGGCGTTATCGCACTGTTCAGAGAACTTGGCGAATTGGCACGCGAGAAACTCTGACAAGCGCCTTCTTCCTCGTAATAAACGATCTCCTTTTCCGGAGTCACTTGTCCGGGATTAAGAACCGCGGTGTCCTTGACGCTTTCCTCTTCCAGCTCCTTTGTCATCAGACTGTCTTGCTCGTCGCACACGTTGGCGGTCTCGGTCTGTTTGATGAACGACACCGGACCACTTTTGACGGTCGCTTCGACGATCTTCTTCGGCAATTTCTTCGGAAGGTCGTTCTCTTTCACATCCTCGACCCGGAGATCCGACATAGAAGTGGCGGTGGAGAAATTGAAGGGCGTCTCGTAGGGTGTTCCCTCCGTGCAGTAGGTCTTGACGGTGTCCTCTTGCTCGCTGCCCGGAAAGTATTCCGTGTTCTGCTTCTCTTCCTCGTCGGTGTCGTCCTCGGCGTATCGCAGACTGTAGTCCGTGGGCTGATCGAGATCGGTCTCGGCGTAGTCGCTGAACAAATCCACTTTGGAGTCGCGCTCGACGAACTCCTTCTTCGGCACGCCGCTGCTCGTCTGCATGCCGCCCTTGGCCAGGTGGTTCTGCGACGGTACATTTCTCTCAACGTACTTCTTGCTGTAATCGACCGGTTGATCATTCGCGTCCTCGTCATACGCCTCGACGTTATTCATGTTTCACGCTCTACGACACTGAAATTTTTACTCAAAAACCTCGCGCTATGAGGACCGAAAAAAAAAAAAAAAAAAAAACGAATCTTCAACTCCAAGCGCAATCAGGCATGTGAATTACTTGACGTGATAAATGTAGGTATAAGGAAAAAGCGAGAAGTGTGAAAAAATATTTACATTACGAGCACCGGAGGTGTCAATGGAACATCAACAACGCTCGTTCCACGAAGGACAAAAGATCAGCTGAAACGAAAGGCAAACATCGCCGGAGGTCGGGAGTAGAAACTATACGCAGCCCTCTCGTGGTGAAGACGCGAAGCGCGCGCATTGCGACGACGAGGAGGAGAGAAGATGCGCGAACCTTTCGACCAACCAATTACCACCGTTCTCGACCTGGAGGAATTATAAAACCGAGCACCTCGTCTTCAAATTTTCGTGAGCCGTGCGTGCGAAAACAGGCGGTGACAAATAGCTTAGAATGGCGTATGGACTAACTTGAGGCGGTCCTTTGAGCCATATATGGCACCAAACCAAACCAGGCGGTGAAAAATAACCATCGGAACCGAACCAGTCCGTGTGCCGCATTCGAAGGGCGCGCGGGATTGGTCGTTCGCGGCGCGCACATGTGGATTGGCTCGTCGGGGTGGTGGGCGGGTGGGTGGAGGCTCTATCGATTTAAATTTGGTTTGCCGGTGCGCCGCGTGTCAATAGCAAACGCAGAGCCGTCGCTCGCGCGTTACCAGCCCGCATTTAAGGGAGAATCCGAATTCTTATCACGCGCGGATATTTAAAGCTTTGCGTGGTATTCGGGCCCGGGTGCGTGCGAGAGGTGAACATGCACGAGCGAGGGAAAAAACACGAGACGGAAACGGCGCACGCGGGCGAGCCGATCAAATTCGAGAGCGCCGTCCCGAAAATCAGGTCAGTTCTTCCCGGCGAAGTTTCTTCTTCGTCGCGTTCTCTTTCTCTCTTCTCTCCCCCGTAAGTAACAGCGGACGACGCGCGTGTATACACGATGCGCACGTATTCTCGGATATACAATGTCGCTCTCTCGTGTATACACGCACGAAGAGATGTCCTCTCGTATGTGGGTGCGTGTGTGTGTGTGTGGGTGGGTGGTTGTGTGCGATTGCGCGCGGGGAATTGTGCCGGCGCGTTGTGCAGCACAGCAGCCCCGTGCGTGAGTCGCGTGGCGTTTAATTGCGCTAACGACCACACCTCTTGTCGCGTGCTTTTATCTGTAAGAAAAAAAAAAAAAACTATGGTTTATGACTCACCAACCCACGCTCGCGCCGCGTAACTAGGCTTTATTTGTACATAAGTACTAGGTATATCTCATCGCGCTTTATCAACGTGACTTGCTCTCAATATCGCGACGTGTCGAGCGATAAGGGGATGCTCGTCCCCGGGACGACCTGCGCGCATCTCGAAATCCGTCGCAAGCTTTTACGTTCCGCGACGCGGTGGGTAACAAGCGATTGAATCGGACGCGGCGGCGAACAAAGTCGGCGAATGAAAAAAAGCGATTCGCCGATTGCGAGACCATCAACGGTCACGTGAGAAAAAAACGCGCGCCGAGATAAATTTGAAACCCGATTTGAATTCCTTGGTCCTATAAAAGGACACGATTTTCGAAAATTGGAAAATTGTTTTATCAATTTCGGGATGTTTGTGTGAAAATTTAACTGACAAATGTTTTTTTGTTTTTTGATGTTGAAGGCAGCAATTGCTGAGATGGAACGGCTGGGGCTACAAGGACTCCGGATTTCGTATAAACGACAAAAATTTGATAGAATTTACCGGGAACAGGTGAGTTCTTTTGTTAAATCTGCGCGAATTATTGCCGGAAATACTATTTTGCAAGAGCGAAATGTGCGAAATTACGTTTAGCGAAATTAAGTTGGTCGGAGACTCGTTCATTTCACGATCTGGCGACAACTTTACGAATTATCTCGTAGTTATTTTTAACGCGTTTGTAATTGCTAACCAATTACTTCTCGTTTTGTTATTATCATCATCATCATCAGTTTGTCTGATGAGGAAAACGCATTGTGTTTATTCCCATAAACAGATAAATTAAAACGTTTTGATTCCCCCCCCCCCCCCAGATCTATTGCCTCCGTATGTGAGTTTTTATGATTATATAATTGTATTGATAATAATATCGGAGTACGCAAAAGATCAATTGACGTAAAGATCTGGTAAAGAACTGGTACGCTGTAAATATTTAAATTTCCTCGTTCTTTTGTGTGTATTTATTTGAATAATTACACATATTGACCGTCTCGCTATTTAAAAACGTGTTGTCCGAGCGTGTAACAATTTCTTTAACAATTTTTCATTCGGAGGCGTTACGCGATCTCTCTGAATAATTTTGTCATCAATCATTTCAGTGATTATGATCGAGAGTTTTTGAAAATATGCAAATTCTTTTTACGAACAGAATCGTTTCTTTCAAAATGAGAAACATACCTAAAATGTTGTTTACTCCGGACGAAACATCTCGATATGATGACGCACAGAGTAAAAAAATAAATTTTAATAAATCTACATAAGAAAGTAAATTTTTAATCCACATGTGAGCGATTTTTAATGCGTTTGTAAATTTCATTCCGTTTGACGTCAGTTTTTTTAAATTATAATTGCAATAGAAATTAGCATAGAACAAACGCAAATGTTTGTAGCGCGATTGAAAGTGTAGCGCGAATCAAAAACGAGGAGATTGATCAGAACCGATCAGAGAACAGATTTCGATCTTGTACTTGCGATTTTCAGAATATAAACCAAATGTCAATAATAATTAAATTAAAAAATAATAAATAAAACTAAAGTAGCGTGTAAAAATATATGTAATTGTGTTGTTACATGTGTTGTTGATCAGTATATGTATCTTTTATATATATAACTTATTTTATTGTGTTTGCACAGATGTGTTATTACAGTCGGAAAATATTTGGCTAATGTAAACTTGCGTTTGTAAAACGGACTGTGACATACAAATACCATATGCATAATTTATGCGCATAAAAACTTATCAGTTGCGTATCTCATAATGATAATACTAATATGAGCGAAATAATGATCCCTTTCATGTGCGCGTGTTGTCGCAAACCAGACGTTTACTTGAAGATATTATGGTTTTTGCGAAGAAGTAAAACTCACAGTTTTTAAATATAAACAAGCGCGTATTACAACAAGCAATCTTTGTATCACATGTGGACAGTGCGCGACGTCTGACTATGAGTTGCGTGCAGCGCAATAGCATGAAATTTATATTACACGCAAAATAGCTACGAAATTACGTCACAAGCGATTGTTTAGTTTGTTAGAGTTTTTGTAATCAAATGAATATTACGGATTTTCCGTTCTTCTTTCCGAAATTACAAGCGCAAAAAAAAATGTTATCTTATCGATTATATTACGCTTTGAGTTTTTATGCAGATTACACATTCAACATTAATTCAATATCTCAAAAACGCTGATGTTAAGATTCATAGCCTCGCTCGAGTGCGGGACCGCGGTAACAAATTTATCTGTATTTATCAGCGCCTGTAATAAAAAAAAAAAAAAAACAGTAGACTAGATATATTGCACATTTTAATACAAATTTATTAATTGCAAGTTTACTCTCAGTTTGTTTTTTTACAGTTTGTATCTCGTGATAAAATGTTCAGTCTTGAGATACGAGATGCAGATAAGTTGGTTTTTTTTGTATATGTTGAATATTTTACATACAAAAAAGATGAAAAATTCAAGAATACGAAATTTTTATAATTTAAAAACTTAATTTGATATACTGTATGTGCATTGCTTTACATGTTTAAAAAGAAAATAAAAAACGAAATCTCAAGCACGTGTTGATAAAAGTCAATTGCTTTTTTAAATCGTTTTATCACCGTCATATAATTTTGCAATGCAGATATCCAATTGGAAACCTGGAACTTCCGTACTTCACCAAGTGGTGCGAAGAGGTATTCGACGTGTCGTGGGACTCGAAAGCACCGATTCGAAACTTGCCGACAGATTTTCCAGATCCTATCCTTTCGCCGGACTTGCTGAAAACGATCCAGGACTTGAATATTGATTATTCGACGGACGGTCTCGATCGTTTGTTCCGGGCGCACGGCCACACGTTGCGAGAAATTTATCTACTGAAACACAGTACTTACGAAAGGATACCGGACATCGTCTTGTGGCCAAGTAAGTTGAAAAAAAAAAAAAAAAAAAAACTATTTAAATTTTTATTCAAAATTTTCTTTATACTATTTCTTCTTCGGGCTATTCAAAAAAAAAGAAAATAATGATAACTTTTATCGCATACGTACAAAATAAAAAGTTGAACTATGTAACGTAGCTTAATTCATTACATCGCGCGAAGCTACCTTTCAAACAGAGCAACTTGAATAATAAATCGTCGCGGTGCGCAACAGAGGTCTTTCGCGGAAATAATTCATTCGATATATCACCCATGTGTGCATATAACAAGTGCAATCGATAAGGTCTGGTTTACGCATTTCGCAGTAGTTAGGCCTGTGCCGGAACACCGATAAAACCATTAGAAAAACCATTAGAATATCAATGATTCTGTTCCTTAATGATATGTTCACTTAAAATCCGAACACTTTTGTTTCCTTCTCTCACTGCTTGTCTCATAATATAATTTTTGCTTCGAGAAAATATCTCCTCTGCGTACAGATCTATTGCGCCATATTATAACAATTTCAGCGTATGTTTTTTTTTTTTTTCGATTCTGTATCTTCACAACAAAAATTCTATTTTTTCGACTATGTAAATTTTTCTTCATTACATATTCATATTTTCATTACATTCATATTTTCAGAATGTCACAACGACGTTGTTGCAATAGTCAATATATGCGCAAATTACGGAATCGTGTGCATACCGTTCGGCGGTGGTACGAGCGTGAGCCGTGCGACTTATTGTTCTCCGGAAGAACGCCGAACGATAATATCGTTGGACACGTCACAAATGAATCGGATATTATGGATAGACGGAGACAATTTGTTGATATGCTGCGAGTCGGGCATAATCGGTCAGGACTTGGAGCGTCAGCTCCGTCTTCACGGATTTACATGCGGACACGAGCCCGACTCTCATGAATTTTCCAGGTACACAAAAGCGGCGTATTTTTTTTTTTCTCTCGTCTTTCTCCGACATCGCCGACGCGAGTGTCAATATTTGAACAAAAAAAAAAGGGAATCTCTCACGAGACATTTGTAAATACACGGAGATTGAAAATGACGTCGTATCTTAGTTTAGGCGGTTGGGTGGCGACCAGAGCGAGCGGCATGAAGAAGAATACGTACGGTAACATCGAGGACCTGGTCGTCCGAGTGCGTATGGTCACCGGACGAACGGAGGACCCGGTTATCACGCTGGAAAGGAACAGTCTGGTGCCCCGCGCGTCTTGCGGTCCGGATTTCGATCACGTGATTCTTGGCAGCGAAGGAACCCTGGGCGTTGTCACGGAAGTCGTGCTGAAGATACGGCCGCTACCGCGGATCGTGAAGTACGGCAGTATCGTGTTCCCGAATTTTCAGAGTGGCGTTCAGGCGTTGCGAGAGGTGTGTATCCATCGCGTTTTGCTTTCTCATTATTACGTTTAACATTCTGTCGACAAAAACGACGCATTTCTTGCTCATATGGCAGTTATCTAATGTCAAGACGAAAATAGCCACTTTTGCGGTGAATAAACAATTTTTAATTCAAGAGAGAGAGAGTAGGTAGGGCTTTTAACAAGTTGTGTCATAAATATGCATAGGTTGCGAAAGAACGATGCCAGCCGGCCAGCATACGCTTGATGGACAACGAACAGTTCCAAATGGGACAAACATTACGTCCAGAATCGGGCTGGGGCGGTTTGATACTGCAAGGACTCAAACAGATATACATCACTAGAATAAAAGGTTTCCGATGGGATCAGATGTGCGTGGCCACGTTGTTGATAGAGGGCGACGTGGCGGCGGACGTCACGGCTCAGGAACGAAAAATCTACAAAATAGCCGAAAAGTACGGCGGCATTCCGGCGGGCGAGACGAACGGCGAACGCGGATACATGTTAACGTTCGTGATAGCGTACATCCGTGACTTGGGGATCGAATACGGCGTGTTGGCGGAATCGTTCGAGACGTCCGTTCCTTGGAACCGCACGTTGTCGCTGTGCAGAAATGTAAAGTCACGCATAGTCAGGGATTGTCACGCGCGCGGTATTCGCAAGTATCTTGTTTCCTGCCGCGTCACGCAAACCTACGACGCGGGCTGCTGCATCTACTTCTATATGGCGATCAACTACTTGGGCGTGAAGAATCCCGTGGAGACTTACGAGGAGATCGAGCACGCGGCGCGCGAGGAGATACTCGCCAACGGCGGATCTCTGTCGCATCATCACGGTGTGGGAAAGATACGAGCGTCGTTTTATCCCGAAGCGGTCGGAGACGCGGGTGTTGCCCTTTATCGTGCGACCAAAGCTCATTTAGATCCGCATAACATATTTGCAACGGGCAATCTCGTATCGGAGTATAAATCAAAATTGTAAATCTCCACGCGTCACGTGTGAGCGCCACTTTTGGGACATCATAGAAAATTTATCTCGCGCCTCGTTAATGATATTTGTCAGTGATATTTGTATTACATTAGATGCTACGCATTGTGTGGCATCTTGTGTGCAACCTTTTATTGACTTACTTGTTAGTAACAAAATACTGGCAAATATCGTTAACAAATTTCTAGTGTTCAAAAAAAAGCTGATTTTTTTAAATTACTAAGAATGCGCGCACGAGTGGCGTATGTAAAAAAAAAAAAAAAAAAACTACGTAGAGAAAGATGACGAGTGTGAGAAACAATTGGTTACTGTCTTTTATTGACTCGTCACGATGGTATAGAAAAAGAGAGACTAGTTATACATAAATAATAATTACGCACCACGGTGTCGTTTGGTACAAACGGAAAATTTATAATAATATATTATTTATATATATATATATATATATATATATATATATATCGCGCGGTATTTGTATAAATTATTATAAACTAAACAAAAACACACGTTTACAGAAAAATATCTTAATTCTATTTCTATTTATATAATTATTTAATTATCGTACCGGTGTTCGAGTTGGGTACGATGTGTGTGTGTGTACGTGTATGTGTGTCATTTTCCTTGTGTTAACTCTTAAAGCTATTTGATCTCTCGTTGCAATCATATTGAACAATGACATTTAAAATTCAAATGTAACGAGTGACGATCTTACTCGAGATCCTCGTGTTCGTTTTTCTTTTCCAAGTGCGCGCTCGCACGATATAATTTATTTTCAATATGGCTGCATAAAGAAACTCGGACGCTTGCTACAAACGTGTTTACTCGAATGTAGCAGATTAGTTAACGTACTGATTAATTAGTTAACTCTCTAAACAGGTGCGACTGATTTTCTGATGCAAAAATTACGTAAGTGGTAATCTCATTATTATTCCATTAACCATTAACTGTTGACTGTCACGCGTTAGAAAATTATGAAAATCTGCATAAAATGTTTGCTTTATACGTAAAAAAAAATTCTTTTTGTAAATATATAAATTATTAACGAGGAGATGGAAATATTGTTTTCTGAGACAAAAGTCCTAATGCAAAAGTGGCGAGGCTAAAATTTGTAAATTACATGCGATTAAAGGTTACACAAATTATACACCCCGCGTTCAAAATATGTGTATAAAATAAATATAAATACCCTGTATATATATATAATAAAAGTGTAATAAAAAATTACAGTTAATGGCGGCGTTACGAAGTCTCAATCGAAAACTTCACGTGTGGCAGTCAACATGTTAAAAAATAAATCGGAATAATCTTACAATTTCCAAGATTATTACTGCACAACTATGAGTTAACAAACCGGACTTTCTAAAATTGTGTTCACTCGATAGCACTAACTTCCAGCTACGTGGACTTACCAGATTCTAAATCTATAATTCAATGTTTTATCAAGGAGCGTACTTAGTGTTTCTACTATCAGCCTTCAGAGTGAACAAAAATGAGTCGAGATCGTATTCGTCGTCGTATTGCTGTTGTTCCCAGAGTTCAGGCAGAATGTCCAACACCGCACGGCTGATCCCCGGCACGCCGGGAATCTTCGTTAAACCAGTATCGTCGTAATTGTCCGATTTCTTCTCTTTACCATTGTCCAAGGAGAACAAATCCAACAACTGTGTAGAGACAGTACATCAATTATATATCTCGCAAGTTAGTTGACAAGTTAGACGATACAAGAAAAAGAAAAAAAAAAACATCTATCGCTCTCAATTACCTGATCAGTAGCCATGGTCTCAAGAGACGCGTTCTCCGTCGATATTATTGTGTTTGCGGTAACGAGCTTGAACTTTTGCAGTCCCATAATTTTCTCCTCCACTGTCGATCTGGTGATCAAGCGGTATACGTTGACCACTTTCTTCTGGCCTATACGATGCGCGCGATCCATCGCTTGGAGGTCTTTCATCGGATTCCAGTCATGTTCGACAAATATAACCGTGTCCGCTCCTGTTAGATTTAATCCGAGACCACCGACTTGGGTGGTCAAAAGGAGAACGTCTATCGACGGATCGGCATTGAAGCGCGTTACGACAGAGTGCCTCTGTGCCGCGGGCACACTGCCGTCTAGACGGAGATAAGTCACCGTCGGCAGATGTGTGCGAAGCAAATCCTTCTCTACGATATCCAGCATTGCTTTCAATTGGCAGAAAATCAAAGCGCGGTGCTGACTGACCAATTGTTGTTCCTGAGAAGTGTTGTCCATGGTGTAGTTCGCGGTGGCGGAAGAGGAGTTGCTGCGAGCCTGCTGTTGCTGTTGTCCGATACCGCAGTCCAACAACAATTGCTTCAAAGCGGGCAACTTGGCGCCGTGTTCGATATCCTTCAAAGTTGTCTGTTGCTGCTTTAATATGTCATTTACCTAAAAATATCACATTGGAAACACGCGATAGAAAATTTAACGCTCGACAGAAAAGAAACAAATTTTAGACACACACACACTAATCTTCTATGCATATATTTCTTTCGTATCTCTTTTTCTAAATACGTACCGTTTGATACAACGGATGTTGTTGACTCAACACCAACTTGGGATGATTGCACACATTACGTAAGTAGCGTAACGCCTCAAATACGTGACCGGTTTGACTATTCGAAGATGAAGGATCGGGAGAAAGAATAGCCGAATGACGAGAGCGGAAATCTTCATAAAGCATACGTTGTATGGGTGACAAATCGCAGTAATAATCTTGGGTAATTTTAGGCGGAAGATCCTGCAATACGTCTTCCTTATTTCGTCTCAACAAAAATGGCAACACCTGTAAATACAAAAATTTTTATGTATTTTTCATGCAATTCACCTGATAAAATGAACGTTTTGTAAATAATAATAAAAAAAAAAAAAAAAACATTTAACGTAAATTACTTGTCTGTGAAGAGCTTCCATTGCTAAGGCACCTGCCTCTTGTTCTTTTGGTCCTGCCTTCGGCTCTCGGCAGGCTAAGATGGGACGGGAAAATCTGGCAGCAAACTGTTTCTCGCTACCGAGAAAACCGGGCATAAGAAAGTCAAATAACGACCACAATTCAAGCACATCGTTTTGCACAGGTGTGCCAGACAATACGAGTCTGTGATTGGCGTGAAGTCGCTTTGCGGCTTTGGCGTTCTTTGTTTTCCCGTTCTTTATCACATGGCCCTCGTCGAGCACACAGTAATTCCACTGATGTCCTTCGAAGAACTCGATGTCTTTTCGCACGATGTCGTAGCTCGCGACTACGAGTCTGTAACGTGGTATACGAGGGCGCAGCTTCTCGCGCTCCTGAGGCGTCCCGGCGTACTGAATAACTGACAAATCCCGCGCTTTGAAGAACTTTTCCGCTTCGTAAACCCAGTGACCGGTGAGAGTCGGCGGACACACCACCAGACTAGACTGTGCCTGCGGATTGCGATGGTGATCCAGTGCAAGTATGCACATAGTCTGAAGCGTCTTTCCGAGTCCCATGTCGTCGCACAAGACTCCGTGAAGGTGGTAACGATTCAAGAAGTTGAGCCAGTTCAGACCCTGACGTTGATAAGAGCGCAACTCCGCGGCTACGGGAATCGGTAGATCCGTGTCTGGTATATTACGGGGATTCATAAGTTGGTCCAAGAATTTTCGCTCTTGCTCCTTTTCTTGCCTGTAATGTTGTTATATTACGTACACAAAAGAATCATTCGAATAAACAAAATTTTCAAAGAAATATCTCGTAAATCATCAGCAAACGCTCGTATAAACTATATGAATAACGTACACCAATTCCGGTGGGTCGGCGATTGCGCCAGGATCAAGCGGTAATAACTGCACAAGCGTGGCAAAAGTTGCGCTACACACTAGTCTCACGGCTTGATTTTGATCGCTCATGCGTCCAAGTAGAGGTACCATGAAGAGCACGGCGTACGGTACAACTTGCACGCCCAAGCTCTCAACGATACACGTCAGAGCTTCCGCCGCTCCCTGACGTACGGAATCGACCTTGTTCGGCGCAACTATACCCGAAGAACATCTTTTCTCCCCGCCAGTTGCATCCAAGAGCGGTATGACGCTGCGTATTACATGCACCATTGTCTGAAAAATATAATTTTCTTGTTGTTGTTTTTTTTTTTTCATTTATGTCGAGACAAGCCAATTGATAAAGTTTGAACATTTACTTTCTCTGTATTTAGAGTAGCCAAGGTAGCTATACATCGCGAAGCCATGTGCCTGACAGCTTTGTACGGGTGTGTTAACAAATTGCACAAACGCGGCATACAGTCGAGTGCGGGTGGTAGCAGAGATTTGTCCAAACTCGGCGCCATGATCTCCAACACTTGCAAAGCGAAGATCAATTGATTTCCCTCCTCTTCTTGTATCTTGTCCTGCCAGTCCGTGTCTTTCAGAACTCTCGGTAAAATCAGATCCCACAACTCGGGCAAACGAACGGGTAATGTGACACCAAACAAAGTAGCTGTAAACAAAAACACGAGAAACGGAAGTCAGAGTGTGTTAAACACGCAAATTTTAAATAATTATAAAGCCAAGTAACCGTTGCGCACCTATAGCTGTTAGTGCCAGTGTAGCTCCGCGGCGGCGCATTCTAGAGGCTTTGGCTTCCGGTTCTTCACAAGCGAGAAGCTCTTCCAGAGGAATGTCGGTCAGCGGCGGCCTGCCCGGACCCCTGCTACCGCCAGGTCCGGTACCCGTGCGATTATAAGCTATTCTCTCGGCGTGCTTTTGCCTGTTATTCAGAGTGAGTATGCCGTCGAAAGCTTCGCTCTCGCAAGTGGAATACAACGTAACCCGTGGTGTAAATTCAACGTCGGAACAGAGGAATATACAGAGATTATTGCAAATCTGCAACGTATATATAATTTACTTATAAAGTGCTGAAATACCCAAATAATTCGGAAAATATCATATACGTATTTTTGTGTAAACAATTTTGTTTATTTCTCGCGCAAACCTTTTTGTTCGGAGAGGGCTTTCTGTCCACACAAAGATCGATGAGATAAGCCAAGTGTTTTGCGGCCAGTTTCTGAAGTTCCTCATTTTCTTCCCGTTTAATAGATTCCATTAGCGGCTTAACTAACGGATTGAGCGGCTCGGGAGGCTGAGGAAGACAATGTAACATCGCGGCAGCACCAGCGAGCGCGGCCGTCGACATAATGTGCAACGCTTGCTGTTGAGCCGCCGTCATGGCCGCACCGGCGTCCAACGCTCGTCTTCTCTCTTCTAAGCTCTCTATCAATTTGGGTTTTAATTTAATAGGTATTTGATTGCTGCTGGTATTTCCAGCTCCACTTGTACCAGTTCCTCCGGCGCAAAGGGAATTAATCGTTTTCCCAACGAGTGTCTGAATCTGATCGAGAGTCAACACGCCAGCTAACTCCACGTTATCTGGCACTAACAATTTATAATGCTTCAAAGTTGCGATATAATCGCGACTTTCGTGCAGCAATCGAGTGAAGGAGGCCGCGATTTCGTCGTAATACATACACTCGTTCAAACAAGCCAACAGTCTGTCCCTTTAAAAAATAAAAACCGCATTTCTCGTTAATACAAAGCGTATTTCATTTTTTTTTTTTTTTTTTGTATGATTTTAATGCTAATTGCATATACTTCGCACCTGAGAATATCCGGTATCGTGGGCGGCTTTATAGGACTCACAGTCGCCCACTGGGACATCGTAAGTCCCACGACGGTACGTTGTAGCGCCGAACGCGAATTGAGATGCGCTAGTAACACCTTGGCGTAACAAAGCGCTGGACTAGGCACGTCCGGTGGATAAATGACACCCGGGGCGGGCTGTACAACGTAGTGCGACAACAAACCCAACATGCGAGACGATCTACAGCGAGCCTGAACTACGTTTGCTTTTCGCACATTGAGCGGCACTGTTTCGACCCCACCGATAAACACTTTCAGCTCGGACAACGACTTCGGGCTCACGTTATTATTCCCGCCATTACCGGCGTCCTGCGCGTCACAATAAGCGACCGTTTGATTATTTTTCGTGCCCTTGGTGGGATTAACGACCGTCATCAATAGATTCGGATTAAATGGCACATTTTCCGGCTGCATGGCGAGGCAGAGCCACGTGCTGACGTGAGGACACGCCGCGTGAAGCAACAATTCGAGATCACTGCGTACGACTAGATTCTCCCAGACACGCTCGGCCACGTCTTGTATCGCGGTGATGTGTTCGATCAGCACACACTGAAACACGTGTCGCAAAGCCTCTTGCAATACCAATCCACCGCCTAGGCCCCACCGTTCCTTTTTGTCTTCTCTGTGATCGCCGTCATCTCCGGTCAGAGTTTGCAATGTTTGCAGCGTGGCCTTGCGCACGCTCGAACTTGAATGGCTGAGAAATGGCCACAACCGTGGCAACACCTGAAAAACATTAATCAATCGTTAACTTCAAAGTTTCTCCGAAATCGTTAACACACAAATCGCATGAAATGCAATACCTGTGATAACGGTTGAGGTGTTAAGCAAGCGCGTGCTGCGGGCAACGAGAGTATCGCGGCCAACAAACCCATAAAACTATTGCAGGCCGCGGCGAGGTCGTCTTGTTCCTTCAACAATTCCCACAAGCGTATCACTATTACTTCGAGTTCCGCTGGTTTTAGTAATCGTGGAAGAACGTGAGCCACTGGTATAAGCGCGCTCGCGGCAGCAGCGCCCACGTCGTCCACATCGTCAGACAATCCTTGCATCAAAGCGGGAAATACTATCGGCAACATCTCGTCCAATAAATCATCTCGCACCGCCAGTAAATATTTCAGGGCGAGAAATGCACCGTGTCTGGCTTCCCACTCGTTGTGCTTCAAGAGTTTCAACACCACAGAAACTATTCCGAATAGCACGTCGTTGTTATCTTGGCAGTTTGTGTCATGTTGTCTGCTTGGTATCAATTTGAAAAGCGAGCCCAATGCCTGAGCGCACGTCTCTCGTACCGGCGCAACGACCTGATCAGAAACGAAGTCACCGAAACGATCGAGTCCCAATACACACAGTAGTCGCAAAGCGACATCAACTATCCACTCGTAATGGTTTTCCTCCATTTCATCCAACGTTTGATCTCTGGACTTGCCCGCTCCTGTGTATAATTTTTTAGTTAATAAAAAGAAAACCTATTTAAGAAAAAAACAAAATCTAAAAACGTTAATAAGATTCGCGTCACCTTCTCCATGAAGTTTCAAGAGTTCTCGCAAAGCTGTAGCCGCTCCATGACGCACCTCCCATTTCTGACTGAACAAATCCTGACGAAGAATTTCCACGAAGGATTCCAACGGCCAGTCTACGACAGAATCTGGCCAACATCCAGTTCCATCTGGCACTCCGCCCGTTTGTTCGCTGGATGCGTTGTATTTGGATCCCGTTTCTGACGAGATCGTTTCCTCTATTTTCGACTTTTTTATCGGCGGTTCACAAGTATTGCTACCGGGCGACTGCACGCCCATCGAATTCGTATGCTCGTCGTTAGCGCGATGATCGTCGGGATCGCGTGATCGCTGCTTCGATACCGACTGACGTGCCTACACATTGATGGAAATAATTAAATTTGCAAACTTTCCGATTATAAAAAGTAATACTAAATATTTTCCGAGTCTTTAATATTTGCTAAAGTAGACAATAACTCCAAGAAAACATTAGAATGGTTGTATAGTTATTTAAAAAAAAAATTGCAATAATACTTTGCGCTTTGCTCTGTTCATTTCTCTTCTGCTTAAACCACTCGATTGGTTTAGAGTTTCGCCAATGGGTACTGTGGCGGTTTGTGATGATGTTTGTACAACTGGAGTAAGATCCTCGGCAGTAAACAGATCAGCAGTGTCGATTAAACGCGGATGAAAACCCAGCTTCGCAACTAGTTTCTCATGTTGATTGGGAACTGACAGTTGGTCCCCTTCTATTATGGTCAGATCATACTCGCTACCTTCCGAGCCGGTTAGATGTGAACTTTGAGCTAATATTTTGTCCATATCAAAAGACTCCAAACTTAACTTAGTAGTGGACGCTCTACGTTTTGTTGTTTCTGATTCCTCTGTTACAATTGAAAAAAAAATTAACTTTTATAAATATGTTAGTCTTTAAATTTTATCATACATTATACACAATATTACAATTAAAACTATCCAAGTAGTAAATATTTCTTTTTTTTTTGTATACCTGTGGAAATCTCTTTTTTTATGGGTTCTGGATTCCAGGGCGGAACTTGAGTAAGTATAGCTTGCACAGCATGAGCCGCTGACACTCGAGTGTCCCATTGTGTGGATTTCAGTAAGATAGAAACCCTCGCCAACAAATGATGCAAATCATGAGGATGCAATCTCTGCGCTTCTCCCAGCTGTTGCGCAGCTGCTCTTTTCGTTACTGCGTTCGTTCCGGTTTCCAACAATATAAACAATCTATCCAATCTACGGAAATAAATTTGATGTTGTGTAACATTACATAAAATGCAAATTATTGAAAAAGTAAAACTGAGATTTCTCTAAAAAAAAAAAAAAGTATGCTTATATAAGTATTTTTACTTAATACGCATAACAAAATTACATAAAGTATTTACACGAACGTAATCAATATTTTCTATTAAAAATATATGTATCAATTTTTCAATATATATAGTTTATGTATATATTTGGAAAAAAGTATAATGTCATTAACAAATTACCTTGATGTCATGATGTATGATAGTGCTGAGAGTAGAAGAGCTTATAAAAAACCTTAAATCAAAATAATAATAGAGTTACAACTGTTTTATTTTTTTGAAATTAAAAAAAAAAAAAAAAAAAAAAAAAAAAAAAAAAAAACACAATATTGTGTAAAACCATATTAACTCTGACATAAATAAACACCAATGTGTGTCAAAAAAAAAAAAGTCCTTTTCCTTCGAAAATATTCGAGCGGATATAAATTTAAAACTTCATATTGTGAAAACAATTTTTTAAAATAAAATTATCATTCTTTGATACGCACTAGCGCTGATACCGTAACGTGAGAGAGAAGGGATCCGCAAATTTATCTTCCGCAACGGAGAAGGGAGAAAGAAGAAAGTTACAGGAAATGATTATTAATGAGCGTAAACAGCAAGAGCGCGAACGCGAATCCGCGGAGATAAAGTACGCGAGAGAGAGAAAAAGAGAAAGGGGGTGGAGATATGCTCGGAGAACGGATCGGACACGGCCTGTCTCGCATTTCGGAGCGCGTTGCGCAATTTCGCCGCAAACAAGGAGAATCGGCGACGCACGGGAATCACCACGTGCTGCGATCGCGAGCCGCGACGATCCGATCCGAGGCGAGGACGCGCCAGCGAGAAGAGACTCGCGGCGCGTCGGTTCAAGCGCAATATGGACATGAAACGCGCGAGTTCTGTTCACCGACGACGAGACGGCGGGAGTCTCTACCTGGATTTTCGTTGAAACGGTTCGGACGACACGATCACGGCCTCAGCCAACCTGCATCGCTAATTCCCACCGTGTCCGGCAAAGAAAAGTCACATCACGTCGCGCATAAAACAAAACTACGTTCGCGGTTGTCAAATATCTCGGAGAGAGACCCATCTTACAAGCATCACATTTATACTGACAGCCATATTGCTCGGGAACCTGAATTTTGTCCCCTGGTTTTCTCCTCATTGGCCAACGCGTTGGCACGTCATCCAACGACCGTCCAATCGACGCTCCTCCCCCGTTCGATAAACATTTTTCCCCTCGGGCGTTGCGATTGTCCGCAGATTGGTTCCGACCACGAACGTGGCTAATTGCAGACGGACGTTCTTCGTCTACGTTGAATTTTCGCGACGCTTTCGCGCGCCATTTTGCACCGACCAATGGGCGAGCGTTGCGTCGAGCATCGATTACGACGCGTCCAATAAACGCGCGCGACGCATCGCCGCGAAATCGCTGCCTAATTTCTTATCTCAAAGCTACTTTTTCCTAGGGGAAAACTTCGGCGAGCGCATCTTGAAGATCGACAACGGCCAACGCCAGGTGGCGTTCGAGCGTTACAATTTATTGGTATTTTAGTTGTGTCATCTTCCGGAGGGCCGGAGGTCATCGAGTCATACGTACACAGATAACCCTTGACGCGTTCATTGAAGCTTGAAAATTATCGTCAAGTCATCGATGTCGAACCAAAAAATTATTTTTTTTTAGAACAGAAGATAATCGCACAATCTCTCCCGAAGAAGGTCCCAGTTTTTTTTTTTCTCTCACTGGACGTTGACCGCTCGCGCAGGTGTGAGAGTTTTGGCACTTCGCACGCGTTTCGTCATTAAGCCGCCGACTTGCGGATGATGTAATGTCATGCTGTCACTTTTCCCGTTGCTATCGCTAATAAACATGCAACATGTTGCGTCCTTTTTTCGAAAGTTATCAATCGGCGACAAGATAAAGGATGGCGTACTGCCGCCGGTAAGAGTCATGGGAACGGCGGAGGATCTGACGAAGAATCAGAACATTCTGACACTAAAAACGGATACCGAATTAAAAGAATCCGTTTACGGCAAGTTGCCCCCCTATTTGTGTGTTGTATCGGTCCATCTTTTTCGGATATTGCCCGATCTCGTCAAGATGGTGCGACATTGCAAATGACCTATGAACCGTATACACGTATTTGTGTTTTATCGAGACGTTTCTAAGTTCGCTTTGTCTTTTTGAAATACAAAGATAAATGTGTTAGAAAACATTTTATATACGTATTAGCAAATATTAGCCGAATTAATGCGTACAGGTTTTCGTTTTGCAACGTCATTGGTAACGTGTTCATTCGTTTTTTCAGACCTATTGAGGACAATCAAGGATCCGGAAAAGCCACAAACTTTGGAACAACTGGACGTTGTCTATGAAGACTGCGTGAACATTTGTCCCAGCACACCGGTGGGAATTCCTGTAATTCGTGTGGAGTTTAATCCAACAGTGCCTCACTGCTCGTTGGCAACTCTCATAGGACTGTGCATCCGTGTCAAATTGGAACGTCTCTTGATGGCCTCGTTTAAATTGGACATCTACATAAAATCAGGCGCACACGCCACAGAGGAAGAAAGTACGTATTGTAGATCTCAATGTTCTCTCCTTGCAACAACATTGACACGCAGCTTGTCAAGGTTTTAATTGCGCATTAAAAAATTCACAGTTAACAAGCAAATCAACGACAAGGAACGCATAGCTGCCGCGATGGAAAATCCAAATTTGAGAGACTTGGTGGAGAAGTGCATACTCGAGGAGGACTACTAGCTTTTGTACAGGATTTATATTATTGAACATGCGTGCTGCTGTTCGTGTCATATTTTTAATGAGTAAAAGAAATTTTAATTGTACTCTAATCCATATACTGTAAATACACATTGTTTATATATGCGAGGTGATCATCAGAACATTTCCATCTTATTGCAACAATTGCGAGCTTGCCTCTCCTCAAATTTATATTATCGATTGAACAGGTTGTACAATTTTGTATAAAAAAAAAACAAAAAAGAAAAAAAATGTAGACGTAACACACGTGCGAAACGTGAAAGACGCTTGTAAAGAGAAACTATTAAAATTTTATGCTTTCGTCACAAACATGTTTCGGTTTTGCGATTTCAATTATTTATTTCTAAACTTCTACTTGCGTCAATATTTAATTACGTCAATCAGTTTTGAAATTCCTCTTGAATCTTCTTCCTCTTCGTCCTCCTTCCTTTTTCTTTGAGTTTCCTTATAATAATATTCTAGAAAAATGAATGAATCACTGAATTACACGCGTTACACCGTACGGATATCTGCACCACGAAGTACCGAGGCGCGTTCGAATCGAACGTACGAACGCGAGGAATAACGTGGAATTAAAAAATCGCCTAGTGGAATTACGACCGCGAGTGATTTACGAAATGCGCGCATAGTACGTCAGCGATCAAAACTTGCGGTGCGGAGGTTTCTATAAGTTTCTACCACTTCTGTCTGATGACTGTACCGAATCACATTCGCGTCGCGTGGCGTCAGCCGTCAAGTTGAATCCCAGTCGAGTCTCGGGCAGCTCGAGTCGCGGATCGTGCAGAGTACTGCGTCAGAATTTTCTCTCTCTCGCGTGCGTTTGAAAGTTCGAGAAAAAAAAAAAAAAAAACAAGTCGCGCAAATCGACTTTCTGTGAATGCAACAATAAGTGATTTGTTTCGAAAGTGATAGAGTCGTCCACGAGCTTCAAAAGTTTTGTAAGTCTACCACAAAATTCTCTCTCTCTCAGTCGTAAAAATAATTAATTAAAGTTGAAGATAACTGCAAACTGTTTTTTAATGAAAAATGTCACATTTGTAAATTCGTCACTCGGGAAGTGAATATCCGTTTTACGTCCATCCGTGGATTAATTGTTAATATTTAAATATGTGTGTGTGTGTGTGTGTGAAATAATTGAAGATTAGAACACATTTGTACAACAATCAAAGATCTCAGTTGTGTTTTAAAAAAAGTAATAATATTATACACGGTGTACATTCTTTCCAGTCATCAAGATACGAAATTACCATAAAATCGACCGAACGGGATGGGCCCCAACTTGTTTTCCACATTTTTGCTAGTTCTCTTGTGCGGTTTCTCACACGCCAGTCCACTGCGTGAGGATCTCTACGGTAAAACACATCAATGTTAAACAAATATACACAGTAAAATAAATATATCAAATAATTCTTTAACGCTTCAAATAACACATCACGAGGCGAACTTTTATAAGAAACACGCTTGCAATATTTTTTCTCTTCGTGAAAACTTAGTCACGAGAAAAAATTTTCTCGCACTCTTCTAATTAAAATACATATCAGAAAAACAAATAAGTTTATTATTCAACAACTCGCGTTCCAAGGTGAATAGGTCAATTCGATAGACGTTGCATTTTCATGCAATACCAGACATGCGATGCAAGTCAGTCAAATCGGAGCGAACGCTGAAAAAATGTTGCAACACAGATTCCAACGATCTCTGTTTGAAGACGGACAATAAAAATGGAAATATATATATTTGAGATAAAAAAAAAAATTAATTAATTCACTCTTTGAATTCTCTTTGATCGAGCGCAACCGTGAAAAAAAAAAAAAGAAAAAAAAAACAGTCGATGTTTCGACATCGGTAGTTTTACTGAGTATAAAAATTAAAAACTCAGGATACGCTCGGTTTACCGCAAATCAATGAGAACGACGTGAGTCAGTTTACGTATGAAAAGAAAACCTAAGAAAAACCTATTACAGTTTGTACAGTCTGGAAAGTACAATAGATTATCATCGAATACACACAGTTCCCATTACTGCGCGGTGCTTAGCGAGATCGATCGACTGTTCTTCCCCGCTCGAATGAAAAAAAAAAAAAAAAAAGACGAGCCTACTTCTTTCACAACTATCACTAATGCTATGCGCGAGTCTGCGCGGTAGTATTTTTATATATATATACACGTAATTAATTCTAGAGAAAGATTAACGAAAGCCGTCGCGCGCATCTGTAATTTTCCAGACGCGTTTATCGATTGTCTCTATCGATCGGCGCGATCGCGTGAATTATTAATTATATGGAAAAAGAAAAAATTCCTTATTGTGACAAAGATTAATATGTTCGTAAATAATTGTTAAACGGCGATTCGCGAGGATGTTTAATGTTATAAAGTTATATAAAATATTATATAAAAAATAGGATGAGTTTTTTTTTTATAATCTCCCAGTAACCGCGGACAAATTAAAAAAATAATTAGATTCGTGAATATCGCAATCGTGAATGAGCAATTTTCAATGTTCTAAATGTTTTCAAATATGTTACGGTATATATTTATTTTTAATATTTTTGTTGTTCTTAAAAAATTTATTTTTGTAACAATTAGCTCCTAACTTCAACGTGTCCGATCATCAGGACATTTACCTTAAAATCTCGCGTTCTGTAAATGTATTTCAAAAACCTACCGTGTATATACCGCGTGAAATTAATATCGTTATCATTCGCAAGAATGCTGTGCGATATCCTACGCGCGAGAAAAAAAAAAAGTGTGCGTTCTAGGTCAGAAACTCGCTAACGGGCGCGTCTGATAGGTGCGCGGGTCGTTCATCGATTGGCATCAACAATCCGAGCCGGACTTTTCCTCGTGTTGTTGTTGTTGTTCTTTTTCTTCTTCTTCTTCTTCCCCCTCGGTACTTTGCAACGCGTTCACGCACGTTATTCACGAGCGATATGCAAAGTATAATGTACGAAGTATATAGCCTCGTTTTTCTTGATGCAGAAGGCAGCGCCTGCAAACTGGAGAACGGCAAGACGGGCGTGTGCAAGAAGATACACGACTGCCCGTCCAGACTGAAAGAGGTGATAGCCGGCAAAAGAAACTCAGAATCGAGCGGTCGATGCAGTTTTCAGGGTGACATAGAAATCGTCTGCTGTCATCTCAACATCACAGAAAAAATAGGGCTTCGGCCGGCGGAAATAGGTACGTAACGCACGCGTTTCTCTGACAAGATCGTCATATATTAATCCTTTTTATTTATACTTTTATTTTAATAATTATGTATTCACTTCGATCGTTTACTTTAACATCCGCTAGCGCGCGATTTTTTATGTACATCGTTGTATTTACATGCGCGCTCGTATAGATGTCAGCGATGTAATTTGGTTTAATTAATGTGTTTATCCACCGACTAGTTTAATGTATTGTACCACGTCTGTACGAGTGTCTTTAAGCCGCTACATGCGCGCGGACACTCATACAAGCGCAAAGGTCGTACAACGATTTCCGAGAATTTCTTTAAATAAGCGGCCTTGAGGTGAAGACGCGCGCGGTGACGTAATATCAATCGTCACGACTCCGTAAATTTGTATGAGTCGATTCCGCGTTGTCGCGCGATCGATCCGAACGCGATAACAAATCCTTGCGCGACGAATTTTCAGCCTGTCGGCAATACGAAGAGAACGAGATCGACAAGGGAAGAAACGACATCGTGTTCCACATTTACGGCGGAACGGCGGCCGAGTCCGGGGAATTCCCGTATATGGTGGCGCTGGGTTACGAGAACCGAAACAAGGACGACGACGCTGACAACAACACCGAGCCAATTAAGTACGAGTGCGGCGGCACGTTGATCTCGTCCCAGCACGTACTGACCGCCGCTCACTGTGTGAACAATGTCGACAAGAAGGTGCCAATAGAGGTAATTAACAGCTTCAGGTTTAAGGTCGTGAGTCATCGCGACCGATGATTCTTAAAAAGACGACAGCGTCTCGAGTCGATTTAAATAGATTCGAGAAGAACTAAGGACTAGAATTGATAATCTTTCTCTTTTGCGCTTCCCAGGTGAGAATCGGCAGCGAGGATCTGAAGAGCGGGAACGCCACGCAACGAATTCCAATCGGCGACGCGATCTTGCATCCGCAATACAAGCGCAGCACGAATTACAACGACGTGGCTATCCTGAAGCTGAGCTCGCCCGTGCGCATGGAGAAAAACGTGAGGCCGATCTGCATCGAAACCAAGTCCGTGTCCGCTGCGGACGTATCGTCAAACGTGTCGCTTATCGTGATCGGTTGGGGTTCGACCAGTTTCGGCGCGGAAACTAGCAGCAGACTGTTGAAGACGCCGAGTCTCAGGTAAACAGAACAGAATCTGAAAACAAAAACTGTTTTTATTTTGTTATTTGCAAAACGACAATACGGGATAATTGAACCTTACGTTTTGTGTTCCAGTTTCGTCGATAGAGAATCGTGTGCGAAGTCGTACGAGGACTTTGCCAAATTGCCGCGCGGCATAGACGAGAACATGCTGTGCGTGCTGGACACCAACGTCACGAGACGAGCGGACGCTTGCGGAGGTGACAGCGGCGGACCCTTGTTGATGCTCGCCGGTTCCAATCACAGAATCGTGGGGGTCACGGCGTTCGGATATCCCTGCGGAGGACCCATACCGAGCATTTACACCGCGGTTCATTCCTATTTGGAGTGGATCGAGAGAGAAGTCTGGCCGGAAATGATAGAAGACGAAAAGCCGTCGACATCCGTCTTCAAAATATCCGCTTCAATTAACATTCGGGATTCTTCTCAATCGAATCCTTCCAGCTCTCAGTTCAGTGACTCGGACGAAAATTGGTGAACGGCGCGATTGAAATATCTGGAAAAAAAAAAAAAAAAAAAAAAACTGATTCGTGATATTGTTACATGTTCATTATGACAATCTAGTCTGAAGCTACTGCGTGTGAAGGAGTGCGTGTTGCATTTTTATTGCATTCTTGAAATTTTGTACTTTTCTACGTTTTTCTGACGAAATTATGTGTCGCTTTGTAGGTACGCGTGTGCTTTGTAATAATAATAATAATAATAATAAACGTTCCGCGAACGTTTTATTATTATTATTATTATTATTATTACTACATTCCGTGCGTGTTGGTCGTCTTTTTTTCAATTCGAAAGATCTTTCTGCGAAAACGCAACATTCACGTCGTTGAGCGTGCGTGACGGAGAATTATCACACGCGTAAATGCAAAAATGAGCGATAAAAAGATGGATGAGAAGAAAGAGGACGACGAGCGGCTCGAATTTCTTTATAAATATTTGGCGCTTTCGAGAAAGATTAAGGCCGAAAAATGGACGAAGATGTTGTCGAGCGAGGAATTCAAGGTGCTCTTCTCTAAACTCTCAATCTTTTGCTTATGTATGTGTTCGTTAAACAATTAAATGTACGAAATACTTTCTAGAGCGGTAAAAATTTTATACTTCAATAGTTTTTAGAATAAATAAAAAAAAACTTCGCTCAAGAGAAATTAAATGGCGAATCTTAGCGAGACGTACACAGTAGGATAAGAGTTTTGTTAACCTAATGTATAAAAAAAAAACTTAGTTTTACAATAAGCTTGATTAGTTTATGGCTAGTATTTTTGTATTTTTCTTGGCTCAATAAAATAATTAAATAAACGAGACAAAACTTTTCTATCGCGCGAAAATTTCATCAAGTGTCAGATAAAAAAAATGTAAATCGTGCGCTAAATTAGGAGACGATAATCAAGTTTTTTGAAACGCCGTCGGAGATGATTCTGACAATCCAACTGAGCGCGGCCGAGGTGTTGACGCCGTTTCTGGCGGTGCCGCCGACGACAGGCCGGGTGAAGACCTCGTATTTCATCAAAAGAAATCCCCTCGTGATCACAAAAGAAAATTACAGGGACGTCATTATACTCGGCGACATGGCCCCGAGAGCCATTGACGAACTGTCCGTTCTGGTCGAGGAGGTAGAGTTGAGATTGTCCGCAAAAACCCGAAATTTAGATCGCGCACCTGTAAAAAAAAAAAAGAGGGAGGGATTTTTTCACCCTAAAGTGAATGTTCTGCCTAGGCTTACGTGCCGATATTATCGAATCCGAAAAACCACAAGGGCTGGCCGCGCGTTATCGGCGACGACGTGAGGAGGCACGTTTACGATTTTCGCAACGCGATATGCCAGGTAAAATTTTACTTAAAAAACAATTAATTGATTAATTAAATAAAGAACTTCACGCACAAATACTTTTTTCATAGATCAAAGGACGAATGAGCGGGCAAACGTTGCTACCGATGCCGATGGGCATCGAGCGGATATTCGAGGAGGAGTGGAAAATACAGAACGAGGACAAGTTCGACGCTCAGTTGAAGAGCAACATAGAGATCATCGTGACAAAGTGGCTGTCGCAAATCGGCGACGTACTCGCCGAGGAGAGCACGCGCGCGGACGACGTAAAGCCGCTACCGAGCGCGGGTACGTCTTGCAACTGCAATTGAAAAAAAAAAAAAAAAAAAGAAAAAACTTACATCGGTACATCTCTTTCAGAGATCGAGTTCTGGCGCCAGAGACTCGAGAACATCGAGTCCATCTACAACCAGATGAAGGATCCTCGCGTGAGGAAAATGAGATCCGTTTTGGAACTGACCAAAAGTCCGTACTTGCAGGCCTTGAAGAATCTCTTCAAGGATGTTGTCGTCGGTTAGATCGCGAAAGTCGATGAAGAAACAAATGTGTTCTTAAATTTTCATCGATTTACGAAAAAAAAAAAAAAAAAAATAAATCTTTTTTATTCGTTTAAATTCAGCGGTGATCGAAGCGCGCGACGTGTGCGCCTATTTGAAGGCCCTGGAGCCTCACTTCGACGATATCCAGAACAGCGATTTCCGAGACGTACAGCCGAAACTGAAAGTGTTGTTGCACTGCGTGTGCCTGGTATGGTCGAACTCGAAGTATTACTGCACGATCACGCGAATAATCACGTTACTGTCCGGGATATCAAATCTACTGATAGCGCTGGTAAATAAAAACGCAATTGGCACGAAATTTAAATGCGATAAAAAACGACAACGCGATAATCTCTTACGCAATTCGCTACTTTAACGAATACTTGACAGGCGGCTAAGTTTTTGGATCAGAGCACGCTGTTCTCGGACGACATCCAGGACAGCGCGAAACGTTTGGAGCACGTGACAAATACTCTGAATTATTACTTGGAAATGTACGAGACATTTCGCAACAAACTGGACACGTACTTCAAGCACGCGCAGGATGTGATCCCGTGGACTTTCGACGACGAGTTCGTTCTCGGACGAGTGATGGACTTTCAGGAACGTTTGGACGAAATAAAGGTCCGCGATAATATTGTAAACGTTTATAATTTAATTGTTTAATAAACTTTTACTCTTATTGTTTTGTTTAAATGTAAATATGTATTTGCGCGCGAAGGAATATAAACGACAGTTTCCTCGTTTCCTACGTTCCGCGTTCTTCAGATTCTGTTCGAGACCGCTCAGGAGTACTTGAAGTTGGAAAAGACGGACATCGGCGGCATAAAGGGGAAAACGCTGTACGCGAAAATCTGCGACATTCACGAGCAGTTCGGTAAAATTTACAGCGAGTTCGCCGAGTTGCAGTACGACATCTTGGTGCCGGAAGAGACGCGGTTTACGGATCACGTCACCAACTTCTTGGCAAAAGTGAGGCACAAGTATATGAAATACGCGAGAGACGCGATTAAAAAATTTCTCAATCAATCAGGTGGAGGAGTTCGACAGAAAACTGGCGACGATATTCGACCAAGCGTTCGAGACGTGTCACAACATGAAAGCGTTTTTTCAACTTATATGCGTAATCGGCTCGATGGCCAATCGGCCGATTATAATGGCGCAATTGTGGCACAATTACGAGACGCTTATCAAAAGAATTCATCGTCATTTTGACGAGATCAAAGTAAGTTCGCGTTGTCAACAGAGACGAGACCTACCGCGAGACTGTTTGCTGATAGATTTCAGAATCTTCTTTCAGATTATGTTCGACGGCACGTTCAAGAAGCGCGACGAGTCCGACCGAATCGAGATCAATCCGTACTTCCCGCCTGTTTCCGGCGCTCTGTGCACGCTCACGCAATTGCGAAAGCGAATAGACGATCCGATACAATACATGAAAATGATCGATCACCCACTGGTGAATCTCACATTTACGCGCGAAACCAAACCGAAATACGATCAACTGCAGGTAACACATCTTCAAGCAGTTCGGTAAGAAGTGCGAAAAAACCTGAAAGACCTGGGTATTTTTTTTTTGTTCATAAAAACTCGTCTAGTCGTCTGATCGACGTTGGACCTAATCGCTGTTCAATCGACCGATATTTTATTTTGAAATTTTCTACGTAACTTTAATTAGAAAAATTTAATTAAACAAATCTAAAGCGAAGCGTCCAACGAATTCGCACAAAGCGCGCGAAATTCGTGTTAAACAAAAGTACGCTCGTTATTACCGTAAGTCGCTCATGGACACGATGGAGCGTGAAATATTCACGGACTGGGCGAACAAAGTGCCTGTTATAAGCGCCACTCACCTGTCAAAAAGTTTGTTAACGGTGCGCGAGAACAAGCTGCTCGATTTAAACTTCGATCCGGAGTTGACCGAACTGCTGCGGGAATCTCGTTACATGACCATTATGAAGAGGACGAATCTGCCCGAGGAAGCGACCCGGCTCTATCACAAAACGCAGTATTTCTTCGAGACCACGTACAATCTCAGTTTGCTCATACGTCGGTGGGTAAAATTCAATTGAAGAAAAATATAACGTGTAAATTATAGATATAAATATTCGAATATCTCGTTTTATTCGACGACGCGCCGGGGGGATGGGGGAGAGCAGGTACAATCGGATCAGAAATTACATTTTGCCCGTGGAATTTGAGATAGTGAAGAACGAGATCCGGATAGTGGACGAGTTGATCGAGTTTGGCCAAAAGAACTACAACTGGAATTCTTCAGGTGGAAGTTTCAATTACAAATAAATCGAGAATCACGCGCGAATAAACCGTGTTCGACTTTTTCTCTCGCGGTTATGTGCAAATTGTCACACTTTCAATTATGCAATTTTGTTATTTCACACGCACGTAGTTGATTAGTCGATTAGTTAATTAATTAGTTAAATTTATTATTTTGTTATTAATTTTTGTATTTTGCGCACTTTCTGCCGCAATATCTCACCGATGTGACTCGTTGAAAAACAGAAGTGCCGGGGTACGTCGACAAACTGATGAATCTCGTGCGGAATTTGCACTCGCGCGTCTTTCGCGCTCAGGAAAACCTCGCCTCGTTGTTGCAAAATATGTACTCGTGGGCGTTGACGCCGATATTGGAACGCAGGGATTTCAAAGACGAGAATTTGTTGGCTCTGAACGAGCGCGAGGAGAAGTTTCGACGGAGATACGAACAAATCGAACGCGCCGTCACGGAACTTAATCGAATTCTGAGCGAGAATTACAAGCTCTTCTTCGATTTGCTGCCCGACTCGAAGTACGAGAGGAACGAATACGAACTGGACAAAGGTCTGATCTTTCGCAAACAGATCGGGGTTTTATTTGCAGACACATTTTGTGAACAAAAAAAAATCGCGACGTATTTGCAGATTACACGGAGCCTGGCCATCTCGAGAGAATAACGTTGGACGCGGAAGAGCCGCGCGTTGCGAGGTGTGGACACCGACTCTCATTTTACACGCCGCGTCACTTTATATTTTTTATTGTTTATTATTTTATTTAACACTGTTTTATTTCAAGAAGAACAAAATTTGTTCTCGGTAGTTTTTTTCGATATTATATTAAAAAAAAAAAAAAAAACACTTCGTCATAGAATTGGCGAGGAAAGAGCGAGAGCGATCGAAAACGAGCGACAGTTTACTGAAGAACCCGAGCGAACGCAAACGGAAGAGGAAATCGCTCGGAGTATGATTCTATGGAAACCTTACCTCGCTTACGTCGACGATCTGATATCGAGAGCTCTGATCCAAGCCGCTTCTACCAGGTATGTCCAAGTTATCGCCGATAATTCGTGAAATTGACGCGCGTTGTCTGCGAATAAATTTTTAACGATTAATATATTTACACACCAATTATTTAATAAATGTCCGGTCATTAAGAACGAATGTTCCTGATGTCCAGCATATGTTATCTGCTCGACGAGACCGATCCGGAGAGCGACGTGTCGCCATTGTTCGAGATCGAGTTGTTGCTTGAGGTACCGACCATTGTCTTTCGGCCTCCGGTGGATCCCGACGATCCCGATGGCTTCTACGCGTTCTACGAAGAGCTACTGCTCGACATCGTCAGAATGGGAGCGTTGGTGCCGCGCGTGGATCCCGACGTCGCGAAGGAACGCGAGCATTACGGAGTACGTCGTTGCGCACAGGCTGCTCGGTAACAGGCGCGCGCGATTTTGAAAAAAAAAAAAAAAAAAAAAAGTAATTTAATTACAGCGAAAACGTAAATATGTTCCTTGAAGCAGCTAGCGCGCGACTGTCGCGGTTTTCTGCATATGTAACAAAATGCCAATTCTTCCGTTCGCTAATCGCGACATGCTTTCAGGTCGATTTAGCAGAGGAAGAAAGTATCGTTTTCATGCTCGAGGAGACGTGTAATCGAATCAAGCTGGGTTTGGTACAAGCGCAGGAATACATTCTCGTAAGATTTCACTTTTCCGGCATTCGATTCAAGACACACGCGAGATATTAAAAGAGAAAACACGTTATTCTCCGTTATTTCGATATTATTTTCGTCAAAACATTCGCACGAAATCGATTTCAATTTGACAAAGTAGTTAAAAAAAAAAATTCCAAAGATACTCACTCAGGATAAAAATTCCAGATCTTCGAGCCGTACTTCTGGCTGTGGCTGGACGACAAGCAGCAATATCTGAATATGTTTTTGCGTTTCGGTCGCGAGCTCACGGAAGAGGAGAGGAACTTGGTGGCGCAAGAGCCGGAACACATTCCGGAACATCTAAAAGAGAGAAAACCGGGACTGGTCGATTTCAAGAGAGAGATCGATTACTTCGTGGAACTTTACGACAAGTGCGACAAATTTGAAAACAACAAGGTCTTCTTGCGCTGGTTGCGATTGGACATGAGGGCGTTCAAACAAACTCTGATGAACATAATCTGCAAGTGGACCAACATGTTCAAGACGTATCTCGTCGATCGCGTCAACAACGAGTGCGTTCGAAAACGTCGATTCAATTGTCTTTTTTTTTTTATTTTTTTTTTAAATAAATTCCTATAAATATCTTATTCTTCTTCGTGTAAATTCCAAACCACAGTATTGATTGGCGCAAATTGATTCAATTAAAATTTACACGTCATGCGCGCAGGCTTAGAGACCTAAGCGAGTTCCTGACGAAGGCCTTGAAGAAATTTATGCAGCCGATCGCGCCGGATGATTACGACGATTTGCTGGACACTATATATTATCTGAAGGAAGTTCGAGATCGGCAGTATCAGATCGACGACATGTGGGAACCTATTAAGGTGAGATAGAAAAGTAATATCGTAAAATACGTTTCTTTTAACTTTGTTTTTCTTCGGCGCGCAAACTATCGCGAAATATCTTACTATCGCGCGATAATTTACATGTAAACGAAAAACGATAACGACGATCGGTTCTATCGACGATAGGAAACCATAGACCTTCTCAAACAGTACCAGGTGATATTCGGCGAGGAGACGTACGCTTGGCTGACGGAATTGCCGGAACAGTGGACAATGGTGAAAAAATGGGCCGCGCAAGTTAAACAGATCGTGCAACCCCTGATGGCGCGTCAGATCGAGTTGCTGAAGAAGCGTCTCAGCTACTACGATTTCAAGCAGCAGCAATATCTGACGCGATTCCACGAGAACGTGGTGTTCAGGTGAAGTATCTTTCAGCGATCGAACGCAATTGCGATCGTCTGATTTTCTTGTTATTCGTCGCATGTGCAGTTTCGACTGCACGAACGTGTACAAGAAGTTGGACAAGATGAACGAAGAAATCATGAAGCTCGAGGACGAGTTAGGAAATCTGCGCGAACAAGCAAACATATTCGAGCAACAAATGCCGGAATTCAAACAAATCAAGCTGGCTCGGAAGGAAGTGAAATTCCTGAAGAATCTCTGGGATTACGTGAATATTGTGACGTCGAATCTGGACGAATGGCAGGCCACGTTCTGGCACAAAATCGACATCGACGAAACGGATCACGAGTGCAAGAGACTGCTTCGCGAACTAAGACGTAAGATTCGCGTCGCATGATTCAAATCGCATTTCTCGTCAATATTTCAAAATATCGTTAAAATATTTAGCACGGTATAAAATATTAATTTAAACAAATAATCACAAAATGTATTTTTGTCAATATACAAAACGAGACAGAGAGAGAAATCGATTTTCTCGCAATATTTCAGAATTGGACAAAGAAGTGCGAGGTTGGGATTTGTACGCTCACGTGGAAGCGCAAGTGAGAAACATGATGTCGTCGCTGAGGGCGGTTTCGGAATTGCAAAATCCCGCTATCAAACATCGACACTGGCAAGAACTGATGGCTGAAACTCGAGTGAATAAACACACGATTGATTTTGTTTTACTGAGAAAATACGCAAGGTGCAACAATACAACGCAATTCTCTGATCCCGACAGGTGAAATTCACCATGGACGAAAAGACCACTTTGGCAGATCTACTGAAACTGGAGCTGCACAAATACGAGGAGGAAATCAAGAACATCGTGGACAAGGCGGTGAAAGAAATGAGCATGGAGAAGGTGCTGAAGGAATTGCACAATATATGGGACACCCTCGAGTTCGGCAAAGACGTGCACGAACGCACCAAGCTGAACGTCTTGAAGATAAGCGAGGAAACGATCGAGATCTTGGAAGAGCATCAGGTACGCTCGTTCGTTGGATGTAATCGTTTTTTTTTTTTTTTTTTCCCGTCTTCGCGAACAAATCGCGAGATAAGATTTGTTGTGCGCCAGATGCAATTGCAAACCATGTTGGATTCCAAGTACATCGCGTACTTCCTCGACGAGGTGATAGATTGGCAGCGGAAGCTCAGCAACGCGGACGCGGTGATCAACGCTTGGTTCCGCGTCCAGCGTGCCTGGATGCATCTTGAGAGCATTTTTATCGGCTCGGAGGACATAAGGAGCCAATTGCCGGAGGAAACGAAGCGCTTCGAGAAGATAGACAAGGACTTCAAGGTACAAATCTCGGATCGAGATACACAATATTCGATCTGTTCAATTTCACGATCAAACGATAATGTTATTTAATCTCCGAGTTTCTCTCATCAAGGACCTGCTGAAGGAGATGTTGATCAACGTAAACATAGTGAAATCGACGAACCGACCGAAACTCCTGGAGCGACTGGAGGAGCTCGAGATACAATTGAATATCTGTGAGAAAGCGTTGACCGATTACCTGGAAACAAAGAGACTGATCTATCCGCGATTTTACTTCATCTCGTCCGCTGATCTCCTGGACATACTGAGCAACGGTAAAGATCCCTTCTTTCCTCCTTTTTTTCCGAATAAAGTAAGAAACGCTTTGTCGCAGGAAACAATCCCGAATTGGTTTGCAAGCATTTGCCCAAGTTGTACGACTCGTTGGCGAAGCTCAAGTGGAAGCTGAACGGAGGCAAACCGACGAAAGAAGCCAACGGGATGGTGGCGAAGGACGGCGAGGAAATGGCCATGCACGGGATATGCGACTGCACGGGAAAGGTAATTAACAACTTGTGTAATTAATTATGACAAGACATCGCTCTCTCTTCTCTTCGCGCGCACCAGGTCGAGATCTGGTTGAATCGCGTCACGGAGGCGATGCGGAGAACGGTGAGACATAGTTTCGGTCGCGCGGTCGTCTCGTACGACGAGAAACCGCGCGAGGAATGGATTCTGGAGAACGAGGCCCAACCGGCTCTGTGCGGCACGCAGATCTGGTGGACCACCGAGGTGAACATGGCGTTCGCGCGGCTCGAGGAGAGCTTCGAGAACGCTCTCAAGGATTACCAGAGGAAGCAGATCAGCCAGCTGAACGTGCTGATCGCGCTCCTGCGCGGCGACTTGAACGAGAACGATCGTCGGAAGATCATGACCATTTGCACGATCGACGTGCACGCGCGCGACGTTGTCGGGAAATTGATATCCGTCAAAGCGGAGAACGCCTTCAACTTCCAGTGGCAGTCGCAGTTAAGACACAGGTGCGCGCACATCCTTTCAATAAATTTATCAATAATTTTTCTTATTTTTTTTTTCTGTATTTTTTCTGGGATTCTTCTCGTAAAGTAAATAAATAAAATTTACTGCAAACACAAAACTCTCGATCGTTCTCTTAAAAAAAAACAATCACCCGAAATACTCTCGCGCCTGTTTCCGTCTCGATGCTTAAATATCGATTCGGCGCGCGGTGCGTTCTAATTTGCTCGCGCGCACAGGTGCGGAGGGAAGAAGAAGAGGAAGGAAAAGAATTGAAAAGGATTATTTCGCTTTGTAGGTGGGACGACAAATCGGGAGATTGCTTCGCCGACATTTGCGACGCGTGTTTCATATACGCTTACGAGTACTTGGGTAACGTGCCACGGCTGGTAATTACGCCGTTGACGGACAGATGCTACATTACGTTGACGCAATCGTTGCATCTGATAATGGGCGGAGCACCGGCCGGGCCGGCGGGAACGGGAAAAACCGAGACTACTAAGGACCTCGGTAGAGCCCTTGGACAAATGGTTTATGTCTTCAACTGTTCCGAACAAATGGATTATAAAGTACATACCGCTCCTCTTTCTCTCCCTCTCTCTCTCTCTCTCTCTCTCCTTTCCCTCGTCCTCCTACATTCCGTGCTTAAATAACACACACGTGTTCAATCCGCAAAGAGATTCATCAGAAAATGGTTTAGCAAATTTGTGCTTTTCTTTTTCAGTGTTGTTGAATATATATTTTTTTTTTATATTAAAAAAAATTAAAAATAAATGTGCAATTTTTTTCGACTTAATTTTCCTGTTTATTTTCTCTGCCGAAACATGCGGCGTAGATACAAGGATTTGGCGCGACCTGAGATTTTGCCCTTTCTTTTTCATATTATTATTTATACGTAATTGTCAATTTTGTAATACAAAGAAAATATAAAAAAAAAATTACGAGTTTTATTTTATCTTCAAAAAAAAAACATTTTGCAGTCGTGCGGCAACATATACAAGGGGTTGGCGCAAAGCGGCGCGTGGGGTTGCTTCGACGAATTTAATAGGCTTCCCGTCGAGGTGCTGTCGGTTGTGGCGGTGCAAGTAAAATGCGTTCTGGACGGGGTCAGAAATCGAAAGAAAACATTTCTGTTCTTCGGACAGGAGTATAACATCGTGGATTCGGTCGGCATGTTCATAACAATGAATCCCGGTTACGCCGGCCGAACCGAATTGCCCGAGAACTTGAAGACATTGTTTCGGTAAAGCGTCGATTTGAAAAAGCGACAGCGTTGAATTCGAAAGAAAATTGCTTATCGCGTAAATTTTAATAAATCGACACACGCAGACCCTGCGCCATGGTGGTGCCCGATTTCGAGCTAATCTGCGAGATAATGCTGGTGGCCGAGGGCTTCCAAGAGGCGAGATTACTCGCGAGAAAATTTATCACCTCGTACATGCTTTGCCGGGAGCTTTTGTCTAAGCAAGATCACTACGACTGGGGTTTGCGAGCCATCAAGTCCGTTTTGATCGTCGCCGGCAAGCTGAAACGCGACGACAAGGAAAGACCGGAGGATCAGGTGCTAATGAGAGCACTGAGAGATTTCAATCTGCCGAAAATTGTCACCGACGACGTGCCGGTATTCATGGGATTAATAGGTGAAACGAAAGATGACTGATCTCAACGAATATCAAATACGAATATAAAATTATATGTATTATAATTTTTAAACAAATTTTCTTGCAATCGCGCCATATTGCGACATAAACCACGACTTGATTTATTTTGCAATTTTCAGGAGATTTGTTCCCGGCATTGGACGTGCCGCGAAAGAGAGACTTGGATTTCGAGACGATGGTCAAACACGCGGCTCTCGATCTCAAGCTTCAACCGGAAGACGGATTTATTTTGAAGGTACACGTTTTTTTTTACGCACACGTATATACATATGTATGTACGTTCACCTTGAGAGCAGTTAATTTACGAGTATGCGGAGCGGTTTCTCGTTTTTTTTTTTTTTTCGTTTATATTCGCGCGTTGTGTATAGGTGGTGCAATTGGAGGAGCTGTTTTACGTTCGGCACTCGGTCTTTATCGTCGGCCTCGCCGGGACCGGCAAGACCGAAGTCTGGAAAACGCTCAACCGAACGTACGCGAACCAAAAACGCAAGCCGCACTATAACGATCTGAACCCAAAGGCGGTGACCACCGACGAGCTATTTGGTGTCATTAACCCGGCAACGAGGGAATGGAAAGACGGGTTCGAAGACAAGCCGCACTATAAACCCGTCAATTTTCAGCGCGCGATCGGGCGCGCTACGCGCGCGCGCGCCCGCTCGTATTAGGCCACACCACCGGTCTGTAATAGACCGCTCGGCGCGACTTTCCATTCTTATTGCTACTTTCGCAGGTTGATCTCCATGATAATGAGGGAGCAAGCTAACATGGCCGGTGATAGTCCAAAGTGGATCGTGTTCGACGGTGACATCGACCCGATGTGGATCGAATCTCTGAACACGGTGATGGACGACAACAAGGTTCTCACGCTCGCGAGTAATGAGAGGATCGCGTTGACGAAACACATGCGGCTTCTCTTTGAGATCTCGAATTTGAGGTAAGTCGCGCGGTCAAATAGAACGTTGCGCTTCTGTTCGCGTTTGTTTGTTTTCTCTCCTTGTTTATTTTTAAACTTGTGTCACGATATCGCACACGTTTGTGACTTATACTCCTCAGGACAGCCACGCCGGCAACGGTGTCCAGAGCGGGGATATTGTACATAAATCCGCAGGACCTAGGCTGGAGCCCGTAAGCGCAAACAGTTCGTTTACTATATTGCGATAAAAAAATATTTTTGAAATTATTTTTTTTTTTAATTAAAAAGAACGTAATTTTATACTTAATTATATTCTGCTCTGATCAATTTGTTCATTTATTTGTAACACGAATCTTTGAGACACTTTAAAACCTCGCAGATTCGTGACAAGTTGGATAGAGACGAGACCCCACGCCGAACGCGCTAATCTCTCGATTCTCTTCGAGAAGTACGTCCCGCCTCTTTTAGAGGCGACGAAGACGCGATTCAAGAAAATCACACCTCTACCGGAAATTTGTCATCTGGAGATGCTTTGTCACTTGCTCGATTGTTTTCTGGTTAAAGAAAACGTGCCGCCTGACTGTCCAAAGGAATGGTACCTACGCCTCGTTTTAATTCGACGTCGCGAGTACGTTTTTTTTTTTTTTTGTTTTGTTCTTACAAAGCGCGGATCGCGTTTCAGGATCGAGTTGTACTTCGCATTCGCCTGCATTTGGGCGTTTGGTTCAGCGATGTTTCGAGATCAGCTGAGAGATTGGCGAAACGAATTCAGCAGGTGGTGGCTAAATGAATTCAAAACCGTCAAATTTCCAACGGGCGGGACCGTGTTCAATTACTTCATAGAGCCGGAAACGAAGAAGCTGGTGCCGTGGACCGAGAAAGTAACAGCGTTCGAACTGGATCCGGATATTCCGCTTCAGGTTCTTTTCGTGATCTTAATTAGTCAATTACTTCGCGTACCGAGACGATGTAAAAAATTAAATGAACATAAAAAAACAGATTGTGCTTATAAATTGCGATTAAAAACGGAAATCCATAAAGATATCGTATTTGCTTGTAAAAGTGTTTAAATGCATTCAACTATCGACGCAGTCAAGCTTGGTGCCAACGGGAGAAACGGTGCGTTTGCGGTTTTTCCTGAATTTGTTAATAAAAAAACGTGTCCCGGTCATGATGGTGGGCGGAGCCGGTTCCGGAAAGAGCGTGATATTGGCGGAAAAACTGGCGAGTCTGTCGGACAATTACAACGTCGCGAATGTTCCCTTCAATTTCTACACCACGTCAGGTGCGAATGCAAAGTCTAGAGTTTTGAAAACAATTTCTCACCGATGATTCCGCGGAAAAATTTCTTCTTTCACGACAGCTTTCACGCGCAAACGTGACGTTGCTCGTGAAAAAATAAATAATATATATTTTCGTTACCGCGAAAAAAAAAAAGATATGCTGCAGAAAGTGCTCGAGAAACATTTGGAGAAGAAAGCGGGTCGTAATTACGGGCCACCGGGCACGAAACTTTTAATATATTTCATAGACGACATGAACATGCCGGAAGTGGACACTTACGGTACGGTGCAACCTCACACTCTCATCAGGCAGCATTTGGATTACAATCACTGGTAACGATCGCTTCGATAATCGACACGCGCGTGATAAAATAAAAAAAATAAAAAAAAAAAAAAAAAACGAAAACTTTCAGGTACGACAGAACAAAACTAACGCTGAAAGAAATTCACAACACGCAGTACGTGTCCTCCATGAACCCCACCGCGGGCAGTTTCACCATAGACCCGCGTTTGCAGAGACACTTCGCGGTGTTCGCCGTCAGGTGAATTATTACATGAACTTTGAATCCTACGAGGTCCTTGAATGTCAATTGAAAAGAAAACGGCTTATTTCTTGGCTTCTCACCTTTTCCGTTAATTAATTAATTAATCAACCGTTGCAGTTTTCCGCAAACCGAGGCGCTCGTGACGATATATTCCCAAATATTGCGTCAACACGTGACCAATCCTCTGCACAGGTTCCATCCGGTCGTGCAGAAATTCACGGATTTCATCATAAACGCCGCGGTGTATCTTCACGAGAAGATCGTCGCGACCTTTCTGCCGACGGTCATCAAGTTTCACTACATGTTCAATCTGCGCGATCTGACCAACATATTCCAGGTTGTAGAAAACGCCGGATACAATCGAAATTGTAACGCGAATAAAATAAAAAAAAAAAAAAAACACAACAATGTAACGCGGCACTGACGTTACACACTTTTTCGACACGCGCAGGGAATGATGTTCGCTCGCGGCGACGCCTTGCCAATTCCAAGCCACATAATTAGACTTTACGCGCACGAAGCGACGCGAGTATATCGCGACAAATTGGTGAACTTCGATGACCAGAAGACGTTCGATCAGTTGCTGTCGGAAGCGCTTCGCAAAAATGTGCCCGTACGTTTTTTTGACGATTTGACGGAAAATCCACCGCAAGAACGCGACCGTAAAATTACGAGAACTTTCAACGTCCTTTATTTTGATTTTATTATGTAATATTTTAGTTTTGATTTGTTTGAACTCACATTCAGTGTTTGTCCATTTACTTTTTCGATCTTCATTTTCGAATATCTACACGAGTTCGAGGAAGTTTTTTCTGATTTGAGAAATTGTTCTCTGATTCTTCAGGAACTAAACGAAGCTGAATTGAATTTGGATCCGCCGTTGATATACTGCCATTTCGCGGAGGGAATCGGCGAGCTCAAATACGCGCCGGTCAAGAACTGGAACCAGATCGTAAAGTTGCTCGACGAAGCTTTGATCAACTACAACGAGCTGGTATCACATCTCGGTCAAAAACAGTATCGCGTTTCACTTCGATGCGACATTAGTTTCTTAATTTTTTTCGACACACAGGTATCGGCGATGAATCTGGTACTGTTCGAGGACGCCGTGTATCACGTATGTCGTATCAACAGAATCTTGGAAGCACCGAGAGGCAACGCGCTTCTGGTAGGCGTAGGCGGTAGCGGCAAACAGTCCTTGTCGCGTCTAGCTTCTTTCGTTTCCTCGTTGGAGGTAAGCAGAGATATTTTATCGATTGACGCGTGGACGGGTTTTTTTCAAGTCTCGGGAAAATATACAGCACGACGACTTAATTAATTAGTCGAGTTCGGTGTTGGAAAAAAAACATTCTCGAAATTTTCCACACACAGGTGTTTCAAGTGCAACTGCGCAAAGATTACTCGTTGAACGACTTGAAAGCCGACATGGCCCTGCTGTATCTGAAAACCGGCCTGAAAGATATCGGCGTGACCTTTCTGATGAGCGACTCTCAAGTCGCCGACGAAAGGTTTCTGGTTGTGGTGAACGACATGCTGGCGTCGGGGGAGATCGCGGATTTGTTCGCCGACGACGAGGTGGACAATGTCATCAACGCGGTGCGTAATGAGGTAAAAACTTGCGATGTTTTTTATTTCACTTTCAGAATATTAAAAAATGTCATGTGTGCCGACATCTCCGATTGTTTTGAGACGAAGAATCGCGCGTGTCCTCGAGATACAAATATTCACGATACTTTTTTTATTTAGACTCTCTCCAAGGTGATAATGATCGAAGCGGCCGTAACAGTTGTACGATCGCGCGATCGCACTTTTTCAGGTGAAGCTAACCGGAGCGCTCGACACCAGAGAGAATTGCTGGAAATTCTTCATCGAACGCGTGCGAAGGCAATTGAGATGCGTCCTGTGTTTCTCGCCAGTAGGAGCGACCTTACGAAAAAGAGCTAGGAAGTTCCCCGCGATAGTAAATTGCACGGCAATCGACTGGTTTCAGGACTGGCCGCAGAAGGCTCTGGAATCTGTATCGGCGACCTTCTTGGAGGTTTGTGCGTTACAACGTTGTGTGTTAAAACAATTTATATATAGAAGATTCTCAGATGTCAAACTTGCAATTAAAAAAGAAAACGTAAATAAATTTATAAAAACCTATAAATTTCTCTTTTAATTAAAAATGTTCGTTATCTTATCATTTTCTTTCACGCAAAGCTTTCCTAGCTAATCTACAGATTTCTACTTCCGTGCTCAGGAGCTCAAGGAGTTGCCGGTTGAATATCGGACCTCAACGTCGCTCTTTATGTCCTTCGTTCACACGAGCGTGAACAACATGTCCGCGATCTATTTGCAAAACGAAAGACGGTACAACTACACGACGCCCAAGTCGTTTCTGGAGCAGATCTCCTTGTACTCCAAGTTGCTGACGGACAAGGAACGCGATCTGAAAGCGATGATCCTGCGTCTCAACGACGGCCTGATCAGGCTCGAATCTTGCGCCGCTCAGGTGAGAAATGACAAACATTCCCAACACGATGAATATAGTTTGTTTTTTTTTTTTTTTTCATAAATTCAAGCTACTTTTTCGCAAATTAGGTCGACGAGTTGAAGATCGTCTTGACAGCTCAGGAGATCGAGCTGAAGAAGAAGAACGAGATAGCCGACAAGATACTGGCCGAAGTGCGTGCGGAGAATGCCAAAGTCGAAGCGGAGACGGCTACCGGTAAGATAAGACGTGGGAAAATGTTTGCTAACAGTAAACCGAACGACGGTTGAGTTTTCAGTGACCGAGGAGGAAGCGAAAATAGCGGAACTTAAAGAGTTAATGGCGGAGAAGCAGCGACACTGCGACGAGGATTTAGCGCGTGCGGAACCGGCGGTGAGACAGGCCGAAGCCGCGCTCGACACTCTAAATAAGGTTAACGCGAACTCGCGATTTGAATATCTCGTAAAATAAGATAAACATCCCATTGACCGAACACTGTGACCGGAACGTTTGTTTATTAAAAAAATAATTTTTATATAACGAAGTACTTAGTGTGTATTTACGTGAAGTTAGAAAAACTAAAATTTTAGTTATAGCGGAAAAATTTTTTTTAATTTTTGTTGCAGCGGAAATTCCTCCTGTTTTCACGTATTTATCAATGTGTTATAATTCGCGAATAGAATAATCTGACCGAGCTTAAGTCCTTCCCAACTCCACCGGAGGCCGTGCTGATGGTCGCCCAGGCCGTGCTCGTCTTATTTACGCCCAGAGGACGTCCCATTCCGAGAGACAGAAGCTGGAAGGCTTGTAAAGCGATGATGGGATCCGCTGACGGATTTCTGTCGGCGTTGCGTAATTACGACAAGGACGACATATCTCCGGAAATCGTTCGAGCGATTCAGCCGTACGTCACCAACAAAGGTGTGCGTCGATCAAACTCGCGATACTTCGATCGGTATCAGACGTTTTATTTGAACACACAAAAAAAAAAAAAAAAAAAATACGCGATTGAGAGTTCGCGGATTGTAACAAAAAAATTCAGATAGCATCTAGTTTTTGTTTTCGTTCCAATTAGAATTCGATCCGGATTTCGTGTACTCCAAGTCCCATGCGGCGGCGGGACTTTGCAGCTGGGTGAAAAACATCATGGTGTATCATTACATCAATGAGAACGTAAAGCCTCTGAGAGCCGCGCTCGCTCAAGCGAACGCCGATTTGAAAGCCGCGATGGAGAAATTGAATTCTCTGAGGAGCCGTTTAGAGGTAAAGCTCTCGACTCGACGGCGCGCACCGCCGTTTTCTTCTCCTCTCTCGTGAATTTTTAATTCCGCGCTATTTCAAAATTTTCATCAGGTGCAAAACAAACAGATATCAGGTCGAAAGAAAATTTTACGTTAAAAAAAAAAAAAACTTTTTATCGCGTTTGACCTAATTTTCTTTTTCTGTACATTCGAATATCTGAGAATGTTATTTCATTTATTTTGAAATTTTCTTTTTGCTCAGGAACTGCACAAGATACTGGACGTTCTTGGCGAGAAGATGAGCGCGGCTCTGGACGCGAAGCAAAAGTGTCAAGACGAGGCGGAAATGACCGCGTTTACGATAAGTCTAGCGAATCGATTGGTAAACGGTCTCGCGTCCGAGAACGTTCGCTGGGCCGAGACCGTTCAAGTGTACGCATTATATTAGATCATGTAATCGTTTGTCGAGATAATGTCGATTATGCGATTGCGCGCGCGCGCGTGCACGCGCATTAAACGGATTTCTAAGACGCGCATTTACACACTATCCGGCGAAACAGGTTAAAGAAATCCGAGATCACTCTACCGGGCAACGTGTTGCTCGTCACGGCGTTTATTTCTTACATGGGATGCTTCACGCGGAAATACAGGATGGATCTCATGAATTTACATTGGCTACCGTTTCTCGACAAGCTGCAAGTGCCAATACCGCGCACGCCCGATTTAGATCCGTTGTCTTTAATGATCGACGATGCGAGAATCGCTCAATGGAACAACGAGGGTAAGAAGACGCGCGTTTTTAAGAGAAAAATCGCAAAATCACAAATGTGTCGGAATTAAATTTATCACTTGTAAAAAAACCGACACTAAAAAAAATAAAATAAAATAAAATAACGCTGTTTTTCACGTGAAAGAAAAAATAAATAAAATAAACGCGTTCTCAGGTCTGCCCGCGGACAGAATGTCCACGGAGAACGCCACGATACTCACGCATTCGTCCAGATGGCCGTTGATGATAGATCCGCAATTGCAAGGGATCAAGTGGATCAAAAACAAGTACGGAGACGAGCTGATCGTGCTGCGTTTGACTCAGAAGAATTACCTCGATAGAATCGAGTACGCGATCGCGAACGGAGAGGTGGTGCTGTTGGAGAATATCGCGGAAACGGTCGACGCCGTTCTGGACCCGATACTGGGTCGTGTTCTGATAAAACGAGGAAGGTACTAACACACGGTTGTCTTTTTCTCAGAAACGATCAGATCACTCGATAATTTATAGATGATACAATCGTTATATTTAGATAATACGGATGAAATATAGACAATATCGGAACTAATCTCGGTGTGTTAAATATGTAAAGAGCCATCAAGGTGGGAGACAAAGAAGTGGACTACAACCCGCGCTTCCGTCTGATCCTGCAGACAAAGCTGGCGAATCCGCACTACAAGCCCGAGATGCAGGCCCAGACCACGCTCATCAATTTTACGGTTACGAAAGACGGCTTAGAGGAGCAGCTATTAGGCGCCGTCGTGAAAGCGGAGCGGCCGGATTTGGAGGCGAGCAAAGCCGAGCTCACAACCCAGCAGAATACGTTCAAGATCGCCCTGAAAACGTTGGAGGACGATCTGTTGCATAGGTACGCGGTCTTTTTTCTTTCGGACACGCGCGCGAAAAGTTTGTACCAAGATAAACGCCCGTTAAAACATTGAGAATTGTTGTGCGATTAATATTTACACATCTACTAATTTATTTTGTTTAATAAACATCCGGTCATTGAATTATTTAAATAAATATCGATAACGAGCCGAACTCGAATACGCGCAATGTTTCTCTTCGATCTCAGATTGGCGGCGGCGGGTCCCGACATTCTGAGCGACGTCGCTCTCGTGGAGAACCTCGAAACTACGAAGAAGACCGCCGGCGAGATCGAAGCAAAGGCGATCGAGGCGAGGGCGACCGCCGCGAAGATCGACGAGGCGCGCGAGATCTACCGGCCGGTGGCGTCCCGCGCCAGCCTCCTTTACTTCATCCTTAACGATCTCAACAAGATCAACATGCTATACCAATTTTCTCTCAAGGCGTTCAGCGTGGTCTTTCAGAATTCCATTAAATTCGCCGAGCCGGCGGACGCCCTCGGTAAACGCGTCGTCAGTTTGATCGACAGCGTCACGTACTTGGTTTTTACGTACACCAGCAGAGGACTGTTCGAGAGCGACAAGCTCATATTTCTGTGCCAATTGACTCTTCAGGTATTTTACGGTGGATTTTTGCAAACGGTAAAATAGACACATTAGAAGATTATTTGGATAAAAAAAAACATTTGTCTAAAGTTTGTTTGCAGATTTCGTGCGGTAAACACGACGAGGAGATTTTTTGTATTAAAGTGTAATCACGTGTATATCTTGACGTAAACAAGTTTAAAAAAAAAAAAAAATATGTACGGTCACATTTCGAAGAATCTAAAAAGTGTCACGTTTTTAGATTCTGCTGCAAACGAACGAGATAGATCCGGTCGAGGTGGACTTTGTGTTGCGTTTTCCTCAAGTACCGGACGTCGCGAGCCCGGTAGATTTTCTGAGCAACGACAGCTGGGGCGGCATCAAGTATCTGAGCGGATTGGAGAACTTTCGCAATTTAGATCGCGATATAGACGGAGCCGCGAAGAGGTGGCGAAAATTCGTCGAGTCGGAAACACCGGAGAGAGAAAAATTCCCGCAGGACTGGAAGAACAAAACGGTCTTCCAGAGACTCTGCATAATGAGATGCGTGAGACTGGATCGAATGATCTACGCCATCCGGTAATTTCTTGTGCGAACGAACGTTCAATGATTTTTTTCAAAAATTTCTACTCTTGTTTACTCACACCTTTGTTTTCGTTTTTTTTTTTTTTTTTTTTTATTTATTTATTTATTCAACGCGCAGTTGGTTCGTGGAGGAAAAGCTGGGCGGAAAATTCATACAAACCCGAGCGCAACCGTTCGAAAAGTCGTACGAGGAAATGAACGCGCAAACGCCCGTGTTTTTCATTTTGTCACCAGGAGTCGATCCTCTCAAGGCACGTTTTTTTCGTACACAAGAGTTTTCTCTCTCTTTTCCATGTTACGGGATTGAAATTTAATTACACACGCGAATACATCACGAAACTTCCCAGACCACGTCGCGTCTCGACGTGATTAATAACACGCTGGCGCTAAACGGTAACGATCGCACGTAGGACGTCGAGACGCTTGGCAAGCGACTCGGTTTCACATTCAACGCGCAAAATTTCCACAACATATCGCTGGGACAAGGTCAAGAGCCGGTAGTCGAGCGGGCGATGGACATTTCGGCGCGCGACGGTCACTGGGTTATACTTCAGAACGTTCATCTGGTGAGGAACTGGCTGCCGAATCTCGAGAAGAAGATGGAACTGCTCTCGGAGGAGTCGCACGAGGATTATCGACTCTACATTAGCGCGGAACCGGGTCCCGATCCTCACGAGTCGCTAATACCGCAGGTAAAGTTGGCGCGGAAAAAAAATGTTAATTTAAAACGCGAGCCGGTTTATCAAGAAACAGAAATTATTAATCAAGTATTTACATATGTTAATTACTATTTAATATGTAAATTACTATTTAAAATATTGAAAATTGTCAAATTTGCAAAAAACGCAATTTTACCTAAATATCGAAAACACCACAAGGGTATACTGGAATCAGCGATAAAAATTACGAACGAACCGCCGACGGGTATGCGCGCTAATATTCACAAAGCGCTGGACAACTTCAGTCAGGACACTCTGGAATCCTGCGCCAAGGAGAACGAATTCAAAGCTATTCTCTTCGCTCTCTGTTACTATCACGCCGCCGTGGCTGAGCGTCGAAAATTCGGACCTCAAGGATGGAACAGGGTCGGTGTATTAAATTTGTTTTTTTTTTTTTTTAATCCACGACTTTTTAGCCTCTTGCTCTTTTATACGGAAAAATATTATTTAAAAAAATGTTAATTCGAAAATATTTTTAATATATAAAACACGCAGTTGTATCCCTTCAACTTCGGCGATCTGACTATTAGCGTGTCGGTGCTGTTGAATTATCTCGAGATCAATGTCAAAGTGCCCTGGGAAGATTTGCGTTACTTGTTCGGGGAAATCATGTACGGCGGTCATATAACCGACGATTGGGACAGAAGACTCTGCCGAACGTATCTTCTCGAATATCTCCAGCCCGAGTTGGTCGAGGGCGAATTGTATCTGGCCCCGGGTTTTCTGGTGCCGCCTAACACCGATTACGCAGGTTATCACAAGTACGTGGAGGAGTACTTGCCGGAGGAGAGCCCGGTCCTGTACGGACTTCATCCGAACGCGGAGATCGGTGAAACATTTTTTCATTCACAGAAGAATATTTAATTTTCATTAATCGTCCGTCTGATTTGCTCGTTTTCGCGCTCTGTGTCGCGCAGGATTTCTCACGAGCACGGCGGAAAATTTGTTCAAGACAATTCGGGGGATGCAGCCCACGGATGTCGTCGACACGACAATCGGGATATTATCGAAAGAAGAGAAGGTGAAGGTTCTGATAGAAGACATACTCGACAAACTTCCCGAGCAGTTTAATATTCAAGATTTAATGCACAAGGTCTTTAACATGAAAATAAATAAACGACCGATCCCTAAATCTACTTTTTTTTTGTATGATGAAACCAAAACAACCTGATACTTTCAGGTGGAAGATCGAACTCCCTTCGTCATCGTTGTCCTGCAAGAGTGCGAACGTATGAACATGCTCTGCGAGGAACTGAAGAGATCCTTGACGGAACTGGATCTCGGTTTGAAGGTGAATAAAGAAACGACGAAAACGAAACAATGAGTGCGATAATTACGAGAATTCGGTTTCTAGGGAGAGCTGACAATCAGCGCGGAGATGGAGGATCTGCAAAATCACTTGTTTATGGAATCCGTGCCGCCGTCGTGGACCAAACGCGCCTATCCCTCCACCCTCGGATTGTCGTCCTGGTTCGCGGATTTGTTCAATCGAATAACCGAGCTGTCGAATTGGACGGCAGATTTTAGCGTAAGTAAATAAAAATAAATACAAAAAAAAAAGAGTTCTTTTAAATGTAAGAAATAAACAAATATATAATCCGCCTTTCATAAAAAAAAAAATAAGAAACCACCAGTGAACAAAAGCTCATGGTCGCCAATTTCTCATTTGATTTTTATTCGGAGAATTTTATTGTACTTGACTATTGTAGTTAGTTTTGTAAGTTATTTTCACACCGCGTTTTCACGCGGCATTTAATTCGCCATATTATTGCAAAGAAACAGAAATTCTGCAAACACATTTGACGCAATAGTACTTCGCGATCAGAAGCGTGAAGAAATACAAACTTCGTTACGCCGCGCGACCATCATGCGAAAATCTCTTGAGGACATTAATTTGTCACGTACATTGCGCCAGGATTCAACTTTCTTTTTTTTTTTTTTTTCGTCACGTTTGACCGACACGTCCAAACTCAAAAGGTGTATAAACGTCTTTCGACAGTTGCCGCCGTCGATCTGGTTGGGTGGTTTCTTCAATCCGCAGTCTTTACTCACCGCCATTATGCAGCAGACCGCCCGAAAGAACGAGTGGCCCCTGGACAAAATGTGTCTGCATTATGACGTAACCAGAAAGCAGAAGGAGGAACTTACGTAAGAGACGACGTGGAATTTACGGAAATAATACAATTGTAATAACGCCGTTTCCGGCACAGGTTTTTTTTTGATCTCATGACATTTGTCGCATGTAAAAAAACCAACCTCCCCTCTTGCGGTAAATTTCGAAACGACGTATTGCTCAGATCTTCGATTATATAATATATTTTTGTGGAAAAATCTTGTTTTCAAAGGATCGAGACAATATAAAAAGATTCTTATTTTCTTCAATCAAGAACGCCGCCGCGCGAGGGTGCGTACGTGAACGGATTGTACATGGAGGGGGCGCGATGGGACACGACGACGGGCGCCATCGCGGATTCCCGACCGAAGGAGCTGTATCCGCTTATGCCGGTGGTGTTTCTGAAGGCGATCACGCAGGACAAACTCGAGACGAAGAACATATACGAGTGTCCGGTGTACAGAACCCGAATGCGCGGCCCAACGTACATCTGGACGTTCAATCTGAGGACTCGCGACAAACCCACCAAGTGGACTCTGGGCGGCGTAGCGATTCTCCTGCAGATTTAAAACCGCACACTTCTTTTTTCGAGCCGTCGTCGATGCCGGCTCACACGCGATTTCGCGCTCGTAATGGTTTTTTTTTTTGTTTCTTTTTGTTTTATGCCTTTTCTCGCGCGCGCGGGCTCAAGTCGTAATGGCAACGCGCGCCGCGACCACGGTTTCCCGGTTATAATAACCCTCGGGCAATTACGTCAAAACCCTCCTCTCTCGCGCGTATGTTACAGGAGTCGGCTGATAATTACAACGCGCGTATTCGAGTAATTACAATTGGCGTTGTAACGTGCGCGCGCGCGTTCTCTTTGTAACAAACGCGCTCTCTCGTCAAGTGGAGCGATTTCGCGTCCCAAGTAGAAACCCCCCCCCGGTTTCGGATGTATGTGATATTGTACGCGAGAGAAACGGAACGGAAGAAAAACTCGACGCGACTCAGCAGGTGCGCTCGTTACGTGCGCTCGAAGAAGGAATGGCTTGGTGTTCACGTGTTGTCGTCGCCTTGCAATTGAAATCGTCGTCAATGAAAAGCAGTCGTCACTCGAGAGAGACACGACAAAAAAAAAAAAAAAAAAAAAATGCGACAACAAACCGAGTCGAACGACAGTCGGGAAGGACGACGTCGGTTTCCGGTCGCCTTTCTTTCGTGTGTTTTTTTTTTATATCAGGTCACGTTTGACAAGTCGGTATGCGTACACGGATCATATGATTGAAGGCTTCGAGGAAGTGGTCACCCTTTTATCGACTTCTGCGAGCGTAATTATCCGTTTCGCGATGACGCATCTGGTTTCGCGTGCCGGCCTTCGCGGGGCGATGCGGAATTTCGGACACGCGAACGACGAAAAAAAAAAAAACCGCTTGCGAAACACAATCCCTCGAGAGTCAATGACAACATTGTGACAATAAAACGCACAACCGGCGGATGGGAGAACCGGAGGGAGAGGAAAACGAAGCCTGTTGTCGCGCGAGCGACGTTGTAATTACGTTTAACTTCGCGATCGTACACGGGCCTCAAAGAAGGAGTCCGACTTTCTCTCTCTCTTTCTATCTTTTTAAACGACCTACTCAACCGCGCAACTACTGCGTATTGTGCATATATACAATATGTATTTACATAAAGAAGACAGGACACGTTATCGCGTCCCTCGGGATCCGTTTATTCAGAGAACTAAATAATGGATTAACTCCTTGACAAAGTTCCCGACTCTCTTCTCTATTATTCGAAAACCAAACTCTCTCGTGGGGACGAGACGTATATATTTTCACGGATAAGCCATGACATTGAATGCGCGCCTCGTCGTGGTCCAGACCGGCGCTACTCCCCGTCTCGGATTAAGGAGGACTTCGGGGAATATTTCTTGGTCATTAAACTAATTAGATTACCGGGCGCATTGCGGCGGTCGGGGCTATAAATTAGCGTTCCGGGATCTTTACGGTTGCGCTCTTCGGACCGAGAGAGAGAGAAAGAGAGACTTTTCGGTTCGGGAAACGCCTCCGGGGCAAACGCGCGTGGTTTCTGGTATTTATAGAGGACCTACTGGACCGACGCGGTGAGAGATGAGAAAAACGCCGAGTATACCGGGGCCTCCCCTCTTGAAAAAAACCGCACTCGAAACCGCACATCGAACGATATCGCGCGCGATGTTGCTGCTCGGATAAACTCGGAAACGCGTGTGAAAAACCGAAGTTTATATTTTAGTAATAATAAATAAACTTATAAATCTGTAATTTCAAATGTGTTTCAAATGATCTATACAATAAAATTCGAAAAACAAACAGGATTTTTTAAATCTTAAAGTAAAAAGAATCAAAAACTCTTACACACTTGAAACAACGCGCAAGATTGCGCGCAATAAATTGTTATGTTAAATGCGACATAACTATGCAAATAAAATACTCTTTTGACATGTTGAAATTGTTGATCGCGTATTAGCGATTTTCGAAAAAAAAAAATGCTGCTTTCTTTAAAAAAAAAAAAAAAAAACGCATCCTATTAACCGACGACGTTCGACGATAATCGCAATTGATTATCGCGATCGGTGCACACAACATACGCCGCGCGCGATTAAAAATAATTATTATTCACGATAAATATAGACTTTTATGTGTGTGTTTGCTTTTATTAAATTGCTAATATATAGATATGCGCGTGATGTCGAAAATAAAATAACAAAGGATGTACGGAGAAGTCGGCGAGGGAAACGTTTAATTGCGTGCACAATCGCGCGTATATTATTAACCTTAATAATGTAATAAAAAGTTGCCCACCCTCTCCCGCGTATATTTTCGCGTCTGTTTTCATAAAAAGATTCAACAAATACAGCGAAACGAGTAATTACGCTTCGTCCGGAAACGAGCAGCTTTTGACAATGAGATCGTAATTAGGAAGTCAAGAAAGAATCCAATCAAGAGTCGCGAAATAATAATATTGCGAAAACTTCCCGGAGAGAGAGAGAGTGAGAGAGATAGAGATAGACGAGAAGACAATTCCAACTCGTCAAAATCAAGATTACATCAAAAGTTACACAATGAGAATTCTCGGATCGCACTTTTTATATTACCGCGACCGTAAATTGTGCAGAGCAAAATTGTTGCCACGTCGAGAATGTCTAAACGCGACAAAACAAAAACACAACACGCGCGGCCGTGATCGCTTCTCTCGTGAAAAAGAAAACTCACAAGCGTTTGTAAAAAATCGAAATTATATTGTAAAATATATTCCGTTTAAAATATTTTATGTTTATTCGCAACGCCGTGGCGACGTAAAATCAACGCGAGAAAGTGATTTACGCGTTTCCCGTCGGTCGTCCGTGTCCGACGGGAACGTGGATGTTGGACTCCCGCGTGTTCGACTTGTAAAAACACGGTAATATCGCACAAAGTTGTTCGCACGGGATGAAAAAAAAAAAAAAAAAAACAACACGCCGCGTCGTTCTCCCGTCGTTATTATTATTCAATCGTTTATCTCATCGCGCGAGCAATAAATAAAATCAACATCAACAATATATGTGTATAAAACAGTTTGGCGTTTTCCGTGGCGCTCGCACACACATCACAGTGTCTGATGTTTCTGTTGTGTTCGCATAACGCGCCGCTAATTATTTCGTACGTGCCCGTCATTTACTTTTAATACGTGCGTGCGTGCGTGCGCGCGCGCGCGCGCGGTGTTCCCTCGTTATATCACGTTGTAATTAACGCAGCTATTAAACAGAATCAAATAAAGATCCCGCGATACGAAACAAAGGCACATGAATCATACGCGCGGAATACTCTATGAATATTAATAATACAATTAATTACATTTTTTGCCAAGTGAAAGAACGCGAGGATTGCGCGGCAGTAAATAGTGATAAACATACGCGTTTGCAATCTTACATTTCCCGGGTTTTCGCTAAAACACGTCCGTTTATTTGTTACGCGAACGTTCTGTTTTTGTTTCGTTTTCGTTTCGGAAAATCCGAATTCGCGAACGCGTACGACATTTGCTACATGTTTCGTAAAAACAAAAAAAAATGAGAGACAACCACGAACGATCAATCCCCCACCACGCGATGTGCCATTATCATTGAAAACTCGTCGTAAATAGGAGCACGTAAGGTTAAGTACATGCGCGGCGCCGCAATTACGCGCGCGGCGTCCGCTCCGCCGCTTTATTAGAGACGCCAACGCGCGTTGAATACATCGTTTCGCGATTTAATGGTTACGACTTACCGGGCACAGGCAGGGCCCCAAGTTCGATTCTATTCCGTTCGCACGTCTTCTTCGTCTTCTTCCTCGCCGAGAGATCGAATAGTACACACGACAAAAGAGATTTCTCACCCATTCGAACACGAGGCAGAGCTGCACCTTTCGTCCTCCTCCCCCGTGTCGCTAGGAGTATACGCGGCCACTTGTCGCAAACTTCGCTCCGTACGAGAGAACACGAAGGTTGCCGATTATTGCTTCTCGACAATCAGTCGGTTTTTCGCATCGTCACTGTGTGTGTGTATATTGAGGCGGAAGGAAGTGACCTTGGACGAGTGCGCTCGATCGTGACGAAAATACGCGGGTATTCTTGATCGCGAAGTTAACAACAACGCGCGTTAAATCCGCGGAATGTATATACTTTCGCGCGATCTTTTTCGCGTGTGTCGAATTTTCGCTCGTGTTCTTCGGTCCGCGCGCGGTTCGGTCTTCGCTATTCCTCGTTTTTCGCCTCGTTCGCCGCGCGTCGGCGCGAAGGCGCGAAGAAACCGTTTCGAAAGGTGCGAAAGGCGAACGCGCGGGGCCTCCCAGGATGACTCTCGCTAATCGCGGGCAGGCGGAAAACAAGCGTGATGAGTCGCCTCGCCTCGCCTCGCCTCGCCTCGTCTCACTCACGGCCTAACTCGACTCGACGCGACTACAACGAACTGCAACGAACTGGTGAGTTAACCCCTTCTCTCTCTTTCTCCTTCTTTCTTTCTCTCTTTCTCTTTCTCTCTCTCTCTCTCTTTCTCGTTCTCCTTCTTACGCGGCACGTAAACGTGCACGATATACGTAACATTTGAAGCAACATGGACGCGCGCGATCCACGGTATAAACGTTGGAACGATAATCGATACGCGTTTATGTCTTTAACGTGTGTTCTGATGGGCACATATATATATATCGTTTAACGGTGTTTTTTTTTTTGCGTCTTACGTACCGAAGAACGAGAGAGGGCGCGGAGTTTCTTCTACGTGCGAGTTGCGAGTATATCGAATTTTCGCACGATAGATCGAGAATCGACAAATATTTAAAATCAATTTTTCGTGACACGTTTAACATGTAATTAGAGATAATAACTGTAATACATCGTCGTGTGTGTACGTAACTCGAATCGTTAATACATCAAATATCCGGACACTTATTATTGAAATGATCATTATTAGATATGTAAATATTAACAATTTAAGGATTTTTTTTCTTTTCAATATTTTTCAGACACTTTTAATTATCAGTTTTTATACACATAAATACTTTCGTTTAATTGATTATTTAACAGACGTGCTTGTGTGTGAAAAATTTACACAAGATTATACGCGATCAATTAAATAACCCCGCGACATTTAAATTCGCATTTCGCGAACTCTCGCAGTAGTAGTAGTAGTAGTAGTTCGCGTCGGTAGTTTTCGTCGCTTTCACTCTTTTGCCGCCCGACGACGCGTCATCTCGCGTTTCGACTCGTATTTCATCTCCTCTTCTCTTTATTTGCATATACGCGATACATCGTTTTCCGTATCTTCCGTGCCTGATCGTGTGCTGCTCACGGCAAACGATGTGTGTGTGTGTGTGTGTGTCTGCGCGTATGTGTATGCGCGCGCGGAGAGGTTTGAAGATAATTAATGCAAATTACACACGGGCAACGTGGCACGCTACCGGTTACGGCATTACACGGGATGAAAGCCGCCGTGCGCGCGCTCTTCGTCATGTAAAGTCGTTGCACTTTGCATGTCGGTCGGAGATGTGTCGCTCCGATTATCATCCGATACACAATTGATTCTCCCGTCGACGACAACGACGACAACTGGACGCTCTTCGACGACGGAGATTATTCTCGTCTATTTCCTACCTCTCGCGCCATTATTCCTCGCGTCTTCTCGTCCCAATCCGTCCGGTGTGTCTCGTTCGCGTGCAGTGAGCTGTATACTTAAGCCGCGGAGAGAGCCACCGCACTAAACGGACGTGGCGCGTATAATTTATGAATTATTATTTTGTACTATAATATGTCGGCCGGCTTCTCTGTCTCTCTCTCTCTCTCTCTCTCTCTTTCTCTCTCTCTCGCGCGCGCGCGCGCACGGTGTATACACATATTATATACATACAACGCTCGTCTTCTCTCCGAGGAGAAGAAGAAGAAGCATCTCGTCGGAAACAGCGAGATAAAGAGCACCGTCATTGGCGTAGGATTCCCGCTCCGTCGCGGAATCAAGGAGCGCGAACGAGAGAACCGCTGCGCGAAGATATCTTCCTCCTCTATCCGCGAGCTCCGATAGGATTGCGCAACGGGAGGATTGCGCGCGGTCCGCGATTTTCATCCGCGATAATCGAAACGCGCGAAATCCTTCCTCCCCCCGCGTAATGAGTCGCTTCGCGCATCTCGAACGACGCGAGATCGGCATTTCTCGATGATATTTGCGATAAAAAAAAATGTGTGTCTCGCGGTCTCCTTCGTTTCTCATCGTAACGCACACTTTTGTGGAATTAATAAACTCCGCTCTGTTTGCTATCTAATATATCCCTGATATCTTTCTCTCTATCTCGAAACAATTAAGATTGATTTCTATCGCGCGCGCACGAAAATCGTATTTACATTGTGCGCGTTTTGTAACGATCGCGACAAAAGGGGGAAAAGTTGTCGGTCAAACGACACGAGTGTTCGCGATCGAACGAAGACCGAAGCCGCTCGTTTTCTAATTGATCTTCTGATTGCGGTCCCCGGATTCGTCGTGTGAAAAAAACGCGCGCGTTCTCTCCGCGGAAAGGAGCGAATTGGAGCGGTCCACCGAGAAGCGCGCCAGTGCGCGGCAACGAGGCACAAGGCCTGGGGAAAAGACCAGACAGGCGAGCCTAGCGAGCTCGGGGTGAAGCACAGAACGACGCGCAAGGGGAACGCGGAAAGAGGGAGGTAGAGTCGGCGAGGCGGCGGACAGGCACAGGCGGCCGATGCGGCGAGAAAGAAAGAGAGAGAGAAGAACGGACGAGCTCCGAGCGTAGGTCCGAGAGCTCCGAGTATCCTATAATTACGAGTAACTCAGCCACATTTGCGTTGATCCGACACCTTAAAGATAGCATTTAGCGGCCCCTTTCATCTCCGCGGCAAACAAACCAATTTATACCTCAGGCCGCTTTGTGCTCCGGCGGAGGGACGTGCTCCGCCCCGAACCTACGAGTTAGCTCCGTCTTTTTCCCACCTTCTCTTTGCCGCTCCCTCACCCCTCTCTCCCTCTCGACGAATCACTCTCTTTCTCTCTCTCTCTCTCTCTCTCGCGCGCGCACTCGCTCGTTTCTCTCGCGTATCTCTGTCTCTTTTCTCTCCTCGCTGTCTTCTACTTCTTCGATTTCGCCCTTGGTCTTCACGAATTTCGCTGAAAATCAATCGCACGTTGCACTCGAAAAGTGAAACGTATTAACGTCCAACTAAGTTAGTAGGTACGCGTGTGTGTGTGTGTGTGTGCGTGCGCGCGCGTGTCTGTACACGGCCGGTCGTGCGCGAGCGAGGGAGGAAGCTTCGAACGAGCGACGAAAACGAACGTCGCGCGTTTTTGCCTACTTCTCTCGTAACTAATTGGCGCGCGTTATTACTTTCGTACGTCGTTTTCGCTTTTTCCCTCCCTTCCTCTCGGTGCGCCGCTTCTTCTTCTGGCCTCCCCTTCCGCGAGAGGGATCCGCGCGCGAGAGGGAGCCGAGGGCTCGCGTGACTAAAACGCTACGACGCGAGGACGTCGGAGCACACGATAATGGTAGGTTGTGCCGCCTCTTCTTCTGGCATTCGGACTACGCTTCTATTTATTGTTAGCGTCGAGTGAACACACGCGCGCGCGCGTTCCCTGTATAAATAAAGTTACCCGCATACGGAATTTCGCTCTGCTGTTTTCTACCACGGCGGTCTTTGTATATCATATATCGCGCGGGTTCAGGTCGGCTAAAAACTTTCGCGACACGGAGACACACCCCCTCCCTCTTCCCCATCCGTGGAAAAACACGCAGGTGCGATGCGCGCAACTTTACCGGGAGCTTTGCATTCGGTGCAAGCGGAATAAAAAGTAAGTTTCGCATACGTACGTCTTTCGTTTTGCTGCGACGATCGATCCCGAGCCTCGTGATCAATCATCGGACAGTCACTTCGCGTCGCGAGCGCGACACCCGATCCTCGTAATAACTTCGCGAGGTCGCTTACTTTCCGATGTTACGTCAACATCGTGTGCTATTTACATTTTGCGCGCGTGCAGATATTTTTCTGCCCGAGGCGAAATACAGAAATTCGAAATACAAATTTTTTGAAGAAAAATAATTAAAGCGGAGAACCTGTGCAAGAGAGAGAGAGAAGTGCAACAAAATCGATCAGGTATTCGAGTTCTTTTGGCACTCGGTGCGCAGTACATAAAAGTTTTTCTCTTCTCGGTATCTTCGGAATTCGGAAAGAAAAAAAGATCATGTCAAAAAAAATGCAACGAGTTGGCAATAAAAATCTTTCATATGAGCGCACTTACGTACACTTGCGTACGCTAATTACATATACGGGTACGGATGGAGACTCGAGCAACGAGATCCAGTTATTCCGACGTGACAACGGACGTTGTTACGTTAGATCTGTCTGGCCGCGCGGACACGTGTGTAAACCCCGATTACAAGATACAAATGTAAGACGGGGCCCCGTCCGTCCGTTTCTCGCAACCGGGCGCGCAAGGGAGCGCGGCATCACACGCGCGAGAGAACCGATCTTTAACGACCGGCCATCACTTTCGCGGGCGCCTTTCTTCTTCTTCTTCTTCTGCTTCTTCGCCAACGTTCGATCTTTTGCCGGCGGTGGAGCGAAGAGTTTTACGACGCCTTCGGAATCCTTAAAATATCTCTGAGAATTTCAGAGCCGCGCTCGTCTCTCCCGCTCGTCGTCTTACGGACACGACGCGTCTCTCTCCGATCGTCTGTATACACGTGTGTATGTATATATATCTGTACAAATATCTATACACACATCGACCGCGTGATATGTGTATAGATACGATATACGTATCGGGACCGCGGGGTCGTAAAATGTGAGATTAACACAATTAATTCCCGTTCCCCGGTAACCGACTGTCAGGGGCTACTCGGATTACACTCCACTCTCGGGACACTCTTCGGGGTTTAGTTACCTTGTCCCTCGCGCGTCGCCGACGTAACGTGTCATTAGCGTGGCGCGCCGCTAACAGAACAAACAAATTGTTTCTCCAACCCGCCCGACACCTAAAGCGTAACTAACCCGAAGCCACACCCCGTGGAAACCCGACTAATTTGGCCGATTGTGGTCGACCCGAGGAACGACCTCGCCCCCGCTCTCCCCTTGTTCCTCTCCCGCCCTCCTATGTGTGTATATATATATATATATATATATATATATAAAAAGTAGTACGCCTCATCCTCTCTTTCTCTCGTTCGCGGCGACTCGGAGAAAGAAGGAGGATAACTTGCGATTAATTTCGTGAAACGCGCGGTTCGAAAATTC